CCCCCCCCAGCAGCACACCAGATCCAAAGGTTAGAAAGCAAACAAATGGAAAAGCAGAAACAAAAAGTGAAAGGAGAACAGCTGCCAAAGCAGAAAAGCAACAAAAGCAAAGAGCAGAAAGACAAAAACACAAAAAGCAGAAAACAGCAGAAGCAGAAAAGCAGCAAAAGCAGAAAAGCAACAAAAGCAGCAGAAGCAGAAAAGCAAAAGCAGAAAAGCAACAAAAGCAAAAAAGCAGCAGAAGCAGAAACGCAGCAAAAGCAGATTCCAAAAAACAACTGAAAAAAATAAAAGAAAAAAAACGCCCCTCCATTTCTTTCTTACTTCCTTTCATCCTGGTGGACTTCGCTTCGTCCCGGCTCCGAGGGCACAAGTATCCGTGCGGGCGGCATCCGCTCACCCCAGTGGATTGGAAGAAAAAGATTCAAATACAACGCCACTTGCAGCTTCAGAGGTTCAGGCTTCTAGCCCTGGGATGGGGATGACTCGCCCCGGCCTTCCAATGGGGTGACTCCAAGAGCTTCGGGACGACCAAATCCTGGAGAGTGTCTTCAAAAAACATCTCTACAGTGTTACAGGTCAGTGAACGAGCTCATTTTGCTGGAGTTGATCATACAGAAACCCTACTCAATGAGGTGCTCAGGACCAGGTTTCACTGGGTCAGACTGGACCTGTCCGTAGGCACTGTAGGGCATGCGTTCAAAAGAAGTGCAAAACAAAGAGGCCTGAATACCTTGAGCTTGAACAAGTTGAAAATGGCCTTCAACCAAGAATCCAGTAGACTCGAGCAGCTCTTGCGAAGTGGCCTGAGGAGTGGCCTGCAGTTGACGTCGGCCACTCCTTGACAGTGTGGGAAGCAAAGTCGCCCACGGTGCCATCGAAGACACTGGCGAGAATTCGGTGGCTGACCCAACCCACGGGCACAGAATTGGAGCACCCAACCAGTGTGCACCTTTTGGACCATTCCAGCACTGCGGCAGTGGTGAGGTAGTATGTTGAATTGACTCATGACCCAACGAGGTCATTCCGAGCTCGACCACCACCATCCAAAACCTCAATGTATCTTCTTTTTCGTGGTCGTCTCATCGAGTCGTGGCCAAAAAGAAACATGCCAAGCACTTCAACTCGGTGAATCGACCAATTCCGGGGTCGTCAACGAGTGGCTTCGTCCAATTCCGGGGTTTCGATATTCAAGGAGGTTCGCTTCGCCGGCTTCCAAGCCTTTTTTGCGCCCCGTGGCTCTATGCTAGTGGCACCAAGATCAAAGTGGTGTCTTAACTTGCTTTTATGTGCCTTGACGTGCAGGTATGTCTTGAAATAGAAGACCCCCTGTGCAATCTGGGAAGAGGAAATATCAACCGAAACCGGTTCAAAAGCCTCCCTATCAAAACCACACCAAACACCTACAGTGCTCCACGAGCCCGTCCACTAGTAACAAGAAGCTACTAGTAGCTCCTGGCATTACTACTAGTAACAAGAAGCTATTAGATCTACTAGTAACAAGGCACCTTACTAGTAGTAACAAGGGCATTACTAGTTTTCTCACACTCTTCTCCCAGCTTTGTCAGACTCTGCCCCGCGCCCGAAGAAGGAGTTCGCTACATCCAGACTGGGATCTAGGCGGGGCACCTCGCGGCCGGGAAGCATTGCACTGCACAGGTGGGAGGTGCTTTAATGACAACCCCCCGCTGCAAGGAATGTCTTGGAATAGGGTGAATAAGGAAACCTCCTTGGCCCAAATGGAATTTTCGGTCTACTTAGTTTCCTTTAACCAGAGCTCACCTTGGGGCTCCGCGGTTTGCCATCATGCACCCATTGCAATGACATCGAAAAGTCACACGCCACTGGGGTTTCACTGGTTCCACCACTGAAAACATGAGATTCGTCGTCTCCGAACGTTCGGAACGCCTCGTTCTTCCGCGTCCGAAAACTTGCCGTGTCGATGTTCACTCCCTTGGGACCCGAGGAAGTTCACGACGGTCTTACCTGGTCTGTCCCCTTCATGTTCCTTCCCAGCTACACAGTGGTTTTGGGGGGGTTCCATTCACTCATCAATCTGCAGGGGAGTACTCTACTTGTCGATGTGGTTGGAGGCGCCTGGTCATGTCCATCGACCCGTGCACGACACGACACGACCCGGGACGCGGGACGGAGCGACTCGGGACTCGGCGTCCGGACTAAGGTGTAGCGGTCTTCCTGCGTCTTCCTGGACAGGCGCGAGCGAGTGTTTCGGCCGACTGGATGGAAGTCCAGTACCACCTGGTAAAAAGATGTATAAAGAACAAAAAAATGATAGATAGAAAGGCTGAAGCATGTAGAAGAAAGCCCTCATAAGATCTGCAAGTGTGACATGCCTTCAACCACTCTTCCTTCAAAAGCAAGCCAAGTGGCTTATCCACTCTCCATCTCCCCGAAGGTTCGGCATTGCCCATCATCTCCCACTCCCAAGTCGTGGACTGGTGGGGAGTTGGTAAAATCCCTCAGAATCATCGGTCCTGGTTGCCCAATATAAGATTAGTTAAAAAAGGTAAATCTCCATGTAAAATCACGTTTTTGTTTTTTTCCGTTGAACCGGCAGGAACCCACAAAGCACGCAGCAAAACGATCAAACACACAAAACGTGGAACCCCAGGTAGCCAGGAACTCCTTTGAGCGGGGTGGAAACCCCTCCGGTGCCCCCCACCCACGGCCCGCCCCACCTGTCTCCGATGCTTTGGTGGACCGCCACCGAATAGCATCTCCTCCGCACCACGGGTTTCAAGAGAATTCCAGGAAATGTCCCTGTTGGCGTGGTGCTTCTTCGTGAGATGCTTTTCGAATTTTTTTTCTTCCCCAAGGTCTCCTGCACAACACTGCACACCTAGCTCAGTTTGGAAAAAATGAAGGAACTAAGGGAACAACACGAATCGATGAAAATCGCCACATCGATTGAGCTGCCGAAAATTCACCACATCAACCGTTGGATTCCTTTTGCAGTTGACTACTGAAACTTATGTTTGAACTTCAGACTCAGGTCAAAAGTAAAATTATTTTCTGGATCCACAACAGGTTGGAGGAACAAAGCCTACTGTAGAGTCACAAGCAAAAGGCTTCTGACTTCACATCCACTAAAGCTCTGCAGCATGATGCAGTATGATAGCACCGACCTGTTCCGGACGCCCCGGCACCCCCCAGCGTCACACGTCCGTGCCGCGGTACGTGCCGCGCTCGTGCCGCGCTCCCGGAGGGCCCAGGGCATCGGGTAATGGGCACTGAGGAAGAGCCGAAGCCGGCTGAGGTCTCCTGATCTCTCGCTCCAGAAGGTGCGGTCCAGGGGATGGGGCACACGACGCTTGAAGCAGCGAGCGCAGCGAGCGCAGCGAGCTGCGGGGTATTTTTGGGGCTGGACGAAGGGAACGAGGAGGCTTTGAAAGATGGGCAAAACATGGCAAAACAGTTTGGATCCGGACTCTTTCCCCCACGTCCAGGTATGGTTGTCGTCCGACTGCAGTTGGTCTGGTACATCTGCGTTGATTGGTCGATCCTTAGTCTACTTGATTGAATTGCGGTGTCCCTAAGCTTGGCTTCTGCCGCAGCTTCTGACCCAGCACCATGACGATACAATCGGGTCTCAAATTGGAGAGGAAAGGAAGACTCCTTGGGTAAGGTGCAAGAAAGAGGATCTGGCGAGTTAGGAAAGCTACATACAGTAATTGGACTTGACATCACTCAGAATGCACTAGAACCAGCTTTGCCACCCCCAGCCAAAAACCTCCTTCCCCACCGCTCACCTGTTGGGTTGCTGCAAAAACCGCAGCCCACCGTTCTGCCAGCCTCTGAGACCGATGTCTTTCTCTCAGGGCCAACCTGACACCGATCCAGTTGTTTTCTGCAGAGTGAAGGGAAAGCATGTAATCCAGATCATGGTCTGTGACCTGATTTAAGATTGGTGCCAACCAGGAACCCAACCAGGAACCCTTGAAATGCTGGCATGTACCCTCCACCCTTGTAGAGATGAGACCTCTCCATCCAATAATCGCTGAAGTGGCACCAAAGCTCTTGTCTTCCCAAACTCAACCACAGGTCAGCTTAAGAAAAAGAAACATGTGAGGCCTGCTGCCTTCAACAACCCTCTTGCACGACAGCGAGGCGGAATGGATAGTACGCTTGCATGCTAATTATCCATGCATGAGTATGATTATATTAATCAGTTATACCAGCTTGAAAGTTTTGAGACTGAAACCTGAAAACGTACCACATCTGAAACAACTTCATTTGGAAGTGTCCTTGATCAACCCATCTAGTCTATGTCTCTAAGCTACGGAGCACTTCCCTTTCCAATCGAAAAAGATACCCTGTTCTTCCGGTCACGTCCAAAAAAAGAATAACACCCAGCCTCGGAGCGGGCCCGAATCCGCTGGTCGGTCGTGCCGAGCACCAGAGAGGCCTTAAGGGGAATGTCTTCATCCGAAGAGGAGAATTCTCGGCCCCCTTGGAGGGTGTGCTGTGGGAGCTTGCACCATGGTGAGGGGCACCCGGAACTGTGAGGGGCAGGGTGTTCTGAAGCGTAAGAGTTTCTGGAGATGAAATGAGTTGCTGGAGAGAAAAAAAGGGAAGCCCCTATTTATGCTGTAGAAACCTGTGGAATATGATGTTGCAACTCTTGGTTCAAGTTCAGTGCCTTTGGTGGTTCGACGCATTGAGGCCTTGCACCTAGAGTGAAAAACATGGAAGTGCCCAATCTCAGAAGTGTGACTTTCTAGGGGTTGGGGGCCATCAAAAATGTGGGGCATCAGTCTTCAAAGTTGCCAAAACATGCCAAAAACGAAAAGCCATCATTCCCCGGACCCAACACAGAACCTCTGGCTACGACAAGTGGCGACGCTTTTGTGCCAATTCCATCCAAAAGGGGGCGACGTCATCGTCATCCCTGGGAGACGTGCGTGGGGAAGCGATCTATCGATTCACTCCGCTCCACAGACGAACGACACCCACGAAGCACTCTGCCCAGCAGCGCGTGCGAGGGTGCTGTGGTCATCGCTGCCCACGCGCTCTCGCGACAACAGCGGCGCCTACGAGTTGGAAGCCGACCCACAGTTCTGCAGTTCTGCAAGTCGGCACATGGAGAGATGTCGTGGGAACAACTTCGATGTTGAGTGCTGCGAATGGAGATGTTCTCAGTGGTCCCTTTGGAAGACCACGTTCCCTTTCCAAATTTTCAAAACAGGAGATCCCACCAAGTCCCGACCGCTCTGGTCCTGAAGAGACCCCGACAACTCTGGTCCTACAGGCAAAACCACCGACAACCACGAAGGTTTGGTCGGGCCTAACAACAGTTTTGGGCAGGAAAATGAAGAAGAAGCCATATAAAACACATAAAACGCCATCTAGGAATGGCAGATACACTGATGCCTGGCATGTGTCCAAAGGTTTTCTGCTGAAACCCCCGCAGCCCTTGTCATGCACCTTGAAGGGGCTCGGGCGAGCTCTGGTTGGCCTCGGCATCTTGTGCGCGAGGCGCTTCCGAACTCGGAACACGGGAGACTGGGAGTTCGATACTAGTAGCGTGGCACTTGTTACTAGTAGCGTGGCACTTGTTTCTAATAGCTTCTTGTTACTACTAGTAAGGCACTTGTTACTACTAGCGATGCACTTGTTCCTGGTAGCTTCTTGTTACTACTAGTAAGGCACCTGTTACTACTAGCGTGGCACTTGTTCCTAAGGGAATTCGATCTGCTACCCTGGATGAACACATCGAAACACCATCTCACGGCAACTGCTGTGTCTCAAAAATCATGCATCGCAGTGCAGCTAGCGTGGTGGATTTGGTCCCCAAACAAGGACAACCGCAAGGGGCAGAGGAATCCGTCTAGGACCACTCAAGTGCCGGAGTATGCCGGAGTGTTTCGGGACAAATCTGGCAACAGCTGTAGAGGAGGTGAAGCTGACAGGCGAGGGCTTCTTTGTAAGCAGCATTTCTTCTCCACCACTGGCGTGAGGTCAGTGAAAGTGCTTTCTCAAGATCTCCCTTCCTTGATAGGTGAGCTTCATGATGGAGTATGCCACATGAGCCACTTAAGACGTCGCTACGGTGTGGGGAGTGCCTTGGTTCGACGGAAGAAAGCCCTTCCCGCCCTTCCACCCTGCACAGCGGGCCAACCCTGACTCGTTGGGTATCGTTGGGTATCAAAATGTATCGAACATCAATCCATCCAGGGAATGAATATGGTTCATCCAGGGAACACAATTGCTTTAGAAGAAGTCAGCTTCCCAGGCATGTGCTTTTGAAGGCCATGGTGCTTTTGAAGGCCATGGAGTCCATATTCCCATAATAGATCATAATAATAACAATCTTGGAGATAGTGTAAGTGGCGTATGGACCATCCGTCCATATTCCCCGAAATGACTTGCCCAGCTCAATGCCTTTCATCTACCCAGTCTTTGAAGAAAAACGGCCTTCTCCAGGCCCCCGGCCCTACAGATTTGGGCGGTGTGATCAGACTCACCCTCATGCCTGGCACCAGGAAAGCAGGCTTGGGGGGATCCTCTGAGGGCATGCGGCATGCTCCTTAATGTTTGTCTTCGAAGTTATCAAGATACAAAAAAATAAATCAACCTGTGAGGTGGGAGCGAAATCACTTCCAGTATCTTCCAGGATTTCACTGTCAGGTCCTCTCTCGAACTGCTAAGCGCATGACACTAGCCCCTAAAGCAAATCACACGCCAAAACACAACCACAGAGCGGTACAGGTGGAAGCCTTGGTGTTTCCCCTAATCATCTGGTTGTCCCTTCTTAGACACGTCGACTTTCACAACGTCCCTGTTGACGTTTAGTGAGCAGCCCGCAAAGTCTATAGAAAGCTCGATCGATCACATCCCGGCCTGACCAACTCACCCACTCGATCGAGCTTGTGTTGTTTCGGAGTCATCGGAAGAGCAGGGCCACTTGCCCAGACCGTCTCGATCCGTCTGACTCATCGTCCACTTATTCTTTGCCTCACGCCTGGTGTCCATGGTATTCATTGTCTAATGGATCCGTCCCCACACAACATTTTAAAAAGAAAAACAACGACACCGCTGCATGGCACCCTGAAAAGCTTCACGGGCCCAATGGCTGATTTAGTCAGTGACCGTCACCCGTCAGTGGCCGTGCTAGACCAAGGTGGGGAGTGTCGGTGGCAGCTGGAAGAGACCATGGTGTGTGAACAACCGAAGAGACCGTGTGTGACACCAGCTGGCAACAAAAGAATCTGCCCACCCCCCAATGGATTGTCCGGAGTCGTAGTTCCTCCTGTATTTAGGGGCACATCGGCGTTCATTCAAGTAGTTCTTGAAGGGCATGTGTTGAAACAAACCGCGCAGGACAAAGAAAGTTCTCAGATGTCGATAGAAAGGTTCTCCAAACAAGACCTATAGAAATCTGCGAACTCATCCATGTCACACTATATTTCTAATGAGGGCATTCATCTGGCGTGGTGCATGAAATGTTTGCCGCTCCCATAGACTGAGGCTCTCACCAGCATTCGCTGTTGCCAAGAAGGCCCTGCAGTCAGCTCTAAGCCCAGGTCCGTCACAAACACAAGTCCGGTTCCGGAGGTCCTCAATTTTCTTCTCACTAATGAAGCTTCAGATCCGAAGTATGGAAATTATCAGCCAAATCATTTGAGGTGTCAGGGGTGGGGATCCATTAGTATTTCCAGCCAGATCGATTGTTGGATGTGATTGGATCCGGGAATATGCAGAGCATCTGCCGATGCTCGGGAGACCTGGAGGCCCGCTGCTGAACCTGCACTGCACGCCACATCCGCTGCTCCAAAGCAACACCCGGTCAACAGTCCAAGGATGCAATCCGAAGTCAGAAGGACTTCTATCGAACGAAGCTCCTTCGAATTCCAGCACTTCTTCTTTTCCTCACACATACTACGGATGGTGCTGTGATACTTGCTATGATCACCACTCACCCCATTCACCACTCTGCGTGCCAGTTCGCACACCAGGCCCAGTCGTCCATTGAAACCCCCGCACATCCCAGGCGCCTCGGCGTCCCCCCACTCCGCACGGACGTCCCACAAACCGCGCCCGCGGTGGACTGCTCGTGCGTTTCAGCCGCAGCTGCAGGGCCGTCCAAGATGTCTGTCGAGCTTCATCCATGATCCCAAAAGTCTTAGAAATAACTATGGAGACCCCCCCCCACCCCCAATAGACACCCCCAACACATGAAGGCTTAGTAAGTCTGATTTCTATGAAAAAGGGTAGGTGTGGTTTGGGTGAATCCAAGAGCTACAGTCTGTAAGAGGGTTTCAAGGCTTGTCGGAAATTACGTTTTACATAGTTTGGCGGAAATTCAAAAAAAAACAATTTCTGGAAAACCTTCACTTTTTTACATCGCTTGGCGAAAAATTCGGAGATTAACAATTTCTGAAAAACTTTACTTGTTTACATCGTTTGACGGAAGATCGGACATCAACAATTTCTAAATTTCTGAAATTATTCAACTTGGTGGCTCTCTTAACTCGGCTGGGTGTTCCTTAAATATCTGATAATATCTGAAATTCTGACGGCCAGGATTTCTGACGTGTGATTGTTGGGTTCTACAGAGAAATAGGTTTTGTGGGGTCTTGGATTCGCCTAAGGTGTGGTATGGTTTGGTTCTATTATCACCGTGTCAAGTTGAGTTGCATCTTTGATCGAGTTGATCTACTTAGTCACGTCCTGAAGACAAAGTGAAGCACAAGACAAAGTGGATGGACTGCATAAATGTCAAGAAGAATGGGTCTTTCAAAGACGACTGAGAACAAAGCAAGGGAGGAACTGAAGACGAAGACGAAGAGTCCGAAAACCTATGCGTCGAAGAGTCCACGAATGCTGTCATCCCACGCCTGTACTTCCGTAACGTGTGCTGCGGAAGTACAAGTCAGGGGAGAGAAAGAGATCACGTTTCACATCTATGGACGTATTTATGTATAGGTTCTTATTTCTAGTAGTAACAAGTGCATCGCTAGTAGTAACAAGTGCCTTACTAGTAGTAACAAGAAGCTAGTAGAAACAATAGAAGCTAGTAGAAGCTTCTTGCTCCGTTCGTAGTAAGGCCAGGAGCCCCGGAACTCGTAGCGTCCGATCGCTCCGTTCGAGTCGCGATGCCCGAAATGCTCCGTTCGAGTCGCGGACTCTGTGTCTTCTTCAGAGCGCTTTTTGAGCAGTGGAATTCCCGGTTCGGTCCAGTCCGGTCCACGCGTCTGTCCAGAAAGCACTCCGCGAGGTAAGTGCCGAAGCGAACGAGAAGTCTTCGTGCAAACCAGGAGGAAATACCATCCCGGCAAGGCGGGTTGGCGGCGCAGTTACTTTTCAGGCTCTACGGTATACATCAACGACTGTGAAGATGGCCGACCCAGGGAGCAGAAACAATATGTACTCATCAATATCCCAGTCTGCCTGGTCTGCCTGGTCTGGTGACGATCTGGAAGCGATTTAGAAAAACTTGACACAGCCTCATGGGGGATGAGAGACCACCAGAGGAAGTGCCAAGGATAAGATCCTTGGAATAGGAATATACACGCTGCATCACTTGCAGACTGGCAACAAAAACTCGGCGCCCCAAATACCACGTGTCCTTCGCCCATTTGGCCACCGAGTCCAACAAACCTTCCACCGGTGAGGCTTTGTCCAAGTCTACCGCCTCTTTTCTCCGCACGGAACAGACGTGGACACCTCCTCTCACATCGGCGCTTCTCTCCACCATGGGGTCTCCCTGCCGCTTCGGGCGACGGATCGGAGATGATCGGAAACCTGGTGATTGGAAACCTCGTGCAGCCAGCCTGCCGGAGTTGTAGTGTCGGGTTTTTCTGGGATGTGTATCGCATTTGTACTGCAATTAAATCAAAGACGGCCTTGGCACAATAAGAGAACCCCCAATTTCACCTGATTGTTCGATGGAAGACTTCACCTCAGAACTCAGTCAGACTGAGATGTTCTGCAACTAAAATAATTCTGCCAAGATCCATGTTCGATTCATGCATTCACCGATAGCAGATCCTTCAGATATCAGGATCTCACATGTTCCGATCCTCTAGCTTAAACCGATCCCTCAGTCAGAGACCTCATCCAACCCACCCCATCCGGCCTGGTTCTTTGCGCCTCAGTAGACGCTGTGCGCCTTCCCATGCAAGAGCTTGATCGCCAAGAGCGCGAAGGCCAAACACCTGATCGAAGCATCGAACACCGCGAAAGCATCGAAGAAGACACGCATCGAGGTGACGCATCGAAGAAGGTGTCGCGTCTGCTTCGTTCTGTGGAATCGATGTTCCGGCGGAAAGATATCATAGGCCCTTCCGGAGGTTTCCTCACCAGCTTGGTAAGGAATCTGCTCCGAAGTCACTATGGCTCAAAAGACAAGATTGCTGTTGCCCTGGCGTCCCTTGTTTTTCCGAAGCGGTTTGGGAAGCGTCCGTACCGTCCGTCGTGAACTCTTCGCGTTGTTTGGCCATGGAGGGCGAGTCCCTCGTCCCACGCAAATCTTCGCCGATCCTTGGGAGTTTGGGGTGTTTGCTTTGGCCCAACTTGACTCTTGCTCTTCCACCATATTTCTGGCGTAGGGTTCCACACCCGTCACCATGACCCATGTCCGGCCACTACCCCTGTTCTCCACCCGAATCTCCACTACCCAACTACCCAAAGAAGCCGCTTCCAAACGTCAAGCGGCATCGAAAGCAAGGTCGTCACATAGACCCTCGTCAACTCCGGGTCCACCTGGGAGTCACGTCGGGCAGATCGGCACTGGAAGGCCATGGAGCAACTGGAAATGGGGAGAGCGGCCACTGGAGGCCGGTGGAGGCTTTCTCGGAAAGACTTGTTTCAAATTGAAAGACCAATCTCAAGGCAAACTAGCATCATTTAAAGGCAAGACTGTTCCAAATGGATCCCCGTACGAATTCAGGGGTTGAGGTTGTGTCAGGCATTTTGTAGCAAAAAAGTATTCTTGTCCTACAGAAAGGCCTGTCCGACATACAAAATTTTAGTTTGGTCATTACAAAATGAAGTACATGACATCATTGTGTACAGGGCTTCAATGAGCTCTGGAAAATATGCTCACTACAAAATGAATGGACTCAACCTCAAATCGATATGTCTGTCGGAGACAATGTGCAACTTTCCGAACAATCTCCGGCCATACGGAAGCTTTCCGTCAACTTTTGTTACAAAATTGCTATACCTCAGGTCTTTCTGCTATGTGCTGTTCCAGTCCCGAAATGGCTCACAGATTACAAAATGACATGCTTGTCCATACAGTGGAGCTCATAAGGTTACAAAATGCATATACCTTAGGTCATGTTGTAACGTCCTATTCCAATGCCTAAATTGCTCACAGACTGCAAAATGTGATTCCTGTCCATGAACAATTGCCTTCTACTACACAATCAAATAGCCTGGATCATTCTGTAGTCCTGCTCCAGGATGATATCGCTACAAACTAGCGGCCTCAACATCTTTTTGTAAGCCCCTGATAGGCCCACTACCCCAGATTCTTACTTACAAATCCTTACAAAATGGTGGCCTCAACCTCATATCACATCAGTCACACAGTGAGTTGGGCATGTATTACCCGATTTCAGGGCTGGGCACTACAAAATGACCCCTCATATAGGGCCTCAAGGCCCTGCATTTTGGAATGGTTATTCGCACGGGGATCCAAATGGCGTCCTACCATCCAACCCGGCCCCCAGGGATCAAAATAGCCGGCGTCAACAACGTATCTGCACATGCAGGAAAGTCAGTCGGGCTTTTTGATGGGTCAGCCATCGACATCCTCCATGCAGACGAAACATTGTTGACCGATGGGTTTTGCAAAGGTAATTGCCCTCCAACATGTGTCACCCAAATTTCTGGGTTCCAAACCCTCTCTGTTGAGACGATTACAGCTTGTCGCCAAGTTTGGGGGGGGTTCGTCTTGAGTCGCACCGGCAAGCAAAAAGATTTAAAAAGAAAGCCTCCAAAGTCATCCGAAGTCCAAAGCTCCAGACATGCTGAATTCAACCTTACAACACCTTCAACACGATCTTCAGATCCTCTGCTTCGATGGGAAGCTGTTCGAAGCTTCCCTCGCCCCCCCCAGCGGCGGGCCTCCATGGTCCGGAAGATGAGCCTCTGAAGCATCGGGTCGGTCCTGCCGAGCTCGAGGTGAGGTCGATCCAGGTTGAGGTGCTTCGCAGAAAAACACCTCACAACCTGGGTTCCGAAGACGGACTCCAAGAACGTCGTCACCCAGCGACCCACCCCAGTCGTCACCCTTAAATCCAGGGTCTGACCAACCCACCAAGAAGAAAAAGATGCGGATGCCATTGGTTTCCTTCGGTTCTTCCTTTCCGCCAACCGCACCCAGCCACCCTGCCAACCGCGAACTGTGGTCCAGCCTTCGGAACTCGACGATGGCCAGGAGCTTCACAGCATACCTGGGAGAGGAAGTGAGAATCCCACCAGTCCCAGACTGACAGGGCACGGCACGAGGACATGGCCTGTGTGAACCTCGGTTTTCTTGCACACAGCGGCTCTGGAAGGGCGGTCGAAAGCCGAACGGTCGTGTCACCCGTGCAGCTGGTTCTGTCATGAGCCCAAGCAGACTAGAGCAGGCTATGATTCGATAAAGGATTCAACAGCCTCGCCATACATCAATACATCTTCTAAGAGAACATAATACCCCCAGAAGAAAGACATGTTCATCTCCCTTACGATCCTGACTAGGGTTGCTTCATCTTCTCAGCGGCCAAGCCGCTGAAGGAAGCTCACGTACTGCATCCACCGCAGGAACTGCGGGATTGCCTGGACCGGGATGAAGGTCCCTGAGGCACGCGACGCCGACGGGACCACGCGACGCCGACGGGACCAACGGTCGCGAGGAAGTTGTTCGACGTCTTCGCGAGGAAGTCTGAGTCTACATGAATCTGAAAGAAACCGACGTCGATACCTATGGCTTCTTCCTGGCCCCTTGATTCAAATTGTGTTGAAAAAATGAAACACACCCACACACAATTGTTACATTGATTTTACTTTAAGGATGATATGACACTACAACCCCCAGGTCAACCATCTTCAAAAATAGTCTTGGACTTGGTCTTGGACTCCCCCAGGGTCCACAGAAAAACCAGCCACCGCAGGCAATCAAAGGCTAGACGGCTAGCCTGGGGCCTGCGTGAATGCAGTCGTGATAACATGATAGAACATGATAACTTTATTGTTTTGTGACAAAAAAATTGGAAGACACTGTTAGGTCTTAGGGTCTTAGGACTTTTGTTAGGTCTTGGGGGACAGTGTTAGGTCTGCCGCCTTTGGAGCCGCTTGAATCGGCTTTCGGCTCTGCTTCAGGGACCGCTGTCTGCCGTCCGTTACGGGGGGGGGTGGGGCAGTTCTTCCTCCTGACCCACCTGACCCAATGGGAATGAAAAAATCAAATGATCAAGTGAGAGCCGGCAACCGAATCAATGACTCCTCCTAGAAAAACTCCTCTCAATGCTTCTGAATTGATCGACTCCACCTCCTCCCTCCACTCCTCGAGTCCGTCACTGGCAAAGCCCAGAGCCTGACATTAAGAGCTGCGGCACGAAGACCAACGGGCCAATGGCACCACTCTCGCGAGGATAGCGCACCAGGCCTAGACCGGCGGAACCGCTTAGCAGGAAACCCCGCCCCGGCCGTCGCTGGAGCGGTCTCGGCCCGGAGAATCACTCTCTCTGGCGGGGAGATGAGTTGCGAGGGGGTGGAAGAAAAGCGTTGCTTCAAATCCGGAGAGCACCTTTGCCTCTTCGAAGGGAGACTTCGTTCCGCACCCGTTCGTCTGGAGACAGAGACGCGAGGCCGACTGCGAGTTCAAGGTGACGGTGCCAGACCCAGAACAACGGCTTGTACTGTGGGCAACAGTAGCTGGCGTCACTAGCATGTAGTGTTTTAGATGGAGCAATATGACTGATTGCAGTGTTCGAGTTGTTGGCTTTGGACTATAACAAACTTATAACGTATACCTTAATTGATAATCCAAGGAAACACTTCGAATGGCCTTCCTTCAGCACTGGTCAACCATTGACTCATTGACCTTCATAGAGAGTACATAGTGGCTTCTACACCGGGTTCCGTGGTGGAAACCCCTCACAAATCAGCAACTGTTGAAAAACTCTGCTCAAAGTTCAACAGAGAGACAGCAGAGCAGAGGGTTTACAAGCTACGCGGAGTTCCCACCAAGAGGCAGCTCTATGGTCCAGCTTGTGGAGATCCCTGTCTTTCATCCCCAGAGTCCGGTCAGTCCGGACAGCCGACGGCCGACCGGAGCGACGAGCCCGGTCGGTTTCGCTCTGGGCAGTCCGGACAGCCGATCAAGAGAGAGAAGGAGACGGCACAGGCGTTCAGCAGGCAGACCTAGGCAGACCAGGCAGAATCTACAGTGGTTTCAGGGGTCTGATGGCATAAACCCACAACACATACATTTCACCAAACTTGGATGATTGTGACATCGGCGCTGTTTCACCGCTGAGGAAGTTTCGTCAGCTATGTGTCGGGTTTGTTAGAGCCCAGCTCTCCAAAGCTTGCGCCCTCTGGCACTGAAAGAGGCCATTCAGGCAGCAGGAAGACAGTGTAATGTAGACTCTTGATTAATAAACTCCCCCTGTGAAGAGGATATTCCACTTCAAATGGGGGGTTTATCAATCAAGAGTCTACATTATGCAGTCCAGAAATTGGGTCAGTGACCACCTGCATGTGATCCACCAACAAATCCCACACAATGGCACGTCAGCATGTGTGCCCTAGCTTCCCGCAGTCCTCCCAACTCTTTCACACGATCCCGTTCTCGGCGTCCCGGGCCGTCGCCCACATCTCGCAGAACTCGCCCTGAAACCTCATGCATGCATGCTGCATGCATGCTGCATGCATGCTGCGTGCGCGCAAAAAAAAAGACAACGAAATACATCAGGGGCCTGTCTCAACCTTGTAAGGATCCTTGAAGGTCAATACTTCAAATCACCTTCTGCTAGGATTTGCTCAACAGTCATCGAAGCAGTTTACTATGTTTACTCTCCAAGATGTTGAGACATTACTCGGCCTAGTTTTCCTGTTTGGTGCCTCGTTTCATTGGTGCTTGTTGGCAAAACTGGGATGACTCCTTTCCAGTTCCCGAGCACCTCACTCACTCACCACTGGGATGTCTGCTGGACCCCACAGACCCTCACCGAACATCGCGTCTTCACCACGCCGAACACACCGAACACACCGAGCGAGATCGTGCGAGCGAGATCCACGTCGATCCACCCCGATGCGACGAATCCCGGGCCTCATGAAATGGTGAGAGATGCTCAAGGCCAGCAGAGCTTGCCCGGCTCCCAGTGGCACCTCTTCGCTCGGCGCCGAGCCGCGTGCGCTCCGGTGAAAAAAGCGGTGGAAAAAAGAGAAAGCCCGGCTCCCAGTGGGCACGATCGATTCATGACTGTTTTGGATGCCTACCAAGCTGCCAGGTCTCTTCTCTTCTACTTTCTTTCGTCTGGTTGATTGACTGAAGACTCTGAAAAAGAAAGACATACACATACATACAGACATCCTACCAGTGTTCAAAAAAACGACCATTTCTTGGATCGTGAACGCTCCACCAACCAACCAAAAGCGTGCAAAAAAAGCCGCGCAAGCTCGCGCTTGCTGCGAAAGCGAGCTGCGCGACGCCTCTACTAGCATCTTTGAGAGGAAATAAGCTAAGGTCCCATACCTGGCAGCGTCGATGCGGCGTCCCGGCGCCGGTGACACGGCTGACAAGGGGTCCAGTTCGTGGGTAAGAGGTCGTCCGCCATGGCCATAGCTGTCTGATCAAAAACTGAGGAACTTCTGAAAGGTGGACATGAATTCAGAACAGCTCGTGGCATACTGGAATGGGAATACATGTTGAGGTGTTGAGACACACCCGAGTAAAGCGAGGTCAAGGGAAAGTTGATCCCCTCTCAAATGTCAGGAACCTCATAACTCTTGAACAACTGTTTCTTTCTTTGCTGTTCTGAGCTCCTCTCGAAAAATAAACACACCCCAAAAGTCTCACTAAACACTCTGTACCCTAAAAACTTCCAACGGTCCTCGCCACAAGCCCTTCCCCTTGCCCCACCAGTAAAAACTGTCGTTTTCACCACTTCAGAGCTTTTCGCGACTGGGCGCATGTTGGAGGAGTACTCCCGCAGGAAGACCGGGCGCTCCAAGGGAAAGCTCAAGATCGTGGGTTGCGACGCCTCGGACCCATGACGCTGGCGTCGTTCCTTGTTCTTTGGGTGACTGAGTTAGACTCCAAAGCGTGTGCTGATGTGGGAAAGGCCAAAGGAACACCGTTTCGTAACAACCCTCAGCTGGCGCTCTTTTCACCAGTCTGTTTACTAGGCCACCGGCCAGGGGTGGTTTCTGAACACCATGGAAAACCTCTAACAGGCCATCATTAGACACCTCTGAGGGAGTCCTGGTACAGCTCAAAAGCCATCCCATGTGATCTACAACATATCCCCGACACAACCCTCTTTATCATCCATGATAAGCACATTCCCATGTCTGCATCTGTTTTGCATCCATACCTACACCCACACACCCAAAAAAGAACTATAACCTCCCCCCAACCCGAAGGCCTCCCTGATTGCCGACCGTTTTCCCTCCAAAACGAAGGCACACTGAACATCGCCGTGAAGCCCACTTGCACCACCGCCTGCGGCACGGTGCCACGTCACGGTGCCACGGCAGCGGCGAAGCGGTGCCGCGTTCTACGCCAGGAGCGCGCATCTGCGAGAACTTGCGCCCCTGTCTGCCGTGGGTTGTAGTTGTACTGAGTCTGTTGGCGGCGAAACGAATGGCAAAGCCCGGTCCTGTAGGACCCAGCTTTCATGGGGCACACAAGGCAAGGCGCCACGCCTTCCCACCCGCCCGCACCGACGGGGGTTCGCCTGAAAGATCCGAATCGCTTCATCGCTTCGATGACTCCGAAAACAGGAAAAAGGATGTGGATCGTAGAGGTGACGATGGGCATCCACCTACTAGCGATGGCCTCCACCCTAGTAGCTTCTTGCTGCTCGTAGTAATGCCAGGAGCTACTAGTTACTAGTATAGCTTCTTGTTGGACTTGAGAACATGATCAACTTCCTGCGGAGAGGGTGGTCAGGCTGGACATGTGTTCTTTTTGTCAGCTGGGATGAAGCGGTTTTCTGGTCTTTTTGGCAGAAGCTCCTACGTTTGTAGCAGACAAAGCGTAGCATGCATAGCTCCCACCAGCCATTTGGGAGTGCCCCAAACTTGTGCAAATTGATCAACATTCATTGTGGTGGATGGTTTTAACCACTTCCAGGAATATTTGTCAGGTGGGAGTTGGAGAAACGTTCCCAAACGGGAAACTCTAAGAAGATTCACCGGGGATGTCTCGTCAACATCTTCCAATGATGCTGGAAAGAAGTTCTTTCTTCGTAGTCCAAACCCAGAGTATATAATTTTGGCGTATTCCTCGGCCTATTCCTCGCTCTGTCTTGCTTGTTTCTTCCTTCAGCAGTATCGTGCCCATCTGAACGTTCGGATAGCAGCAGGGGTGTTTACAGTGCTTGTATCGGGGTGTTTTCCACCACTGCCGAACCACTTCACCTTGGATTACCAGTGCATCTGCTGCGGACGCACCAAACCGAAGCCGACGCCCACGAGAACAAGATGGGAACGGGAACGTCGGCACTGCCGGCGGCACGACGCGAGGGACCCGAGGACCCGTTTCAGAAACGTGCCCACGGTTGCGAAAAGCAGGAGGAGGCGAAGAAGAAGAAGAAGAAGGAAAATACTGTAATACTTACACCAAAATCTAACAGGTGGGGGAAGCTCAATCCCTCTGGCACCAAAAACCCGACCAGATCCCAATCAAACGCGATGCATTGGACAAACATGCCCACCCTTGTTATTAGGAGAAGGGCACCTTGCGGAAAACGATCAAGGGAAAAGGATCAAGTCTATCCGGTCGATCCCTTCGGTGGACGGAAGCAGCAGATACACTCTGACTCAGTGGAAAGTGGTCCCTTGGAAGACTTTCCTTTACAAACATGGGGAGTTCCATTTCCATGTGATGTGTTCGTCGGAGTGTACGCCGTTGGGCACCTTGTAGTGGTACTCGATCTCTTGCTGCAGCTGTTGCAACAAGGTCACTTCATTTGCATAGACCAAGCGCCTCAACGATCCAGACGCTGCGACTAGGTCAGAAAGATCCAGGTTTAGTTTGTGGGGTTCATCCCAAGAACGGGTGAACTATGGTGAACTCTTTTAGCTAAGTATGGTCTTGAGATTGGTATGGGACCTGATGTGCCTTATTAAGCTCTGGCAAGAAACCGACCGTGTGTCATGCGGACCGAGTCTTTGAAGGTGTACATTGTGCACACTCGGGAGGGGAACTTACAGTAAAAAAAAACATCCCTGTGCCAGGAGAACGGAAGAGATGAGAATAACCCGACAGCAGAAAAGAAAGAAGGCCTAAACATGCCTAAACTATGGACAGAAAGAGACCCCCCAAAAAAATAGAGCAAAAAACTGTCAAAGATCTTTGGCCTCGAAGATCCAAAACCGATGAAGAAACCTGCGAATGGTGTGAGTCAACCGGTGCCGAGTCGCTGCACTCGCCGTAGCTTGGGGTGCACCAGGAGCGAATGCAAGGGCCCTGGGGCGACGCTGGGGTGACGAATCCGAAGATGACCTGGAGCATCCATCCAGAGTCTCAACCATAGACCCAACCACCTGAGGCTTCCCTAGCTAACCCACAAGCCATAGCCGCCTGTCGCCACTTGAATGTCTGATCAAACATGGGCTTCAAGTAAAAATGTCCGGTGTTGGATAGCTCCTTGACCGTCTGAATGCATCCATTTCAGGCCATTTTGTCCAATGGCTCCAATATTCAGACAAACGGTCCCAGAGGTTGCAATGTGTTTGGCCCCAAGCCTAAACCGATCTCAAAAGAATTAAGAGATACCAGGCCCCCTAGGGGGTGGTTATACAATGGACACCAATGGACACCCCTAAACACCTCTAAGACTTTATTATGAGACACCCTGGTAGATGATACACAATGATTCACAAGCTGACTACAACCCTTCCAGCTTCCGGGCAGTCCTCAGTTCTCCACCAACCCCCCTGAAACCACGAGTAGATGTTCAGCTTGCCCGGCTTGCCCCAAGAGTTGTCGATTTGTAAGTGCAAAATAGCCGTCCAGTATTAAAACTAGTAGCTCCGTGTTACTATAGTAGTATGGCCAGGAGCCCCGGAACTCGTAGCGTCCGATCGCTCCGTTCGAGTCGCGATGCCCTTGGTTCCGAACGTATGCTCCCTAAGCCCAAACGAAGCCTTTCCACCAGGTCGCTCGACTCCAACGTACCCGACGACCAGCCCTTGCTCGGTCAACAAAGACACTCCTTGGGTTAGTGGAGTGAAAACACACCACCGAAATGGTGTATTCATACGCCGGGTCATCCGAAATCAGGCCATGCGGCCATGCGAATTCCAACGGATGGTCATCCAACGGCCATGTTTTTTCTCTTCGGCGTCGGTCGGAAGGGTCGGTCTCCGACCCTTCGGGCATGTCAACATTCTTCGATGGTCGGCGGGACACTGGTGGCCGCCATGGGAAACCAGCCTTTATTATGAGTCGGCCGGTTCATCTCATAGCCATAGTAGAAGCCATCCTCAAAGTGCGTGGCCACCACCATGACATCTTTTTGGACGCTCATGTAGCCTGGATCTCCCTCTAAATGTCTATTCACAATGAGAATGCATGGTGGAAGATGTGCCTCCCGATTCTGTCTTGCAGCGCTTGCGTTGCTCCTCTCCAGGTCTCGTTCTAAGGCTTCTTTGTCCTTCTTGAGCTTTTGGATCGCAGCTTGCACAACTGGTTGCCTGCTTCTCAGTTCATTGATTTGGGCCTTCATATCCTTTATAAGACGATCCTGGTTCTTAATCTCCATCCCAAGTTGCTCGGTCCTCTCGACGGTCTGCTTGTGCTCCTGCTTGAGATATGCAATGAGCCGCTCTTCGCATTCCTCAGCGTCGCTGCGCGCAGATCGCCAGAGGTTCTCCAGTGCTTCTGGGCTCATCTCATCGAGAGAAGGTTCATTGAGCTCCGGCGAATCGGCAAAGACGTGATTCCTCGCATACCCTGCCGCGGTCTCTGTGGCACCCGCCGCGCAAAAGGGCTCTGTGAAAGGATCTTCGACACCATCATTCCATGTGTTCATGCTGAGTAGAGTCCTGCTTCTAGGGCAATCTGTGCCGCTTGAGCCTCAGCATCCTTCTTGCGGCAAATGAACATGTTCGGCACAGCGCTCCCTGATCAACAAAACTTCCAAGGTCGTACGAAATTCTTCACACGACGCAATTGCATTTCTAGTGACTAGGTCAAAGAGGGATCTGCAATCCGTGGTGATGATGGCTTGGTTCATCTGCTTGAATCCTTGGGGAGGATTACGAACTCGTTGAACTCGTTGATGACGAACAGCCCCAAAGGAGTCGTGCCCAATCGGTCAAGACTTTGACTCATGGAAAACGCCTAGAACGCAGACAAAGTTGATCGCACAACACGTGAAATCTTCTTAGAAGACCAAGTGAGTGGTGACAATGGAGCTTGGCGATTTTGATCATTTTTGATCCAGTTCAACTCTCAATTCCAAGGTGGCGTAGCTTTTGATCCCATGTCCTCTTGCAACACGAATGAACACATGCATGAGTAACACCCTGTGCACCTGCCATGTGGCCGTCACCCCGAGAACGTCCCAGGCCTTTCCGCCGCAGCCGCTGCAAAATGGGGTGCTCTCCCACAGCCGAGAAGACCTGCGATGACCGGTTTTGGCATGACTTCAGCAGCCCACGGGAAAAAACATGACAACCGAGCTCAGCAGTTACAACCGAGCTCAGCAGTTTTCGAAGGCTCGGCAGTTTGGTGGTCTACTTTTCTGAAGGCTCCCCTGGCCCTTTTGTGTTCCTCTCCAGCAAAATTCTTTGAAAGCTGCCCCGGCTACTAGTACTGCACAAAAACTTCCTGCAGCAGGTGAGTACTATAGAAAGCACCATCAACATCCATGAACGCTAAACAAGAAGGTGTTTCGGATGTGTTGCAAATTTCTAGTCAAACAACCAATGCTTCCATGGACGTTTTCTGTTTCATGCCCCACCGGCCCTCTACCAAGCCCACCAGAGAAAAGAGGATAGTGAGAAAGGCCGTCAGCACGAAGCGGAGCCTCAGCCGAGCAGGGCAGTGACAGCATCGAAAGGGGGAGGTCCAGCAGTGACGGGTTTCGCCTCCACAAGGTGCCAAGCATCTTGGGAACCTTTGCAAGCGCAGTGCTTGATGCTGTCCCTCTTGCTGACCTGCTGCATTTGTTGGTTGAGCTTGGAACTCGCTTCAACCAAAGATCAAGTGTCAGGCGAAATCGCCAGCGAAATTCGCTGGCACATCCACCCTGTCCGCACAACCCCTCCTGTGCGCCCGCCGCTGGGCACCCCGGGCTTCAACGAGGCACTATCTCGCCTGCCAACCCACACACCCACACACCGTCACACACCCACTCATCAAGCAAGCTGAAGAACACGCATCAAACCACCACACGCCGGTCACGCTGCGAATTCGTTCCATCTTCTGCCACCTCACCCTTGGAGGTTCCGCCGAAACCGTGCGGGTGCCGGGGGTTCCGCAGCGATGCTGGCTGACGCATCAGCTGGCTGACGTGGCACCCGGCAACGGCTTAGAACTCGGCCAAATGGGTGGAGGTGCCAACGTCGGAGATGGGCCACCCAGTGCTTCGGTGCCAGCGTCGCACATCTGCTTCGGTGCAGGCGAAGCTCTGCGGAACTAGGGGGTCCCAAGACAGTTGTTCAACTTGATTTCATTTACTTTGCTAAACTCAACGCCTTACATCGAATGGCACTCCCTCTTTCGGTCGCTGAAGGCCAGATTGTGAAAAAAACATCACGTTGCGCAGGCGCGCGACGCAGACCTACACGAAGACCTACGAGCACCCCCCAAAAAAATAACATATACCAGAAGTCACGAAGGGGTGGTGTTTAGTCCCCAAGTAAGTGGATCATGGGCCACCCCTAACCTCCACTAAGCACCCCTTTGTGACTGCTGGTAGGGTAGATTCTTCACGTCACATCAAATCTGCTCCCCCCCCACCCCAGCCCTTCAGCCCAGCCGGGCCGGTCCTCAAGTTACGCCACTCCCTCTGAGTGAGGCACCAGACCTGGCCCCGAACCGCACCGAGGAGCGGGGTCGGCATCGGACGCGGGTCGCCCGTCGGGGTCGGCGTGAGTGGTCGTTCCTGGCGTCGTCGCCTGCAGCCCAAAGGACTTCCGCATCTTCGAGGGATCCAGCCTGACCCGTCTGGACCCGTCTGGACCCGTCCGAGGAGCGAACGGCGTTTTGGTTGTCAGACCTCCAAGGGACATCTGGGTTTGGGGAGGGTTCATACCCTGGGGTGTTGGGTCAACACACATGTCATAGGTTAATACCCTGGGTTACCAAAGGTCATACACATGTCATACCCAGCCTACCTTTGGGACATCTACCCTGGGTCGGCTGGCTATGACATGCTAAGGCCTCATGGCTACGACTAGGAGTTCAGGACACGACCGGTGTTTCGATGATTTGTTCGTTTTCCCCAAGCAATTTCTGCAGATCTACCAGCTCACGCGATCCAAGCGCCAGCTCTGGGCCATCCTCACCGGGGCGCTGCCCCTCCATCCGCGCTGGGGCGAAAGCTGCTGTCGCGACCTGGGCGCGTGGCGCGCGCGAGGTCTCACACTGTCGGTTGCCCCGGTTTGGGAAGAGACTTCCAGGGATGTCAACCTATGACAAGGGAGAGAGGCCTATGTAGGTTTTGACCCACATCCATTGGTGAGCTTCCAGAAACCCTGCTTCCTGAATCTCCCGGAGGATTTCTGGGCAAACATTGGTCCAGAGTCCAGACAATGCATCTTCTCCACTTCAATCGCAAAGCAGGAATCAACTCACCAGCTACCACGGTGGTTTCTCGGGTGAAAGACTGATCTCTTTTCAAGAAGACATGCACGATTTGAGAGACCCTCGAGTGAACAGAACGACGGACTCCAGAACCCAAGTTTCAAGGCTGGCAGCTGAGATGTTCGACAAGCGGACACACCAACAGGGCCAACAAACAAAACACCCAAAGTTCACCAAAGTTCACAAGGCCAACCAAACTTGCCTGTTGCTCGGAATGGAGCCAATGTCCAGAAACCAAAGCAGCACTCACCACGAAAAACTGCTCTTAAGCAAGGACGAGGCATCTGACTGCTCCTCAAGTCTTATCAATTCCTGAAGAAGATCTGCCAACTGCCACTCAAATCCCCCTGCCCGCCCTTCCCGGCAAGTCCCCGGCTCACGCGGCTCTTGTCGCACAAAGCCTCCAACTCGCTGCGCGGCAAAGTCTCCATGAGGAACATCACCTCGGCTCAACCACCGCTCCGCAGGCGGCCGCCGCGATCCCAAGGAGGCCACCGCGATCCCGGTGGCTGTGGGAAACGCGCGTTTAGCGGAGAGTGTAAAAAGACACCGTGCGCGACCGTCTCATTCGATGGTAAGAAGAAAAGCATAGGCTATAATGATATAGAAGACATCTTCCATGTCAACAAACGATCCTCAGACCCTTCCGCACGCTTTTTGCCGTTTCCCTTGTAGTACCTCCAGAACCACCGTGTGTGCACCACCATGTGACAACCCCCGTGGAGTCTGGGGCCCGGTGGATTGCCAATGGTCCCCGTCTCCTAACACATGAACAACTGGTATGGAGTATATCATAGTAGTGTATCTCGGAACTGTGAAGTTCTTCAGTTTTCAGGAACACCCCATGTCATGTCACCATGTCCAGTTGCGAAAAAAAGAAGTAAAAAAAGAAGGTCACATTGGACATGGACCAACCTTCACACCTTCGTTCCACCTTGGAAAAAACGACCCGTGGACCACCCGTTCCGACCCGCGGATCGTCGTCCGACGGCACGTAGTCCGCAGGGTTGTAATCCCGCGGGACGTGTCTTCCAGACCTGCAGAACGGGCCGCGAGCGTCCCGGGTCGCCGGCGGTGCCGAAAGGCGTTTTCGAGGGTTGAGCGGATGGAAGCCAGCGGCGTGCAATTGCCGTCGGAGGGCTCTGCTAGAGAGCTAAATCCATGTTGATGTAAAGAGTACCATCTCACAAAACACTGGCCCGCGCGGTGAATTTGCCGTCTTTTTAGCAGAAAAAAGGGGGCTGGTTGAGCCCCCGCAGGCATCTCATCTGCGTCTTCTCTCGATTTGTGGGATGATGAGACACTTTTGAGCTCCATCCTCTGCTTCAAACTCCTCTGATTTTCAGAAGAGTCTCCTGGAGAAAAGGTGAACCGAAGAATCTTCCCAAATCAGGAGACACCTTTGTCGGCACTTCAGGTCAACCATACCTTGGTTAGAGCCGTGACAAACTCATCTTCCTAATAACGAAGAAGCCCCAAACCGCCCCCGCATGTTCACGCTTCATAAAAACCCAAGATCTAAAGACCTGACCAGTCTGTTTGCGTGCAAAAACCACCGCCGGATCTCATCAATTGCCGCCCCCCAACCGTTTGGATCCATTTGGTCCTGTTTCAGCTTTTGACCACCCCCATGACTCCAGAGCATCGCTCGCCACTTTGCGGTGCATCAGTCGCGGCGCAACCCGCGCCGGGGGTCGGGTGGCGCCTCTCCAGCCAGCGGGACAGTTCAGTGGCTGGGCCGTGAAAGATGGCACGCTGGTGACAGAGACAAATCACCTGCCGTGACGCTGCAGAGCCGATTGGCCCAAAACGACGACGAAAACGGGTCGGAGCGGGTTTTTCGAGAATTGGTAGAGGGTCTTGCGGGCCAATCACCGTTTTCACCACAAAAGCCTTCCTGCTTCCTAAGGTGTCGGATGCATCAAGTAGATCTACCACAGGTTCGCCGTCCAGGAGACCCACCCGTACCTCTGTGAGCCCAAGTCTTAGGGACACAGCTCCTTCGAGGATCTTTCACAAATCTGCATCCATCAGACTGGCATAGGAGAGGACTGGAATTTCCCCGCGGATTGTTTGGAGAATACAATTGTCAAACCTTAACTCAACCAAAGGCTCTTCTTTCTTACAAATCCCAATCCTTCTGGAAAGAATCCTTCTGGACCTGGCATTTTCAGTCAAAATCCAAGACCCCACACGTCTCTCCTCCGTCCGAGACGTCGTCTCGCGTCACCCGAAACCCGCGCGAGTCAGCCGAGAGCCCCCACGCGGTCGAGCAAGGCGAAGATCTCCTCGTGGTCGCGACCGACCCGACCCGAGCTCGCTGGACGGAGGTGGGGCGTGACAGAAAACCATGTTTGTTGAGGAATCGTCCCCTTCCTATGCACACCAGGAATCCGAATCAATGAACTACGACGCCATGGGTTTCGAAGTGTTTCGAACTAAAAGGAGTTGGTTTTGACATATCCCGTTTTGGTCAACACATCCATGAGACTTTCCTGCGTCCAAATTGACGTCCAGACTTCATTACTCTACTTGCACACTGAATCTGTACCTTGTCTATCCATAGGGGATCGCTTTATTGGGGTCAAAGGATTCGAAAAACATGAACATCTACATTGTCACAACCCTAAACATTTGTGGGCGGATGATAATGAGAATGGTCATGAGTCATGATGATCGTGATGATGATCATCATGATTTTGTTTATTGCGATTGTGAACCAAAAAGCACATCAAGCTGGACAGATTAACAAGAACTCATATCCTGGGAATCCGGGTTGCTGCAAATGAATCTGGCAATGAAACACATCTTGTGAGACTAATTTGTTAAGACTGTGAACGACCACGATTTAGGAAAAGCAATTGCAAGAGCCTTTGGTTGGAGCTATTCTCCTTCTCACGTTCCATCAAAACGCTCTCCGTGAAAAAATCCTTGAATAGTAAACTTAAGAAGAAGAATCATCTTCTCTGACTCTCCGCTGATTGCTCAGAGTCCTTCAAATCCAAAGGGTGTAGGACAGTGTAGGACCTCTTCTCAAGTGTTAAAGCAGATCCTTCTTCGTGTTTATGCCGCCCACTCTATGGGTTATATACAGAACAAGAGTGACACGAAGGTCTTTTCGTGTCCATCACATAGCCAAGCAGCAGCATGCAGTTTTTGATTTTTAAGTGAAGCCCATGCGCTCGGGCACTTCTTTGCCACTGGAATCAAGACCCAGTCGAAGAATATACAGTCGCAGGTGAGTGTGCAAGTCGTGGCGCAAGCAGGAGAGTGATTCTGATAACTGGACTTGTGGCTGAAACCCAAAATCAAGTATTTCAACTTAATTGTGGTTCGCCGGGATTTAGAGTTCTAGAGAAAACATGCATCACTGAAATAACTAGCTCAAAGCTGGAGTGGGAAACCGGATTGCATAGGAACATCAGTTTGGAACCTCACTAAAACCACACAATGGATCAATGCATATTTTTGTAAGGCCCCAATACAGAAAAGCAATGATAAAGATGTACCCGTTTAACTTTGCCTCTGGGTGTCAAGAAACCTGTCTTCTTGTTGCATTTTGACACCACTTTCTGGACCCCAAACCAGCCACCCTGTGACCCAGCCCCTGTTTGACGTTCCGCCCGCTCCGAGGACGGCTGGTGAATGGTGCACACGACAGTACCTTGGCCGAGGTCTGGAGGCAGGACTCTGCGATGGGAACTGCCAGGACGAGGAACACGTGCTCCATGATACCATCATAAGCGGCATCAGGTGTCTTGCGATGTTTGACAGTGCAACACCCCAGTGGAAAGGACCCTGAGAGCGAAACAGGATCGGAAATCAAGGGGTTGGGGTCGTTCTCACGAAAAAAAAAAAAAAAAGTAAAGAAAAGGATCTAGTTCCTGAAGGTTGAAAGAAAAGAGTGTGACTGATGGACTTTTCTTCGACACGTTGAGTGAAAGTTCATTGATGGAAAGGATGGGGTATAGCTCTGACAGCAGTGCCGCAGGGCAAGATGCACTGCGAGTCTATTGTGTTTAAAGCTTCTGCTAACGTGTTTCTTTGCATATGCTGTTGCTGTTGTGGTTGGATGGACACATTCATGTCAAAACGCTATTAACCATGGCTCTACTCCCTAGCCATACCCCGCCATATAAGTAAGTAAGGACTCCCTTGCTGTGTTTGCGCATATCAGGGGGTGCAATTGTCATGGCCCCCTACCCAACCCCACCCAAAGTAAGGATTCCTTGCTAAATGGAGTGCTTTTTTTGCCTCGTGGGTCTCCACCAACTCCGGAAACCATGTTGCTTTACACCTTCGACGGGTCGACGGGTCACCAGCTGGTAAGCTCTGTCCGCCTGGGCGCGGCGCTGGGGCTTCTCGGTCCGTCCGTCCGTTGAGCTCGGAGCATCCACTATCCGCCAGATCCTTGACGATCCGCATCACCTGAAGAACAAGGGAGCTTGGAGGGCAAGCGAGCGCAAGCGAGCTTTCGGCTTTTGAAGCACAAGACGGGGTGCTTGGGTGCATGGGTGGAGGTTCCACATGGGGGTGAGCCAAACATGGGGAGTTGGGATGCGGTTTGGATGGCTTGAAATCGATGTCGAAATGTTGCTCAAATGAGGGCTTCACAAGCTGCAAACATGGACAGAGACCTGCTGTGAGCTTGGAACAAGGCCCCAGCCTCAGCCAACCCAAGAAGAAGTGAGCCAACCATCTACCAGGGCTTGGGGTGTCGCCCTGAAAAGAAGTCTTCAGAAGGGTTGTGTCCATTCACCGCGCCGTAACCCGGCCGATTCAAGCCGTAACCACCCACCGTTTGGTCCACCCAATCCTCTGGCGCAAAACCGATTCACCGTGCAGCCTGCCAAGCGCTGAAGGAGTCCAACCCCGTCGTCCTAGGAGGGCAGGCTGAGAGCAGGGTACTGAGGACCCCCAGTCGGGGTGACCCCTTGACTCGGGGCGCAATAAATGGACACCCTTTCCATGGTGCTGGTACTGATATACTGTCCGAAGAGAGGTTGGGATTTCACCGACATGTGAAGCAGGGCAAAAGAGACAAAACACGTGCTTCTCATCAATTTGATGCTTCTCTCCGTTTCCCCATGGAGCTTGTGAGTACTGGTTACGGATGTCTCTTCAGTCTCACGCAGGCTGAGGCGTAGAAATCGCCGTGTCTTTTCATAGATCTGTACTCTAGCCCTCTTGTTTCTGGCCAAATCATTCCAACCAACATTGCCGGTTCATCAACTGATCCTGCTACTTGGGCGTATGACCTCTCTTTCCAAGAAGAGAAGACCTGTTCTGCCAGCCAGGTCCCCGAACGGCTCGTCCAAAAACACGATCGAAGGCCTGACCCGTTCGAAGTCCCAACGGGTCAGGCCACATCATCTCGTGATCCCGAAGAAACGAGAGACCCGGTCTGTCTCCCTTCTTGGTCTCTCATTTGAGATAGATGAGAGGGGTGCCGGTGCCAGGAGGTCTTGCTCATGCTCAAGGTCTTGTCAAAAACGGGGAGCAATGCCAACCACGATGTCAAAAACAGCCTCGAAGGCCAGGCCGGATATGTCGAGAAGCCTATTTGTTTCAAAAAGTCTTGCACAATGGGGCACGATTGATGCCGATCGAATTGCTACAGGCTGCCTACATTTATGTGCTTAGTGGGATCTGCAATATCAAAAACGTCCCTGGTGTCCCACTGGAACGGCTACGCCGATGGCTGACATCGGCGTACGAATGGAATTTATGCTTTGGGTTTGAACTATCCCAGATTTCTGTAGCTAGGGATCACTACCAGTTCTCTGTGTGCAGATGACGACCGGCAGAGTTTGTCACCCAGTTCGATGCACTAAAGATACGCAGATTGTTTCAGAAGAAGGACCCCTCGAAATTCATCAATCGAAATCCCGCATTGTAGCTCTTTCTTTGCCGAGTCACAAACGATCTTCACCTATAGTTTCAATGGCACCAAAGAGGATCTTCACGCACTCTTTTCAGCCCCGGCGCGGGTGCCCTCCGCGGAAGGAACCGCCTGGTAATCAGTTCCACTCCGATGCCTTGGAACGGCGGCAACTCGGAACTCAAGGGTGTAGATGATGGCGTAGACACAAAACAGCGAACCACTGGGAGTGGTGAGGCCGTTTGAGTGAGTGTGTCTGGACAAAAAGGAGAGTAGCAAATCCTCGAAAGGTCCGAAAAGAACGGCCGGCAGCATGCTCAATCCCTCCTTTCTGGACATATGGCTGTGTCAAAAGTTGGTCCTTCAACTCGGCAGTCCATGCATCAGGTGAAGGAGCTGCCTTTGGGTGAAAACTCTGAAGGCTTAGGAGCTGGCTTGGGTGCCGTTGAAGGTGAATGTCCCTTTCACACCGAGCAGAGCATGTCACCCAGGTTTAAGCAGCCAAAGCACCAAACTCTCCGTTGATTCTCCCATCAAACATCCCCAAACAAACACAGAAAGCATTCACCTGGTACAGGTACTCCATATTCTCTCAAGCTCCATCTTGCATGCCCCCCATTCACTCTCCTAGCTGGGATACAGCTCTCGTGTTGGGATGCTCAACACACCGGGACCCGGGTCACCCGACCCGTCCGACCTGGTCTTCCCCCGGGATCCCGGCTCACTCGTTTGCGCTCGCCGTTGCTAATGCCATTCAAGCTGGCACCGCCAATGCGCCTCTGATCCCACGGGCCCACGGGGGTGTGACCGGAAGGGACCAGAAGGGACGACCAGGTATGGACAGAGGCGAGAGCAGGCGAGCATCGAGCATGGGCATTGAGTCATGGTTGGTCCAAAAGCAGCATCGAAAAACCCTCGCATTGGTGGGACAGGCAGGCCTGGAACAGGGACATTGTTTCACCGTCGAACTGTTGTTGTTGTTCCATGTCTTTGACGCCAAAAAAAAAACTGTCCATGCCATATCTTTATGTCCAGTTGTTCCATGATCCACATGTCTTCTTTTGTTGATCATCTTGATGGCCCTTGGGTGCTGAACCTTCCCAGTCCCAGCGCCGTCTGGGACCGGCGCCGGTCGCAGCAACCAGAGAGGCCCAGGTTCTCCAAAAGCTGAGAGATGTAACTGTCGATCCCTTTCTCCTGGCGAATTTTGCAGCAAGGAGCTACTTTTTGTTCAAGGGCATCGCGTTACTAGTAGCAAGGGCATTACTTCTAGTAGGGAAGTGGATATATGTTTGATTTGTTTCTGCTTCTATTAGTCTAAGAAGCACGATGACGGAGACCAACCCATGGGTGACCCATGAAAACGACAGAAGCGTGACTCATACCTTCCAATCTTCGGTGGATTCAAAGATATTCAAAGGACATCATTGTTTGCCACCACCCATATTGGACCGCTATTGGACGGTTTTCTTTGCATGGTCCACAGGGGGTCAATAAACGATCCTTCGGGTGGTGCTGGTTGATCCTTTTTGACTTCACAATCAAGACCCTCCAAACCACTCCTTAAGACTTCCCCTGACCGACTCAGCTTCAGCTGTCACATGTGCGATCGTTTGTCGAGGCCGCAACTTGATGCGCCAAGTATGGTGGCTTTGATCATTCCTTTCTGAGCCCTTGTCTGTGTGCGTGTGGCTTTTCAGGCCATCTTTGAGTATAGGAACATGATGCGGGGGGAGCACCTTAAATGCAACCCTCTCCTCTCAAGAATCACGTGAAACCACGCAAAACCTAGGACAGTCGAAGTGGTCACAGGTCGCATCCATGCGGCTGGATGGACCGTGGTCGTCCAGCTGGACCACATGGAACCCCCCGGTCGAAAGCCACTGGGGTTGGGGAAACGGAAGATGGTCGAAACCACCGGTCAATTCTCAGGTTCCGGATCGTTTGCAGATACTTATCAGATACTGATCTCCGGCCTCGAGGAGGTTCAGCACGTTCGCTGGAAGCCGCAGCCGGGCCGAGAAGAGGATCGCCTCCACGGGTTAGGTGAGCTGGGAGCATCTCTTATCCAAGCAGATGAGTGCCTAACTGGATTTATCATGATTTATCTGGTGGAGTTTTGTACCATAGAATTGAATGGTGTAAAGAATGATGAATGTGTGAATATCTGACACTCTTGCTTTGCAGGGCCACACTGAGGTGTTCCCTGGCGGGAGCCGAGATCCAAAGTTAAGAAGCTCCTGCTGTACTTCTGAGTGGAGCCTCATGCATCTTCATCAACGAGGCACCCACTACCCTTTCCAAGCTAAGTACACACACGCATGTACCGTACCGGTCTGGGTCAGAGGTCAATGCCGGGTAATGGGGAAAGAAGAATAGCTTTGTCTCACTTTGTCTCCAGGTTAGCTGGGGTTCAAAACCCAAGTCGTTCTTTTGTAGGTTGATCAAAATTGCTCCTTGGACGAGGGAGGTGAACATGGGGTTCCAAAACAACCGCCAACCGCCACTCGAAATGCAGCTTGACCTACCTGGCCTACCGAAAGCTCTTGCATGGTGCAACCTCCGAGTGAATCACACGTTTCACATCCGTGCCCCCAACTGAAACGAAAACAGGCGGACCGAAGACCGAAGACCAAGATCCGTTGAACCAATTCTTCACATGGTTGACTTCTCCGACAAACCTGAGTCAATGGTGAAGGCTCAATAAACGGGGGGCGCGAAACCAGTGCTTCGCTGCAGTTCCCAAAACCGTTCGGACGATCTGAACATCGACCTGGGACGAGGTCCACCTCTCGAGGGGTTTCGGTGGCGAAGAACTCGTCCTTTTGCATCACATAGGCCTCGCGAACCCCCCACCCCGCGCTGGCCGGTGCGGAAGGCACGGCCACCCGGCGAGGGGTGGAAACGTTGAGACGTTTTTCGGCCCTGGAGGTGGACCAAAACGAGGGAGGTCGAAGGCACGAGAACCTCCAGGACCATCCGAAGTACGGAGGTACCTGGACGCTGGGCCCGGGTGGAACTTAGCCTCTTTGGGGAGACACTCGGGAGCAAGATGATGCTCGGTTGAAAGCTTGATCCACGAGTTGTGGCACCTGTGGTTCGCGGACAGCTGTCATCAGCAGATCGCCGACCGCAACGAAGTTTGCCGTTGTCCGACCGGATCGGGTGAGGCAACAACTTTCTCTGAAGAACGCTCAACGACGATTTGAGACGTTCACCAAGATTTTGACGCGTTTCCTCACCTCGGCACATCTATCATGTCTGGCCGATCTCACCGGCAAAGGTGGCAACCGTCCGAAGTCACCCAGTGTCCCCAACCTCCCATGTCCCAAGCCCACGGAACCACTCGTCAGACATGGCGTGGTCACCCCACAGGTCTCCACCTCCCCAGGCGCGGACCACCCAGATCCACCCGGACCCTCCGGCCACGCGGGGTCGCAAGCGCCAGGGCTCCACGGAGCGGCCGTTCACCCGGAGATCGCCATCGATGTGGAAGACACGAGAGGTGAGCTGCCTGGTTTTTCAACGATGGAAACGATCTGAGGATGACAGAGACGGCGGATGCGATGAGACGAGCCGTTCCGCAAGCGAACCGTACAGCTCATTTCTTATGGTGTTGTTGAAGTCAAGAACTCCACCACCCAATGAGTTGTGGTCGATGTTCCTATTGGAATACACACCCATATGGCTGGGATGAAAGGGTCTTGTATCTTGAAAGTTCTTGGTCTGCATGGAGGATGGCGATGGTGCTGGCCCATCCTCGCTCTAGGCGACTTGGGCATGGAAGGAAGGGGCCACGGGCACGAAGCTTGCGCGGGAGAGCAGGGGGATGCATGTCCCTCATACAGTATGTCCAATGTTTGCATCCCCCATATGCCAAAGAGGTGGGATTCCCCTTTTTGTGCTTCAACCTTTGGACTTGCCAGTTGCCTACTTTTGGGAGTCTTGCACTCCTACCAACATACCAAACAACTGCAAGACCCAAGCTCTGTGGTCTGCTTGCGTTGACCCAGCTTTCAGGCGACCCTCTCCTATAGGCAAATAAGAAAGCGAAAGAACCAAGTGGAAAAGATGTTGAAACTCCACCATAAGAATGTGTGGTTGAATTTGATAGCAGTTGCAGCATCCACCATATCAAGTTTCATGTTGATCGTACCGTCCATCCTGTCTCACCAAATGCTGAGCTTAACATCAATGGTGTCTTTGTGGAATTTGGTACCATTTACCTATTGGTTGTGCACTTGAGGGCTTGGGGGTATCCCCTCAAGAAACAAACCAACCCATAGGAAAAGGTCAGCTATGCTTCACATCTTGTCTCTTCTAGGCTCCACGAGCCTAGAACAGGCCAACGGCAGCCAGGTGGTGCGCCCCGACACATTTCGCAAATGCAAGCATGAAAAGCGCGGACCATTCATGAGTCGTAGCGATGCCAGGAGCCCCGAACGTAGCTTCTTGTTACAGTAATATGTTGGCTTCAATCCACTTAAAGGGTCTCACAAGTTCTCAGCCTCGGCTCCGCTCCCTCGCTACAGACCTCCAGCCGCCCAGCTGGACAGCTCCATGTGTCCCGCCTCCCAGCCAGCACGTTCAGCAGCGTGCTCTTGCCTGGCGCCCACGGGTCACACCGGCGGAAAAAGCGGAAACAGCGGCAAAGATGGGGTCCAAAAATGGCGCCAAATGACCCTCCAAACACACCGGTAAGAATCCACCGCTGCTGTTGCCAGATTGTAGGTCTTGATTTCCAGCGGCCGGGGAAGCATCCCAACTCATCCTTCCATATCCTTTCTGTAAGCAATGAACTCCGATTCGAAGGGATCGTTTCAGGTCATCGCGGAGCTTCTGTATTTTTCGTCGCCTGCCCCGTCAACCACACGATGTCACATCATGTCACTATGTTCTGCAGCCGACATGTTTGAGTTTCTTTTTTTTCGAAGAAGGGGATTCCGGGTCGGTGTGGTCAACAGGATGACCCTTGTTCAAGTAAGTCAGAACACCAGCTGGACTTCCATAAACCAACTTCCACTGTTCAGCCCGGAGATATTCACAAGGACACATGGGTCAATGGTACGGTTCTTCCCTTTAAAGATGCTACGTCATGTAAAACACCCATCGGATAAGTGAATTGGAGTGCTCCCTGGAAAACTTCAGCAAGCCAGGAACAAGAACCAAGCAGCCCTGCCCAGCTACGATGTGTGGATGGTGATTTCACTCGCCCTGCCTGCGCCGGAACCGCCAAGGATGCAACAAACCTGGCAGGGTCAGACCGCTGTTGTGAGCATTCATCTCGGAGACAGACGGTTTTTTCGGCGCGTCTTGTTTCGTGACATGATGCCATACCATGTCTGGTTTTTGGTCTTCCAAAAAGACATCGGAAAAAGAAATGAACAAAACATCCACACAAGACGTTGCTGCTTTCTGTCTTGCCTCTTCGTTCGATGCAGCAACGCTACTCCGGCTGTCTGTTGGTTCGAGCCCCCGCCTCCCCGGGCCGAGCCCGGCCCGACATCCGGCTGAGGATCTGCTTTTGCAGGGCATTCACACTGAAGTCCTCCCCGAAAGAACGGCGCGAAACCCGCGGATCCGATCCGTGTTGGGGTGGGGCCCCCGGCCGGCCACAGGAAAGAAGAGGCGTTGTGGCATGGTTTTGGGGCTGGAAAACAGTTGATGCCCAAACTCTAGATGCATGAATATGTTCAGACAGAAGACGGTCTCCTTTCGCTGAAGTCTTCAAACATCATGGTCAAAGCAGCGTGAATTATTCAGACATGTGTTGCTTGGGTAACTTTGAGTCTGCACAAAATCTTGAGGAACAACTCACTGCCCCCACGTCTGGATCCCGCCAGCTCCAGCTCCCTCCAGCTGAGTTTCCCCAGCCCACTCAAGGGTGGCTGGCTGGGCGCACAAGAGGGTCGAGAAGCTTTTGCAACCCAGACTTGGCCTCGCACTTCCGCCGGTTGTGCTTCGTTCCGAACGATCAACGTGTGCTCGTTTGCGGAATCGTGTGCTGGCCTCTTCTTGCTCAAAAAAGGTATCTAAGACTTGGATGTGTAAAGCACGTTCTATTGTATTAGCAAGCGTCTGCAGAAAAATAATAACCACGTTTAGCTGGGGTCTTCCAGTTAGGTTAACCTGTGGTTGGGCACCACGTTCTTTCCACGCGTCACGCGTGGATGCGAGTTGCGAGAGGGCAGTGAGGCATTGTAAATTGGTTGAAAGAAAAGATGTCGCTGATCAACTGCCTTAAGCATCGACTATTGATTCATGTTTCTGGGCTTGAAGGCACCCAAAAACGAAGACAAGACTGGTTGCCCTGTGGTTCAAAGCCACGTCTCTCCACTTAACCCCCATTCTGACTGAGCTTAACCCACCTCTGGCTAATCTGCTTAAGGAAATCCTGCAGCTGTTGGCCATCCTGAGCAGCGGTCGTAGCACCACACGAGTTTCCACCGATGTATATGTACGCCTCTTCTTCTTTCGAAGCACACTGTCACTGCAGCTACAGTTGCCTTTTCACAGAAGTCTTTTGTCTTGGTGATGTTGTGTCCCAAAACCGAGTAAGGGCCGCCTCCATCCAGGATTCATCTTCTGATCCAAAAGACTTCTGAGAAGAGGCTGCCGACTCATGTAACTTTGCACCTGGTGTCAATCGTCAAGGTCTTTCTTAAATTCTTTCATATGGTCCAAGAAAAATGCCCTTGATCCTCCTTTGTGCATGTGGGTTTGGGCTCTTCACATCCCCAATTAGTGAACCAAATGGCTGGCCAAACCCTAGCGCCCCTAGCTACCAAGACTGGAAAACCGTCACGCGCTTTGCGTCAAGCTGCGTACTGGAAACATCCGAGTTCGGATGTTTCGCAACTCGGATGAAGGAGCGGCGATGAACCAAACCCACCAACTATCTGATTTGCGAACGAACATGTTCTGGCAGAGTCAACCTGTGGTAAACCTCTTATTGTATTCTCCCCCAAACGAAACCCCAAACGCCGGCAGGTCTGTGGATCACATCTGTGGGTTTGGAGCTCGGAACGCCACAAATCCATCACTCCCCAAGCATGTTCCCGCACTTCGTTGCCGGAGCTGCGAGCAAGCACGACCAGGTAGGTCCATTGATCCAAGTGAATTTCTACAACTCATCCACACGACCGTCTTACAAGTCCAACTAGACTAGACGCCTTTGTTGTGAGACCAATGATCTCACGCGCAAAGAAATACGAGTTGAACAAATCCGAACGAAACACAAACGAAGCCCAAATGAGGCTTGGCGAAGGCTCATTGGAGCTTGCCTCAAACAAAGATCCAAGACCGAAGACACCCGTTTCTCGCCCACGCATCCGGGGCAACACAATCGTTGAATGCACAGATTGTATAAATGTCAATGGATGTTAATGGATGTCAATGGTGCAAATCCAACATGATTCTTTCAAAGAAAATTAGCTGACCCTCAAAAGTAAGAGTTGCCCACCAATGTGAAGAAACTTAAAGAGTGAACCATCTCAGCACTGCCCATACCCCAGTCTTATCTTCACATCACGCAGGATGTGTTCAGCAGTCGTGGGCAAAAGAATGTTTCAGTAAAAAGCAAAAGAAAATGAAAAAATGATCATCAACAGGTGCATCGCTAGTAGTAACAAGTGCATCGCTACTAGTAACAAGAAGCTACTAGGGGCTCCTGGCCTTACTACTAGTAACAAGAAGCTACTAGTAACAAGTGCCACGCTAGTAGTAACAGGTGCCACGCTACTAGTAACAAGAAGCTACAAAAATGATCATCACCTGCTTAGCTTCGCTTCATCCGGTGAGAACCCGGCCCCCCACTGAGACGGTTCATCCAGGCGTCGCTCACCGTGGTCGGTCCCGCCTGTTGCCGCGGAAACGAGGCCCCAGAACCAATTGGTCGGTGGCCCAGAGGAGATCCGGAAAGAAAGCCCCTGCAAAACTGGAGAGACATGCTGTAAACACCCAATTCTGTGCAAAGAGAGAAAGCCAAGTTGGAATGGAGCAAGAAAAGAAAATGAAAGAAAAGACACGTAGAATCGACGTAGAATTTATCAAATGTTGGCCGTCCTAAAATCAATTGCAAAAAAAAAGAAAAACAATGTCTCTAGCAGTGACAAAGATTTGTTGAAGTGATGATTGCTGATGTGTTGTAGTCAGCAGAGGCTTCATTCCCCCCTCTTCTGTTCAGTGGGAAGTGGGCATTCCCTGAAAATTCTGCATTGCTGGTCTACATATGGCTACATCATGGGGTCAATCAGGCACCGGGGCCATGAAAAACACCACTCATATGATCACTCAAGCTCACCCCAGCTTTGCAGAAAACGACTCTCCCACCCCCAAAAGGACTTCCTCCCAAGCCGCGCCTCGTCCGCCATCGCCGCGGCTTCATGAGACGACCAATGTTTGGAGCGTTTGGGGGCATTTGGGGCGCTGACGCTGAAGTGACGGGGTGTGTTTTGTTTTAGAAACAAATCGTGACGGGGTCACGTTGGACGTTGGCAGTCCGCCCCGCCCCCTCGGCCGGTCAGGCGGGGATGGAATTCCCATGTCGAAGGCGGGCCAAATGGGAACATGTTCAATGACTGAGGTTCGTCACTTGGGTTTGGGGCCAAGTTTATGCATGTGATGCCGCGATGCCCGGGTGCAAATGGCCTGGTGGTGTCGCTGTTCTGTTCAAACTGTGTACATCTTTGCCCAGCGTGTGTGAAAGTTTGGGCGTTCTGGCATGATCAAACCCAAATGACCCCACTCATGTCGCGACAGGCAGGAATTGCTCTTGTCATTATGGCAAAGGTGACCTTGCTCGCCCTTTTCCGGCAAGCTTGAAAAAGTTGGCTGCACAGGTCCTATGTACTTGCACTCAGACTCTACAACTCTGTGTTTCTATGCCCAGGGGTGCCCCCAATTTGCGTCGACTCCTTCGACCAGTGCCTTGACATTCTGCCACGTTCACGTGCCGTCTTCCGGGCACCATCCACGCTTTTAGCTTGGGGGGACAAGAATATGGTCACAAGCAATATATATATATATGCGATGGGTCCGGTAGGTGTCACGATTCCGCTTCAGGAAATCAGCATATCAGATGTGTTGTTGATCTGGGGGAGAATCCAGGTTTGGGCACACCTGAAACTGCGGCATAGCTTGCCAGAAACGCTCGTTCGCTGCCCCTTTTCACCCACGGTTCCGCTTCTCCGGGGCGGATCTGCGCTCGGAGCTCTACATCTTAGCCTGGCAGAAGGACGGTCTACATCTTTCTCAGGGTGCGAAAATCATCAGATCAAACACCCACCATGCGTCCATGCGTTCTGGTCCTGCCTTTTTCAACCTACAACTTGTAGAGTTTGGCCACATGTTTGGCCACATAGGCTGCTACTACGCGGCAAAATCACTGCACCTCCACTGTCGAACGACCCCGATCCGCCAAGTCCGCAGAATGGGTTCTGAACCTGCAGTAATTCTATAGTACCTGCACCCCATCACAACCATTCGAGACGATGTTTTTGATGGGGGATGTTCCATCACCCACAATCCTGCCCTGCAGCCATCCAGCTCGGCACCTCGGCAGCACCAGTTTAGATGGAGAAAGCTAATGGATACTTGGATACCTCAGAGACAAAACAGCGGCAAAGAAATGGCTCAGCAAATGGATAGCTGTGAAAATGCCTTCCGCAATCAAATCAATGGCTCGGTTTTTCTCCCCACCGAACCACTCTTGTTGGAACACATCGTGTGGTCGCCTGGCCTCAGAAAAGACACGTCTCTAAGACTTTGGGGACGATCTTTGCATACCTGGTGGTCTTCTTGCATACTGGGTCTCCCCGTCAGACCTCCATTCCTGGTCTAAACCTGGTGAAGAAGACGGTTTAGACCATGCAAACCGCTGTGGCATCAGCGCAGCGGAAAGAAAAGAAGCCCAAAGCGGCGGGAGCTGGTGGGTGGGAGCCGATGCTCACCCAGTCACATAGTTATGGCTTGGCAAGTGACTGAAGCCAGGAATGAAGTTGTTGGTCCATTTGCTGGTCATGTGCGGTCTTTTGGTTCCTGAACCCGAGGGATTAACAAAGATCAGCATATCATCCGAAGGGAACATGTCGCAGTCGGCAATAAAAGGAAAATGAAAGGGCAGTCAAAGAAATTGCAAAGTGCACGGCATGAGGAAATTAAGGGAACATGACAAGATGTTCAAGCACATGAAAAGAAAACTACAAGAAAGGGTGACAAGAGGAGCTGGGCGACGACAGGAGCAAGCAACCAGAGAAAATGAAAGTCATTATAAGGGCATTGAATCATTGGAAAAAAAAAGAACTTGAAAGTGAGTGGTTGGAGGAAATGACAAGAACATGAACATAAATCAAGGAATAAGGACATGAAGGGACCAGATTCTCCAGAAAGGGAAGGACAAAATCCAAAGGATGATGCTCTTCCAGAGCTGCAAAGAAATAGCATGATCCAACAGAAAGGAGTGTTAAAAAAGAAAAAATACACCAAAATCATTCCGGCAGGCGTGGTGCCTGTCAGCGATTTTGCTGCCGTGGAGTGCGAGCTTCACCACAAAAGGACGACGAAAGAATTTCAAGTATCTAAATGGTAGAAATAGGGTGTTGAAAAGGACATGTAAAGGTTATGTTGCGGCCACGACATGTGGCGGGACCTTTAAAGAAGCAGATTGTAATGTGTAATACTTTAAAGTCCAAAAATTCGTGGCACCGCTGTGGGGTGAAAGGGCACCGCATCGTTTGGGCACCCCCCCGGCAGAGCGAAGGACGAGAACACCAGATGAGGACCAAAGAAGATCAGCCCTTGGGGGACCCAAAGAAGATCCGGACCAAAACTAGGACCAAGGGGACTAACGAGACCAGGAATTGTTGATCCTGTTCTGTTCCTTTTCAGTGGTTTGATCCTGCTCCATGTTTGGATCCTGTTATGTATATGTGTATGTATGCTTGTGTATGTGTATGCTTTTGGATCCACATGCCTTCCGCCGGTTCAACCTTTGTGAATCTCTCAAGCACAGGCCTCCAAAGCCACACCAAGCTCACACGCGGAAAACAACTCTCTCTGTGTGAATACCTCACGGTGCGAGTGGTGTGTCACGTGAGACCCACTCAAATCTTAGAAAGTTGGAATGGCCGTACAAATTTTGTATTTCGGTCTCGTGTGAGCAGTATCTGCTCCGCACTGGTCGCTCTAGGAGGCTGACCGCTTTGCCTCTTCATGTGGCCCGAGATGACTCTCCTGCCAAGGAGGCATAGTGTGGGCACACAGGGGTTTCATAAGCTCATTTGGCTTCTAAACTCCTGTGACCTCTTTTGTCTTGCCAATGCTTGGATTACGTGTGGTTACACATGGCGAGCTTGCTTGGTCACCGGACCACTCAAAAACTCAGTGTAAAGCCTTTTTTGCCGTGAAAGACGCGAGAGTCTGAGTGTCCGTCGCGTAGCTCAGCAGCACCAATGCAGTTTTGCATAGCTGCAAAGAGCAAATTGCAAAAATTGGAGCCCACGTGCTCGTGCAATTCTTTGTCACTACCGGTAGAGTCAAAACCCAGCCGAAGCAATGCAACATAGTCTTCAATTCGTGACAAAACAGCAGAAGAGTGACTTTGATGCCCCAAGTAGACTTGTTGGCTTAAAGCCCTAGTTCGCCGGGATTTCGAGGGTGATGTGGAGTCCACATGCCCTCACTGTTGGCCTTACCGTTAGCTGCAAGATGGCCTCATCAAGATGGTCTTTACTTTACTTTAGCAGAGGGTATTCTACATGAGTATGGAAAAATGGGTGCCAAAGTCTGCTCTGTGATATGAAGAAGTCTTTACAGTAACATGTCGGCTGTTCTGTGGTCGTGAATCCTTTGGAGCTATAGCCGCAGATGTCCGACCTTTTTGGAAAAGTGTCATCAACCATCTCGGCCTTTTGTTATCGACCTGTTCCATTTCCTCAGAAATGGCAGGCCATCTTGCCTGTAATACGACGGCCTTTCTGCGAAAGGCTCCTATTCTCACAGGATCCTATTCCGGATATCTCAGGAGATCAATCTGTATGAAGACTCGTGAAATCCTAAAACCCTCCCAGAAAGGGATTGTAAAACCTCTTCATATGCGGGGTTGGAATATCAAGATTCTACACTATATCAACCTTCCCGATCATCGCAACCTTTCTTCCTGGCTGCTGAACGCTATCCAGAGGATCCTGTGGCGATTTCCGACCCATCAGTACCCATCAGAAGTGCTGTTCGATGGTTACATCAGAGCGAGGTGTCGTGGGTACGGAACCCATGGCGGGCCGCAGCGCAAAGGAGAAGTCCATGGACGGGACTGTCTCCTCGGGCGTTCGGCGTCGCGCGGCTCAGGCGTCCAAAACGGTGAGGGTCTAGTACGGGGAGACGAGAACTCCAAAACAGATTCATCCTGGAGATTATAATGTTTTATATAAACATCGCTATTGGGCTGGAGGCAATGGCTACTAGGGTGCAGGCCATTGCTATTAGGTTGGAGGCCATTGCTATTATATAACTTGAATCTTGCACTCCAACATGTCAAAAATATGACCCTACCGGGAACCCGCTATGGTACTTTATGACCGAAGTCCTGGCGGTTGGATTGTTCCATATTCTATCGTCCTCAGCTCAACCCATTTGCGTCAGCCCATTTGTTCACCATGATGTTCTCTCTTTGTGAGACAAGGACCAAGGCTGCCAGTGGAACCCAGGTTGGTCTGGAAGTGGGACTCATCTTGCATCCTGGCGTGTCCTTCCTTTTCGGAATCCCAAGAATTACACTCTCCCAACTAACATGGACCGGAGAATGGTACCCTGAGTGCGACTGTTTTCCTCTTTATGTACAAACCAGTGGTTTTCAGGGTCCATGTTAGTTTTTTCAGCGAGGTACATCATATGGTTGGTTTCCAAAATATCTTTTCCCAAAATGGTGCATTCATCGCAATTCCATGGGGGCCCGCTTCTAAATATTCTTTAAACTCCAACCACATTCAAACCACAGGGATATTCAATATGAAGGCATGTCAACTGCAAAAATTGTGAGAGGTGTCTAGCGCGGACGTTTTCAGGGGCCTGTTGAGCTGCTGGAGCTGTTGTTGCTGTTGTTGCTGCTACTGCTGCTGCTAGATTTCTGCAGTTGTTTCCAATTCTCAGAAGTTTTCAGAACGACATAGGAAGGACGTAAGAGCTGACTCAAAACATTCAGGTGTTAGATAGGCAGATGGTCAAGAAATGGACCGTCGTCTAGCGCGGTGCTAGCGCGGATCTAGCGCCAGCCTAGCGCAAAAATCTCCGTCGATTTCTTCATCCTGTCAGGCTCTTGGTTTTCCTGCTTGCTTGTCTTCTTCTTGTTGTGCATTATTACTACTATTCTTCTTCTTCTTCTTCTCCTTCTCCTTCTCCTTCTCCTTCTCCTTCTTCTTCTTCTTCTTTGTTTTTCCTTTTTCTTGTGTTGCTTCTTCTTTTTCCTGCTCTCTGCTGGTTTCTTCTTTGCTTATCCTGTTATGAAGAAACCTAGCGCCAATCTAGCGCTGCCTTGCTGTATCACCATAGTCTGCTGGGGGCCCGCGTCTAAACGAATACATAAAACACATCTCCAACCCTAAAAGTTTACGTTTATCTATAATTTTTGAGTAGGGCTTTTTGAGTGCAGTCCATATACATAATACATTCTTCAAATTGTGATCACAAAGCATCTCCGTCGGATGAGAGGGTGCCCCTCATGAACTGGTGACACCCCTTCCCCCACACTCGGCAGGTCGAAGATGGGCCGGGATGGGCGGAAGGGCCTGCGGTTTTCAAACCGGAGACGCGCCAGGGTTTTGGGCCAAGTTTCCATGTAACATGTTGGTATTGTAGTTACATTCGGGTGAGATTCACGCAAAAAATAAAAACTCTCCAAGCGTTTCCATGTGCGAAATCTCGGACATGTGCCAAGGGTTCTTTTGGTTGCATGCACCTATGACTGCTCTGACCGCACAAAAAACGACGAAAAAAGAAACACCAAGTCTCCAAAATGGTTAAGAGAAAAGGAAGCGCCAAGTCTCCAAGGGCTGCATGTAAAGAACTTGTGCAGGGGCACCATTGGAAGTGGGAGTGTCCAGCGAGAGGTGCGAGTTGGTCACACTGAAAACACCTCGAAAAAGGCCATGCTTGGGTGGGGACCTGGGAGGGAGGGCGTTTCTCGGGGTTCTCGTGTCCAAGCTTAGGAAGTATACCACAAGGTCCAATGGCCACGCTGGCACCAGAACCACAGCGGCAACATGAAAAATCCGCTGCAAAAACTAACACAAAACCGCCAGACTTGGGGATTCAACACCCTCTCAGTCGCACGGCACCGGCATTTGCCGTGAGCATCCACGCAAAGAAGCAACCAACTGACTGTCACAGCACAGTTAAACACCACACCTAGAAGCGAGCTAACTTCCCGTAACCCTCGTCTTCCGATCCGCCCAGGTGGACTAGTGACTGGAGTCATCAGAGACCCCGACTTCTTCTCCTTCGTCGCAGGGATCAGTCCACGATTGGATCATTATCCAAACACCACCCATTCGATTCGGCAAAGTTCCCACCCCATTGCTGACTCCCCGTTTTGGGCAGTGTCCAGACACCCAAGGTTCCCTCCAAAGGTCCGCAAGATCAAGATCCGGCACCCACGGCTCCGTTGAAGCCACTCCCTATGAAGATCTTCGAGGTTCGGAGGCCATTTCCCTAGCCACAAAGTCTTTAAACCTCTGGATTCCACATCTGTCCAAAAGTCGCACCCACCCCACAGCCACCAACAGCCACCAACAGCCGAGTTGCTGAACCGCCGAAGCTTGTCTGCCACGGACAAGGGAGGGTTTAACAACCGCTGTGCCGCTTTGTTGGCGCGCAGCTCCAAGTCTTCCTGGCATACAAGAGGTTTGGATAAACACCACTGTGTTGACTCGCAAATGAAGTACCCCTTATGGTGGATTGCTTGGTTGTTCTTCTCGGGAAAAGAGCTCTTCCACTGCTTGCCTGGCACCGCTTGGGTGCTCCACATGTCCACATGTACTATCCGCTGCTCCCACTTGGAATCCGGAAAAAGGGCCTCACCACCATCTCAAGGCACCCTCCCAATGCAACGACCTGACTCCGACCTGAGTCGATGCCGTGTTCTGCGGCACGAAGAGGATGGCGATCTCTTGGAAGACCGCACGGATCACCTGGCGCGGTGGCGACCACCGTGGCGACCACCCCGGCGACCCGGCACCGATGGACGGACCGCGTTTTTTCGGGTCAGACACCGGCAACAACGACCAGGAGAGCCATGGTTTACTGGAGAAGCATGAACGTCTGGTTTTCTGTAGTAGCTTAGCTTGTTATTTATTTATTTTTCAATTTATATATATATATATATACTGTGAATTTTAAACCTTTCGGTCCAAGTCTGAGATCAGCAGAGTCTGAGATCAGCATGTAGAGCTTCTTTCTCTCACTGAGGAACCAGCCTTGACCCACTCAGGTGTGTTCATGTCCGAAGCCACGAGTGTGCGAGGCCGCAAGGGTGGTGTAGGGTGGGTCACCCGTGACCTGAGCCATAGAAGCAGTGAGGACACTGCAGGGCGAGGCGCCCGACCGTTCGTACCAACCTTCAGGTGAGCTGTGAGTGGAAAACGCACGCGGCTGTGCGAGGGGAGGAGGATCTTTTGCTGCTACCTTTGTGTCAATCACATTGGTAGCGGAGCTACCGCTAAAGCTCCAGACAACACCTGACCCTTGTGCTTGGTTGTTGTTGACTGCGTGGTTGAGTCGGTGAATACGTTGTTTGGCCGCAAGGCAGTCGACGGGTTGCACAGTGTCTTGGTGGTGTTGTCACAGAGTTGTTGAGCTGCGGTTTCCAGGGAGGAAACAGCCCAATGCCACCGGAAGGTGATTCAGCTGGCTCCAGTTCCTCCACAGGAGGTTTGAGCAATCTCTCATGGAGCCAGGTTCCATCTTTCAAGCCTGGCGAGACGGACCTCACTGAATGGTCACGGAAAGTAGAGTTCCTGGCATCACTATGGCCTCCAGAACAACTACACCTGCTTGCCCCACGAGTTGCATTGCAATGTGAGGGATCAGCCTTTCAGAGAGTTGCAAGACTGGACCCAAAGAAGCTGCGTGTTGGAAGTTTGGAGGGAGTGAAGGCCATTGTGGAGGCCCTTGGAGGGATTTGGGGAAAACCCCGATTGGAGGACAAGTTCGAAAGATTTGAGCGTGCAATATACAGCACGGTTCAAAGAGCCAACGAGACCCACTCAGAAGACAAGAAGAGACTGATTGTTGAATCGCAGGGTTCACTGGAGTACAGAGAGGTGGTATCCAATCTGAAGCTCCTGGGGAGTCGATTCTTCCATGAGGTCCACTCCAGCGGAAAGCAGAACAATCCAATGACCGAAACCTATGAGGCCAATGCATTCATTGCTCAAAAAGCTGAGGGTCATGACCAAGCACCCGCCGAGTCCACCTACAATTTTGATGATTGGACCGAGGAAGAATGGATTGAGAGTCTTGCCAATGACGGTGACGAGGACGCCGCCCTGATCATGGATTTGCCAGAGCTGACCGAAGAGACGCCACTCAAGAGAATTCGAAGCAAGTTTTGTGCGGTTGTGAATCAAGGGACACCGGTGTTTTGAGGGTTTTGTGGGAGACCAATGAAGGGGAAATCATTGTTTTAGCCCGCAAAGGGAAAATGGTCACCGAGTGCGAGAATTGTGATGTCCGGACTAGCTTGCCAGAAAGTGCGTTTGCTAGCACCGCCCAATCACCTGAAGCCAAGTCAATGCATGACGCCGAAGCCAGTGCATTATCGAGCTTTTCAACTCGTGATGCCCTGGGAATCGTAGATACAGGTGCTACTAAGACCGTCATAGGAAGCGGTTTCGTAGCCAATCTCCTAGCCGCACTAAAGCCAGAGGTTCGGAAGCAGGTCCAAAGGTGTCGATGTTCAGTGGTTTTTCGGTTTGGTAATCAAGGGACACTTGAAAGCCAGCATGCACTCGTTGTCCCAATCGGACCGCTGAAGCTCAAGATTGCCATAGTGCCAGGCCGGACACCTCCTGCTGTCGAATACCCTGCTCCGAGCCATATATCTGGTGAAGTGATCAAAAGCACTCTCTTGAAGCGCAACATTCCAATTCAGCTAAATGCCAAGGGTTTGTTTTTAGTAGATCTGAATGATCTGATCACACCCGCCAGTCAAGATGCCGAAGCTGAACCTGCCGAGACCTTCGCCACTTTGAATTGCAAAAGCTTGCCAAGTGTCTCTGTCCAGAAGCCTGGACAAGTGCAGTCGGAAACCAAGACCATGATGAAACAGAACGTTCAGGTGAGGACAGGTCTTGTAACAAGCAGAATCCAACAGTTCGGAGCCGCCATGCCCGAATCAACAAAGACCCATACGAACACAAAGAAACCAAACGAACGTCCGAGTGTTCGCGGGGGTGAGAAAGTCTCATTCGAATCGGTTCCAGGGGGGGCCCAACCCGGCGTCATCCGTTTTGGGTTCAAGACCGGATCTGTGCAATCACACACGCGTGACCATCCCGTTCGTTCACCTGTGCCGCATCACTATCACGCCGACCTTCGAAGCAGCCGCTCTGAGTGCCCGCTTGGCACGTGTCATGGGGGAAGCAAAGCACGTGTCATGGGGGAAGCAAAGAAGGAAGAAGCCCGCGATCAGTTCGAAGCCTTCCAGCTCCTACCACTGGACGAGATGGGGCAAACCAAGATCGTTTTTGGATCAGCCCACCTCGGTCGGACCTACTCAGAGATGTGGGAAAAGGAGGCCAAGTATGTGAAGTGGTTCCAAGCAAGTCACCACTCGTCAAACAAGGTCAACCATCAGAAGTTCATCCACTACATCTCACTGAGGGTGACCTATGCCGAGCATCAACTGGGTCTGAACAGTCAAGACCCGCAGCCATCACCAAGTCAGAGGCCACTTCATCCGGCTATCAAGAGCAAGGCCAAGGCCAAGCCGATTCAGGAAGTGACCCCACAGGACTTGGCAGATCTTGCCGAGGACGAATCCTGGGAACCAGTTCAGGAGATCGAGATCCAGCCAGAGATCCACACGGAGATGGCAGCCATGGACACCCGCCTTCAGACCATCGAAGGTGCGATGCAGGAGATCATTGCCCACCTCCGGGCTTCATGAGCTCGTCATGGCTAGACTCTTTCGAGGAAGCTGATATACATGTATCGTCCATGTGCCAAAAAGATGTCAGTCCAGGTAAGACTCACAGTCTGTCCCATAAATTCCATGCACTGGTTCAGCAAATCTCGAAGGAAGCCAGTCTAGCAAGGTGTGATCCAGTGATCTCGAACGGATGCAGCCGTCTACATTTGCTGGAAGTGTTTTGTCATGAGGCCAGTGAACTGACGAAGCAAGTCCAATTGCTGGGCGGCAGAGCCAACCGTTTTGGAAGGGCGCAGGGGGATCTCAAAACCAAGGAGGGGAGAAGTGTTTTGTTTCAAATGGTGTGGAAACAAAGACCCCGTCACATATGGTTCAGTCCCACCTGTGGACCATGGAGCGCATGGAACACGTTCAATGAAATGAGATCAATCCAATTGTGTGAACATGCTCAACGAGAGAGAGAGAGAGAGAGAGAGTCACACTTGTTCGAACTTGCACTAGGAGTAGTCTTGCTTCGCATGTCACGTCAGCTAGGTAATCACATGCACTGGGAGCAGCCACGAAATCCATCATGTTCAAGACCCCACTCCTGCAAGAGCTGTACTCATATACTCAGGAAGCCAATTTCGACATGTGTCGAGCAGGTCAGTTGACATGTCCCGAAACGAACAAACTCATACAAAAGAGAATGGCCGTAAGAACGACGTCACAAGAGATGTATGCCTCGTTGCATGGCCGGGTGTGTCGTCGAGATCATGAGCACAGACCCATTGCAGGATTCGTGACAACGCCTCTCGGGAGAATTACTGTCAGTAGCTACACAGAGAACTATCCAAGAAAGTTTGCAAGGCAAGTAGCTAAGGTGATGTTGAAAATGAAACATGAGCCATGGGTCACTGCCCTTGTAACCAGAGGAACAGATCAACCGAGTGAGGAAAGTGCATCCAAGCGGATCCGTGTGAGTTCTCCCACGCAGAAGTCCCAAGGTGGGCGACTACCACCAACACCCCTGGAGCAATTGTCGACCGAATGCAAGCGCCGCCGCATTGACGGCAAGACGGCCGAATTGCTAAGCATGAACATGTCACCTCAGAGTCAACTAGAAGAAATCATCAAGGACATTCAACCAATGTTGCCAAGAGTAGGAAAGACCTTTATCACCAACCCCCAAATCTTGGAGAGGCTTCAAAACATGTTTCCCGAAAAAGAAATCAAGAGAGTCCAAGCATGCAAGGGATCAGATCGAACGCTGCCACCACCTAAGGATTTGGTAAAGAATGAGGCCCCATATCGTCGTGCCATCATCGTAAGCCGAATAGGGGGAGCAATCCAAGTAGAAAAGGACTGGGAATATTGGCAAGACCTGTCTCATCGTCAGCAAGTCCGCCCAGCACATCCCGCAAGAGTCAATATCACAATGTATGCATGTCCACCCCGATCTAAGTCAGGAGCATCAGGTGATTCGACCGAACAGTCTATGAGTCCCGAGGCAACGGGAACGAGCATCGAGCCGCAGGATGCGACTGCCAGCCTGCCGAACAGTGATCAAGCACCTGCCACAGAGATGGATCCAAATCAGGCCAAAGTGACAGGAGCAAGTCCGAGTCATCTCAACGTGCCGGGCCCTGACCACGGCCCAAAGTTTAAGACCATATCAGCCGAAGAAAGATCGTTTTTGGTGAAACTACATCAGAACCTAGGACACCCTCATGGTCAAAAGCTGTGTTCAATGTTGCGTCAACAGGGGTACTCACCACGACTGTGTCAAGCTGCCATGGACTTGAGCTGCTCTGTATGTCAGAATACTAGGGAACCCAAACATCAAAGACCATCGACAATCAAACGTGAACTTGATTTCAACGACTGTATTGGGATAGATGGCGTTGTATACACAAATCTGGCAGGAACAAACTTCCATTTCTATCACCTCATCGATTATGGAACAAACTACCAGGTAGCATGTGCGAGCCCAGGCAAAAGCAGTGATGACGCCATAGATAAGGTACTCAATGGATGGCTCCAATGGGCAGGGGCTCCGGTTGAGATTCACACGGACTCAGGTGCGGAATTCACCTCCAAGGAATTTGTCACCTTTAGGCCAGTTCAACATCAAAGCCATAGTTACCCCACCGGGCGCACACTGGCAAATCGGAAAGGTGGAAAGACATGGTGGAATCCTCCAGGAGATGCTCACCTTATTTATGGCATAAGGAGTTGGATCGGACCCTTCGTGATTTGAACTTCATTCCAGCACCCTTCGACCCATGTGCATACGTACTATACAAACCAGAACAAAACAAAATTTCAGGGGTCCTAGGAGTTCATGTTGACGATGGACTAGGTGGAGGGGATCAATACTTTGAAGAACAAATCGCAAAGCTAGAAGCCAAATTTCCTTTTGGATCAAAGAAAGTAGGTCAATTCACGTTCACCGGTGTTGAAATGAAGCAACAGGCTGACAAAAGTATCATCATGTCCCAATCCAAGTATGTAAGCAAGATCGAGCCAATCCACATGAATGCAAGCAGACGAACATGTCTGACGGATGAGGTGACCTCCGAAGAGAGACACTCGCTCCGTGCACTTGTGGGAAGTCTTCAGTATGCGAGCATCAACACGAGACCGGATCTTTCAAGTCGACTAAGCTATATCCAAAGTGAGATCAACAGAGCCACGGTCCAAACGTTACACGATGCCAACCGTATACTTCATGAAGCCAAACGATACAGAGACACCTGCATAAGAATCCAACCCATCCCAATCAAGGATCTCAGATTCTTGTTATTCTCGGACGCATCATTTACGTCAGCCAAGAGTCCAGAAAGTCACACAGGTATGATAATCTTGGCCACCCATAAGGACATAAGTGAAAACTATCAATGTCCAGTCAGCCCACTGTCCTGGGGATGTCGCAAGATCCAGAAAGTAGTCACGAGTACTTTGTCAGCCGAAACAACGTCACTCCAGACAAGCTTAGACCAGCTATCTTGGATGAGACTCTATTGGGCATGGATCCAAAATCCCCAAGTCAATTGGAAACGACCACATGAGGTTTTCAAAGGTGAACCCAAACCAATCCAATCAACGACAGCGTTGGCCCAGTGTTTGCCACGATCCGTAGCTGTCACAGATTGCAAATCTTTGTATGATTTGGTTACTCGAACTGCTCAACCAAATTGCCAGGAACTCCGTACACAACTTCAAGCAAAGGCAATAAAAGATTTGCTATCAGAAGGCATTCAGTTAAGATGGGTTCATACAGGAGCTCAGCTCGCGGATGCACTAACTAAGGTGATGCAAGGAACTTTCCTCCGATACACTTTGCAACGAGGCATGTATCAATTAAACGACGAACTGCAAGTGCTGAAAGAGCGAGCTGACAGCAGAACACGCCTCAAGTGGCTTGAGTCTGGGATCCCTCTGATGGAGGATCAGCAGCAAGAAGGGTGATCGACACACAACCAAAGAAAAAGGTAGATAGAATTTTTGATGGGTGTGAATTTCAAGCCTTTCGGTCCAAGTCTGAGATCAGCAGAGTCTGAGATCAGCATGTAGAGCTTCTTTCTCTCACTGAGGAACCAGCCTTGACCCACTCGGGTGTGTTCATGTCCGAAGCCACGAGTGTGCGAGGCCGCAAGGGTGGTGTAGGGTGGGTCACCCGTGACCTGAGCCATAGAAGCAGTGAGGACACTGCAGGGCGAGGCGCCCGACCGTTCGTACCAACCTTCAGGTGAGCTGTGAGTGGAAAACGCACGCGGCTGTGCGAGGGGAGGAGGATCTTTTGTTGCTACCTTTGTGTCAATCACAATATACATTGTTACATATTATAATATATATATATATATGTATGTGAGCTAAGAGTACCTCAAGGGGAAGAGGGTTTTGACCCACCCACCCTGTTTCGGTTAACAGGAGTCACTGTTGGTGACCTGACTCACGACTGACCCCTCAGACTGACTGGCACCCTTTTCTTGATTCACCGAGATCAGTTGGAGTCCAGATCGGTGCTTTGAATGATGTGTTGCATCTCAAAATTATACCTGCATCGACACCAAACAGCGAGTTCACAGTGAAATGGGGGGCAACAGTTCACCCCAACAGCAATGCTTTAAAAAAATATCGTCATTGAAATTGAACATGACCAAGAACACAATTTGGAAGACAAGGCCATTTGACCCTGACAAAGGAAAGCAACTTGGGACACAAAGTGGCAAGACAAATCCATCTCATGGCAGAAGGCCACTTGGCCGTGACAAAGGAAGGGAGACAACTTGGATTGCACCAGTATAACCCATCTTGTGACAGGAGCCATCTCTTTGAAAGCAAGTGGAACCCCAACAGAAGTGCTGTTTGGTGGAAAATACAGCCCTACACGAACCCCCCCGGACTTCTGACTTAAGGGTGCACAAAGTGCCAGCACCAAAGTCCATGTGGTGCGAAAAGCAAGCACGACCAAGCGCCAACACGCGCTTGGTAGCGCGCCGCACCTGCGTATAGGCCGCCATTTCAGCATGGACCAAAGAAGTCGAAGAGCTTTGCGAGGTGGTCGCCGCAAGGTCGCTGAAAAAGCTGGGCGAAGGTACGAGGAAATTGTCCTCGCCAGGGGCACCGGCAGCAAAAGCACCAGAGGAGTCGAGCGGCGACTTCGAGCGTAACTGTTGTAATTGGGCAGCTTTACCCATGTGCGTTTTTGGTAGACCCCGGTGAAACCATGCTTGATGTCAACGGGGTGGAACAAAACATGCAATGTTGAACCACAACGGGTGAAGGCAAATCTATATACCTCAACATGCAAAAAGGAGAACTGCTGGGGAGGAGAACGAACCTGATTTCAAGGACAGAACCGACTGGAAGGGTGTCTATCTCAGGTATTGAGTAAGATACGTTCAGACCTTCAATCACAGGCCTTTCAAGAGTGCAGCCCTTGTATTAGAATCTGAGTGTTTGATCGGGCATCTTCCTGCAAAATTGAAATCACTGGATGTCCTCCATCCCCAATGTCTTTTTTAGAGAGCATGTTGAAAGAATCCAGACTGATTGCTGAAGATAGTGGTCTTGTTTTCTATTCACGTCTACCTTTGCCTAACGTACCAACGGCAAAGTACAAAAAGCAAGCACTGCGCATCTTGTGCAAGGGCAGGGATAGTGGTTGCTTCACCGCAAACCATTCTCATATGGCCCGGGACTGACCGCTGGGACTGGCTGGCTTAAGGACGGTGGCGCAAGGCAGCGACCCCCGGTCACGGTCCTCTGCAATCACTGGAATGATGCTGCACGACTGCACTTTCCCGGCTTGAAGGAGCCACTGTTGCATCTGAGCCATTCGCAATCGCACCGTCGGGATGGGAAGGAGGAAGAAGCGGAGGAAGTGGAGTGGGCAAAGCGAGAAGGTTGAAAGCCTAAACACACTTTGATCAAGAATCAAAACAAGAAGCTATTAGTAACAAGTGCCTTACTAGTAGTAACAAGAAGCTATTAGAAACAAGTGCCTTACTAGTAGTAACAGGTGCCTTACTAGTAGTAACAAAAAGCCTTCAGCCACTCAGGATTAGTAGATTCCTTTGCTAGTAATTACTATTCTAATTAAATTCTTATTGTTACTAGTAGTAAGGCACTTGTTCCTAGTAGCTTCTTGTTACTAGTAGTAAGGCACCTGTTTCTACTAGCTTATTGTTACTAGTAGTAAGGCACTTGTTCCTAGTAGTGATGCACTTGTTCCTAGAATCAAAACCCGGACTAAACCGCAGTTACGTTCAGCCACTCAGGATTAATCCAAACCCGGACTTTCTCAAAAAGGTAGTCCCGATCCCTACGATTTGCATTCTTGAAGATGTCCAAACACCCAAAACCTTCTGAGAACATCGCCAAAAAATAACTTCCGGTGGTTGCTGACAGTGGTGACAGCGCGGGCCAAATTCAAGACATCCTCTGGATCGCCCCTCTTCAGAAACACCTTCTGTTTCACTTGGTGCTGCCCCGTTCGGTTCCACACACACACACCGTTCGGTGCCACCGTGTCCATCCACTTGCCCGCTAGGAAGAACCGAATAGAACGCGCCGCCTGGCTCGAGAGAAAGCAGTTCTCGCTACAAATGAGAATCGTGCTCTTGGCTTCGGTGGGCAGCTGCTGCCCTTCCCGCATGACGCAGGGGAGCATCATGTGTCTCAAGAGCAGTGGCCTGCGCTGGCCGGACACAGGGAGCGAGCGCGCGCGAGAGAGAGAGAGAGCGCATGAGCATGAGCATGAGCATGGATTTACCCAGTCCGTTAAACACGGCAATGTTGTTGGTTTTAGATCACTCTGGGCTGAACATCAGCAGAAGCAAGGATCCTTTGTCACGGTGGTAGTGTTTTGAGGGCAAAAAGGATTCAAGGCAGGATCTTGTTTAAAAAAATGCACAAGCTGTTGAGTTCCCTTCTCCAGAGCGGTTTTCTGTTTCACAACTATTTGCCGGGTCTTTAGTCAAAGGATCAACCCAAAATTAGTCAAAGGGAGCCTGTGTCACAGAGGCTTTGATCATCCGATGAAATGGATACGTATATGTGCAACGCTGCAGGATGCAGGTTGCCCCTTTGCCACTTCTGTAATGTTTCTCGGGCTTCTCTTTCTTTCCGAGATCCCCTGGTTGATCTGCAACATAAAAATCGTTCCTCCGATCCAGACTTCCAAACGCTTCTTTCTTCACTGCCACTCTAAAACACAACATCCAACATATGGCAGTGTCTTGAACAAATATCACAAAAACAGACCCCCCAACCTTCCCCAGTACGGTCGAAAGAAAGACCAGCAACCCACAAACGCGGTCTCCAAACCTCTCCTTTCTCCCAAAAAGAACCTCAAAATTGAGTCCAGGTCCCGTTGTTCGATGCGTTTAGGTGGTTTCGTCGGTCTCCTCAGGAGATGCTGCAAGACCAGGGCTGCCGCCACGCTTTCGATGTTCTTTGGATCCACCATGATGGGCACCACCATCGAGTTGGAGGGGCTCTCCGGGTTGTTGAGCCCGCTCACCCTGCTGGTCGGTCTGTAGGTCGGCCGAAGGACCAAACCACCCGGTCGAGGCCAGGTGTTTCACCGGTGTTTGGGATCAGTTTCATGCCCCCGACAATACGAGAGATGTTGTTTACATATGTTTACATCACATGTTCTGCCCTGCAAAGCCCAACACTTCTCACAACAAGGAGACGTTTTTACGAGCAGTTCTGGTTGGAAAGAACCGTGTGCAACTATCTATATTGCTACAAAGACATCGGGGTTGTGAGGAAAAAGGCTGCTTGTTGATCCACTGGCTTACCATGCAGCATTCTAACTGCGAAATAACAAGTTGTTCATAGTTTTTCACACCCACTATAATGTGAGTTTAAATATTCAACTGGTTTTCTCAAACAGATCTGAAGACACTTGGCAAAGGTTCCACGTGTACCCTTTTGATCCTCAGGCGGCCTTGACTTCCAGATGGTTTGCAGCCAGATCCGGAACGCGCCACTGGTCACTACTCACCCCCCCTTGGGATGATCATCTCACTTCTTGGAAATATGGAGCTTTTCCATCCCGGGTCCGGAGTGTCCGGCACTGTACTGGGCATCCACCGGACCTCTAGGCGCGGCTATAGAGAGCCCTATCTCCGAATTCCGATCCACGGGCCAGTCCACCGGACCTCCACGTGCCCAGCATGCCCAGCAGCCCAGCCCCCCCGACCAACCTCGGCGTGAGGTTGGTACTTCCACGATGTCCCGTGAGAGACTGCACCAGATGCTTCACCGCCGCATCCGTGAGCAAGCCTGGGAGCCAGAGCGTCTCCTGGCGTGGATGTTACGAGGATGACATGAAGGAAAAAAAGCAAAAAGCAAACCAATTGAAATATGAAGAACTGAGGCTGAGCTGCACAAGAACCAGAAACACGACTGGAGCAAGAGATAAGCCAACTAAGACTAAAAGGAATGAATGAAAGGAATGAAATGAATGTGTGTAAATATGCAAAGAGCCGAATAAGAAGAAGTGGAGCTCCTCTTGTGATTGTTCCAACTCTTTCTATTTTTCAATACTGGGTTCATTTGTTCGCTTCTTAGAATGCTTCTTTAAAAAAAAAGAAAAACACACAAGGGCCGCAAGGGCACAGCAAGAAATAGAGAAACCACTGGACCAAGAGAAATACCCCTTGGGAAGAGTATATAAGGGTTTATGAAGAAAAGGACAAGAATCCAAAGTAGAAAGCTGGAAGAGCCAAGTAAGACACGGGGCAGATCAATTTAGGAGTCTTTGTCTGGTTTTACAACTTCGTACATCATACATAGATAGAGGCAGAGGGTTGTGCCGTTTTCGTTGCTCAGTTGTGATAAAAGCAAGGGCTGAAGAAGACTAGAGACTATCATAATGGAGCAAGATGGAGCAAACTACTCAAAGGCGGCAGATGAACTAAATGAGAAGAGGAGCAGCTACAGTAATTGAAGATGGCCAAATGTTCATAAGTTTATATCCAGGTTAGGGCTTGGAACCACAGAAAAACAGGAAGAGCTAAATGTGAGATCGGACAATCAATTTAGAAGGAAAATAGGAGGAGGAGCCAAAGAGAGACATCCCCAAGAAGCAAAAGGCAAACTATGTAGTGTGTATATATAATATATGTTACTATGTTGTTTATAACTTAAAAGGGAAAAGCAATTAAGATGAATTAAGATTGCCAGGTATCAATGAGCAAAAAAGGATACGTCCAGACTACGGGCTAGTCAGCTTGTGCAAAGCTGCATGTGCATCCTTTATCCTGAACTTGCACAAACTGCAGGATTCCTGCCTCAAAAGCCTTCAACATATCGCTCCACTCCTCTATTTCGGCAAACTGCAAAGGACGACAAACGACAAAGCTACATCAACCGGCACTTGCTGCCAAGTCTCCACATTCACCAAATTGCGTAGGGTCTTCCTGAGGTCTACAGCTCTGCTTTGCCATCCCCCAGGAGACACAGACACAGGGTCACGGCAATTCAGGAAAGAACATAAAGGTTGTAATCCCAACAATGGTATATACTCACAATTGTGGTAGTTTAGTTGTTTCCAACCAGAGTACAGGAAGGATACCAGTAGCCACCAGCAAATGGGTTCCAGCCAAACTAAAGAACAGCATGTTTGGATGATGCAGTTTTTGGAGTATGCTGTTCTCTTTCAGCATCTTCCAAAAGGATTGAAATCGGCCGGGCAAAAGCTTCCACGCCATTGGCTCTCCCAGCCCCCATTCCACCAAATCCGGTTCCGTGCTCTTCTGTCATCCGGATAACTAGATTGGGCCTACGAAAGGTCACTGAAGAATAAGCAAGTAGAAAGAACCTAAATCAAACAACTCCAAAACTGTAGGTCAGCAGTACACAAAGCCAGGGTGTGTCCTACGATTTATACAGGTCCTACAAGTACTTACTACACATGTGTTTTTTCCGCTTTTCCAGTCAAAGAATCGAAAACACCTCCCGACATTCCTTCAAAAAAGCTTTTCTCCAAGCCGCCTCACATCCGTCAAACTGATCCCGAACTTGGTGAGCTCTTTGATGTCCGGCACAGTGGACCGGTAGTTCTCGATGAACTGCTCGTCGGGCAAGACCATGGTCGGCCAGGCCAAGAGGACGGTACGAACCTGGACGGTTGGTCCACGGTGTGACGGTCCCCGGTGGACGGACGGTTTCGGTTTGAACATGGTGGACGAAAACCACGTGAGAAGGCAGGCGTGAGAGAACACACACAGCCTGGTCGACCATGATGCAAGAAAGCTGGACTCATCCAACTGATTCTGTCAAGAGAAAGCTGTGCAAAGAACGTGGAGTGCACCGGACACGTCATCGTCAAATACGCCATCTTCACGGCTGGGGTGGGTAGGTGGATGTGGAAGCCGCAAACGAGATGAGGAAGAACCAGCTCAATGGACGGTTAAATGGTTAGTACTTTTCACATCGAGGTTGTCCTGAAGGGCCTCGAAGTATTGAACAAGTGGGCAAACAACCTGTTTTCGGACCCAACCTGCAAGCAGGGCATCACGACATCGTTGCGCTGTGCTCACCCTCTTGCCTCGTTTGTAAAGGCCGTGGCCATCTCCCCCATGCACCACTTCCGCGTGAAGATCGCGGGGCTCCCGAGCACCACGAAGGTGTCCGTGTCCTCGCGCGCGGGCGGTCGGCGCAGGCCGGCTGACGTGTGCAGGAGTCGGTTGGCACTTGGGGGGGGTAAACAGCCGCTGTGAAGAGTACAAAACCAGCAGTATGGGTTCCAGAGAACGGACGAAACCGAAGAAGGAAAGGAAAACGCCTGGATGTTGTCATTCCTCCATTCTGGACTCATCCTTCTAGTGTATCACCAAGTCCACCAACGTCTGATAAGCAAACAATAATCCTCCACTTGCTTTTGGACAAGCGTGCACTGTCCATTGCAGCCATTCCGTCGTTGACGAATGCGCAACCATTCGCTGTCCAAAACCACTAGCTGTCAACAACCCACTTGTAGCTTCCACACCAGCCCGGATACATGGAACGTGATGAAGGCTGGGGTTGCCTGAGTTGCTTGATTTAAAAAGTTGCTTGATGTTTAATGTGGTTTAGAACAAGATGGAACCCACACGGTGCCCACCAAGCTCTCAAACAAGAGTGACTGCTGTTGAATCGCTCGGCTTGAAGAGCTTCCTGCGCGAGGGGGGATCCTCAACTGGGTCGTTTGTGGACTGAACTCCTGCCGTTTGCGGATTTCTGGTACAAATCAGGGTCCTCCTGCACTCCTGCTATACCCCAAAACGGGACCCCAAATCCGGGTGCTCCTGGGCCACGTAACTGAAGAGCCGTGTGAGATTCATCAGGTCATCACTATCAACGAAGGTCTTGCTGCCAGGGCTGCCTGGTCACGCGTTTCTCGAAACGAAACGCACGACGCCAGAGACAGGCCACGGCTGACGCCAGAGGCTGACGCCAGGATCCCTGTCAAGACCTTGACAACAAAAGAAGATGGAGAATACACATCGGGATGCATCCCTCACGTCTCCACGACGTTAGGTGAGGAGGGTATCTCCTCACCATGACCCACCACCCACCACTTGAGAAAGTCCCCAAGCGCCAGGAGAAGGCGTTTCTGCCGGCAAGTCTTTGAAATTCCACCTGCTCTGCCTGCACGAGCGTGCAGCGGCGTGTCTTGGTGCCCGCGTGCCCATCCGACGCCAATCGGTCAGCCCAGGGGCGATTCTGCAGCTCGATCTTCAACAGTCGAGCCATCGACCCCGAGGCAGCTTTATGGTGACCTCACAAAAAGACAACACGTCGATGCGCAGATCCGGAAACGGTAGGTTCCAGAGAGGCATGTTGCTGTTTGAATATGCAAACTTTCGTGTGCGGCAGTTTGGGTGTGTTGGGCTAATTCAGGTGTTTAGAACACCTGGCCTCTGTGAGAAGGTCCAGGAAACTTGATTATCTTGATTAGGGATGATGAAGGGTCTCAGATGTTTGCGATGTCTCCTTTAACCACCTGAAGAAAGAGTGTGATGCGGAGATGCACAGATGTGAAACCAAAAAATCACTGAAAATCGAGAGCTCCAAAACCGAAACATGCAATGGCACAGCTAAGGGATGCGAAGGCGGGAAGTCTAGTTGAGTCTTCAAGGGCCTAAGAAGGTAGTGTCCACTCATCCTCTTCTCACAGGTATGTCGGCTCAGCCTTCCGAGTCGATATCACAGACCACTGCAAACGTCTTTGTATATGGCCATCGCTAGCTTGGGGGCCATCGCTTATGGGTTGGAGGCCATCGCTATTTCTTTGCGCCAGACTTGCATCATCCCCGACACCCACAGATGCAAAGGTTTCATGTGCTACAAGATCAACCAGGTGGTTGTTGCAAGCCCAAAATTCCAAAATTGAAAAATTGAGCCTGTGCATGCCAGAAAGCTGGGATTGCAGTAAGTACACTTGGAAAGATTGTCCTTGTTGCGGGCCATTTGCATACAAAGTACCAACGATGCAGGAATTTTGAAACTGTGGATGCTTCAGGTATATTTATATGATAAATATTAAGAAAAAATGACCAACGCCGGTCACAGACTACTCCTCATATTGAAAGAAATACTACCTCGGCGTTTCACCAGCTCACCAGCTCTTAGCTCCCGCTTACCATCGGTTGAAAGAGACCAAGAGAGGGTCTCCCGAATGTGCGACAGCTCCCAAGTAGCAAAAAGGTGAAACCTGGAGAAGCCCAAAAAAGGCCCATGTCGTAAAAGAAGTCCGCAAGAACCTATCTAGTGCCACTCGTTTGTCTCACAAGTCCAAAAGCGAGCGACGAAGAGGCCGCGCAGACACGAAACGACCTCTGAAGACATCTTGGGTTGCCAAGGTGCATAAGAAGAACTTGAACTCCTTCCGAAACTTCCTCAGATATTCTGGATGGCCAACACGAAACGCATCAACCCGCAACAGAAACTCTTTGCCGGGCTGTACATGTTACCTCCACATGACATGTTCTCCAGGGCGTGCTCCCAAGCAGAAACACTTCAGCGGATTCATATTGGTGGCGAACATGCAAAAAAGAACAGAAGGACGAACAGAAGAGTCTTCTTGCTAATGCCTACCTATGAAGTTTGACTCAGCTCAAGTGTCTGTCTAATAGCCTTGTAGATGCCAAAGCCGACGGCGCCCAAAATACCCAGAACCATCAACGACAGGCATGCCATGATGACCCAAATGTCATTGCTCGCATCCACGTCCTGCCGTGTTTTTCTTGTGCGTCATCCATTTGGTCTACCTTTCAGCAGGGGTTTTTGACATAACACTCAGGAAGCTTTTCGGATGGGGATCGAGTCCCACTCCCCTCTCCTGTACGAACAAGGCAGCCATTTCCGTGATCCCTAAGAGCCCGCAGAGCAATACAACGTCTAAGAAGTTGGAGACTGCCTCGGTCTCTCGGTCTCTCGGTCTGGATCGGCTTCGCATGCGAAGCGCCGTGCATGGAGTACCATGACACAACCACATTTGATTGAAATCTTGGCAACTACATGGAGTTGGAATGTGCTCACTTGGGTCTGCAAAAGATAGAAAGCTCAAAGCCGCCACTCTAGTGACTGGTGAACCCTGATGGCTCGTAAGGCAAGAGGATAAAAATCTGGATCTTGCTTTGGTCAGGATGATCCAAACTGAACTCTCTGCAACAAACTGGTGATTCTAAATCTCTTCTCGCAAGACGAGTGCTTCTTATCGTGCAAGACGAGTCCAGCGCTTCGATACCTACACACTTGCTTTCACGGTCCCTTCTTCGCAAAAACTCGACCTTACAAGCATGGAAAGCATGTGACGTCGTATGCATATCTTCTAGAGATGTAGGGAAACCCTTTGGGGATGGCTCAAGGTTGATTGAAGAGTTCGAAATCTTCAAGTTTTAGATATCTTCAAGCAAATTTCACAGTGCAGTGATTCTATGAAAAATACACTCCCAAACAAGGTAATGTAGAGACTCCCCTCCCGCCCCTCTTCGACAACGACCAAGAAGAGATAGTGATTCCATCCATCGAAGCCAAGCTGCTGAGCGCCAGGGAAGCACATAAACCACCGCGATCAGGTTGGCGCCCAGCACTAGGTTGAGAGCTACTATCTTCCCTGACATGGAAGGAACCTGATGGCGCTCTGGAAAAGCACTCTCCAGCAAACTCATGGCCCAACAAAAGGGCCTCGAATAAGAATGTCAAGCTACCATGGTCAGACGGGGCGTTGACACAAAAACATAAACGATTCATGGCAGACATGGATCAAGCTGCATGAATCGCTCCATCGGAAGCTGAACTGTTGGATGTGTCCATATGACCCTATTTGACCACCCCTGGAAGAAGGAACATAGACCGCACCCCATTAGTGGAAGATTTCCCTATCATCTACTGCGACCAGAATCAAAAAGGTCTTGTTGCTTCCCAATGTCCTCAAGAACCACTCCAAAAGAAGCGCCTGCGACACCGTGTTTCACCACTCTCTCCAAAGCACCTGCTCTCCAAGGCCCCAAAATCAGGGAGAACATGGGAGAACCAAATCTGGATGTGTGGGGTCGCCCGGTCCCCTGGACCTGACAGGTGCCGATCCTCCGGATCCTCTTGGATCGAAGTGGACAGAGGAGGGTGAACTTACACTCTGAAACAACGAACGAAGTGGAAAAGGGCCGCTTTAGCAGACCATGGTGGCGAAAACGTTTCGAAATTACACGTCCATGTTGGTGAATGGAAGAGTCTCCTTTTTCAGGCGTGAAGGCAAATGTTCAAACAGTCAACTGCTTCTAGTTCACCACACGAACACCTTTGCAGCACAGGAGCCAACGGGCACAAGACCACGAAGAGATTTCGCACCTCGCTGCGAGTTGGTGGATCTGGATTTGGCAAAAGACAGAGCGTTGTTGAGGATAAAACCAGAACCATGAGCTTTAAACGCGACATGTATGTACCAGGGCCCCCAGTTTGGGGTGGTTAATGGACACCCCTTAACCTCTAATGACATTTTTTAGGGGGGCCCTGGTATCTATTCTGGCTTGGGTAGATCGGCGGGATTCGGCGAAACCATCAAATGAAGAACACAAGAAACCGACCTTTCTCTAGAAAGAAAAGTCTATCCCTTTAGATTAAACACTTTCAATTGGGTGGCTACAGGTCATCTGGACTTCATGTGTGTGTGTGCAATAGAATTCGATCTAAGCAACTTCCAAAATGAATATACAAAGTTGGTCTTATCTACTTTAGGCTTCGTTTCTTGTTTTCCGGCTTTGCTGTCCAAGGATTGGGGTACTGTGTCCTGTGCGTGAGCGAAGCTGAGTTAGATTACCACCTTAAATGTTCCATGTTCAGCACAGCGCCACATGATCATTCAAGAGTGACTGGCACGATTAATTCCAATTTCTTGTCGGGGCACTTGGTCTTAAGACGGCCCGTGTCTAGTCGCGTGTGTTTGGCTTCGTTCAGGCTTCGTTCCAAGTCAGTCCATTTCAAGACAAGACCATCGAAAAGGAGAATCCCAGAAGAAAAAGCTTGCAAAAAACCTTGCATGTTCACATAGTGAACTTCGCTCCGCAAGGCTCCTATGTTCCGCCGCATCCTAAGTAGAGGAATAATCAGCTCGGATTGAAAGTACAGAATCCTCCCTTTCGCTTGGGAAGATCCTGCAGAACGCGCATACCTTACTAGGTTGATAGACCTTCAACCATTTACTTGATGTTTGAAAGAAAGGTGTTGCTTGCTACGCCCACCATATATTCACTAGTAGTTACAGCAAAATCGATTTCAATAGCACCTTTCGGGTTCACCTGGTCTCTATCGCCGCAAAAATGCCTTAACCTGTCATCATTCAATGTTTTTATGCCGAAAGCTAAGTCCCTTCTCCTACATTCCCCGCACCGTTCACAAACTACCTGTCTCTTCTTACCCTTACCATGCAGATGTTTCACAGCATTCATTCTTTCGAAAAAAGAACCGCGTCACGCGGAACCGGAGGTGACGTCCCCCAACCAGCGGCCCCCTTGGCCCCCTTGGCCTTTGCCCCAAAGAAGAAACGAGCCCCGAACAACGGACAACAGACGTATCTGGCGTGGCAAAGGGAAAAAACAACAGCTAAAAAATCCACCGTCGTCCAGTAACCATAGAACAGAAATTCACCGTCCACCATGTACCGTCCACCTATATCTCCACGTGGCACTCGACCAGGTCCGGCAGGGGGGAACGCCCCCGCGTCCCCGTCCCGCCTGGAAGAGCACGGAGAAGATTTCCGCGCCGGGACGGAGCCTTCGGATGAGGAAGAAATAGGCATCCAGCGCGCTGGTGTCCACCTTCATGAACGGGTAGGCGCGAACAAGGGGAAGGCAGTTTCCGGTGGAACTGCTCTGGCTGAAACTGGTTTGGTCTTCAAGCGAACGAAGATGGAAGCGAGCTAGACTGTTCAAGTGGGTCACAGAGTGCCAGAATGAAGTCACTCAAGTCCTGAAAGTGTTACAAATCTCCCTTCACAGCTCCGAATGGAGAGTGCTGGAAGCCAAGCACATCAGTTTTAATTTTCTTTACTGGAGCTGGCCTAGCAGGTAAAGCCATGGGTGGTATTTGGAGATTGAGATTGGATTGCAGACCACAGAGTATCCATCCACCCATGTTTGGCATCCAACCGAATGTCAAGATCTTCTGCAGTGGTCATGGAGTGTTGCACCGTACCTGTGTTTCGTGCTCTTTTCCGTCGCCTGCGCGATTCCTTTCGGGATCTCCACCAACACAATCCAGGTGCAAAAGACCAGGAAGCCCATAGGCATGGCACAGGCCACGCCGCCAATGATGTACATGTGCATGTGCCGCCCTTGACCATTGCAGAGCACCGATTGATACCTTGGTCGTTCGCGCGGGCCCAGAGGCGCACAAACATGGGCCCAAAGGCTTCCAACAAGTCCGAGGTGACCGACCATGGTCCTCAAAAGAAGGGCAAGGGGTGTTTGGTGTAGGTATGAAAGCATACTTGTGAGAATGACATGGAATGACTATAGTCTATAGTCATGTGCGGGAACCCACGTATCATCCCAGAGATTCATCAAAGGTATCCTGGTCCAAACCCCATGGCTGCATTGTTTTTCCTCCAAGAGACATGTGCTTCAAGGTCAGCACCTGATTGGGATGCTCATAGCACTGGAAAGGCTCCAGCAGCAGGGAGAAGACAATGATGAACCAGATCATGAAAATGGTGCCAATGGTGCGGAAGAGTTGGCTGAGCTTCAGGTTTCGCAGGCTCATCGGCCGATGAAAGAAGAGCAAGTAACCTTGGTTTCATGAAAGAGGCGTGATGCTGAATGGCACATAGAGAGGCTGCCAGGACATTCAGTCCAGATTATCGGGAATAGCTATGAATAGCTCCCCACTAGATGCCCTAAAAAATCAGGTCGAGCCTGGGATCAAAGGCTGAAAAAAAGCTCTCCAAACAAGATCAACACTGCTTTCCAAAAAAGGACCAGTTCTTGAGGCAGCAGCTACAGCTCCCCAAACCACGTCTCCAGCATGGAAGAGGCTGTTTGTTTTCGAAACTCTCGCTGCCAGTTGGGACCTCCAGGGCCCCCAACAAATCCGGCCCATAGACACAACTTGTAGTTACAGCTGTTCATCTTGTTCTGTTTTTTCTTCCTCCCCTTCTTCCTCCCCTTCTTCTTGAGGTGAACCGCTCTTGTTCTTGTTGGTGTTGGTAGTGGTGACAGCATCAACCTTCCGCAAAGGCAAAGAAATCATACTGAAATCTATATAAGATCTGTGCCCAAGTCCTCTACCCACATCCTGTCAGGGTTTGGAATGAAGATCTGTGCCCCCTCCGTTCGTGTCCAAGCGTCCAAAGTGCACCAGCAGTGCAACCAGCATGAGTACTGGCATCAAGCAAACGCGCAGGACATATTCGCCCAAGGAGTCCAGAGGAGTGAGGCATGCGATGGACAGGACATCCAAGTTGAAGTTGAAAATCTTCAAGAACCTCACTCCGCCCAATCCTCCGCCCATCCTCCACTGGAGGAGTATGGGGGGCCGCGTCTTTGAGTTCCAAGGAAGAGGGAAGCAGTTTCGCAAGCCTGGACACCAAAACGCACGCAGAACCGCCTGGGTGGTCCAGAACCGCGGGGATGCAGGGACGCACCGCGGTTCTTATTTTCCGTGGTTCAGTGGTCCAGAACCCGCTGTTGAATCGCTGATCCGACGGGGTGGCATTTTCTGGAAAACTGAGCGGATGTTGGCAAATTCACCAAGGCGAGGTCCTCAAACTTCAAACCGAAGTTGAAGGCGATCAAGTGCATAGTTGTGAACTTCTTACCGTGCTTTTTGAGGCCCAGGCATTGCCAGGCATCCAAAATTACTCTGATGTTGATGTTGGGAAGAACGCTCTTTTCAACTTTCAGCACGTCCTGTTCTGTTGGCATCCTATAAAACAGTCGGACACCCTGCGAGTGTCTCCTCCCACACAGTTGCACCACTCGACATGGTGAATTCTTTGGTGTCCCCCACCTTTGGGCACCAAGGAGCTCCAGGATGCTTGCGAATGGCTCTCGCCAAGGGATGTCAAAGAGATGTACCACCTTGGCTCCACTCCGCCCTGGGGAGTCCAGTAGGTCTATGTAGGTCTCCAATCACTTAGATGTTCTCCCTATGTGCCAAATAGTGCAATTGTCCAATAGATCTTTCTATGTAGGTCGGCCATCGAATTGAACCAGTGGTTCCTGATTTCAATCCTGCGCATCGCAGGCGCGGCGATCGCGTGCGGTCACTGGAAGCATCCTCACAGTACGTACCATGTCAAAAGTGTCAAGCACCATGTTATACAATGCTATACACTGATGAAAACCCTTTTCCTTACCTCAAAAATATGGAGCCCAGCTCGAATTAGGTCGCATCTGCTCGCAGTTTGTTCGATGCGCTCTGGAACACAGGGGCCAGCGGCCCACCGGCGGGCAACCGGTAGCCATCCGTTCCGGCCAAGGCACACTCAGGATCTGCACCGTGGTCAACAACTGGGTGACGCTGGTGATGGTGATGAGCAAAGGCCCAGGCTGGCTCACCTACAGTTCTTCAGTGTCTATGGAGTCTACGCTCCCATCCAACAACCATGAAAGTGAAGAAGTACTTGGTTCCAGGAGTCTTGCAAGGAGGCATCCTTCACTTCCGTGCTTTTCAGCGGACGGTACATGCCGTGGTTTAGTTTGGACATCTAAGCAAGATCAGATGCCCGAAACTCTCCAGCCTATTGCCAGTGAGGGATGCATATATAGTGTTTCTTCTGTACACGGCAAGATGAATCATACCGAACGAACGTTTCCACTATCAATTGAATTGCGCAGCAGTACGGAGGGGACGATAGCGAAACATTTTATGCATTATGACCCAAATAAATACAATAAATGCAACATCGAACTACCAAAGTGAACCACACACGTTCTTGCCGGTACGATATCAAAAGCACCATACACAGAGAACCAGACAGACTCACCTGTTGTTCCTTTTTGGGCGATGGTGGGCCAAACCAAACCTTGGAAGAGGCATGAAGAAGCCTTCCCACGCCGATGTGTTCGGCGCTTCTTCAACCCGTCAGCGATCGACGAAATGGCCTTCTGCTCCTGGAAGAGAACCTCGGGTTGGCTGCATCGATGATTGGTGAGGCTTAAACGTGCACCTTCTGAAACCAAAACGATCTGAGGGATGGTCAAAATATGTCAAAATGAAGTCTTCGCCCTGCCAATGTCAGAACAAAGGATTACTTCTTGTTTTTTTTTCGGGGGGGATGCTCCGAAGTCCTGCAGCTGGGCCGGTGAGAACTCTCCGTACTGGCCCAGACCTCAGAGCCACCACCCATGACCTTCCCTCATCATCCCTCCAACATCCTCATGGAAGCGGAGGGCATGGCGCATGGCCCCCGGAAGCATGGGCAGTTGGAGCTTCACTACACCACCACGGCCCTCGTTCCGTCACACAGACCAGGCACATAGTAGATGATCCCGACACCGATGAAGACTGCTGCCACAGATGCCACCGCCAGCAGATAGTCCCCATTGTCACACTCTCCACAGGAGCCTGGCAGAACTGCCACAGTAACCTCGCCTTCGACCCAGCCCAAACACGTTCTCAGGAGGTGTCCAAGGACCTAGAATTGGCCACCTCCGGTATGGACACCAACTAATCCACTGGTCAAGAGGCATCTCTGTTGGAGTGATGGTGGAGGCTTCTCCTAAAGCCGCCTTGCAGGCTTCAGATACACCAATCCACACTTCTTGAAAAGGCTCAAGTAGTTCACCCAGTCCCAAACAGGACAGTCTGGGATCAAAGACCCAGAAATTCTCCAAATCTACAGACCCGTCTCCACCCTCCAAGCTCCAATCTCGGCACCAGTCCCCAATCTCGACTCCAATCTTCACTATCGACCACCATACTCCTCCCACCACTCCTCCCACTGCTCCCACCTCCATCCTTCGCGCGCAGCATGCTCAAACAGCTACTGCAACCCAATGAGTCAGGGTCACGCCCAACGGTGCAGGTGCCCGGCTTGCCCCCGGGGCAGTGGCTCGCGGAGAGACACTTGTAGATCTCCCCCGGCGCCACCGACGAAGAGAAGTAGCCCGGCAACACCTGCGACGTTTGATAGGCGCCGCGGTGTTGCCACGGAGAGGCCGGGAACTAGCGGCTGGTGGAAGAGCTCAGAAGACACAAGTGTAAAATGTAAAAGGAAAGAAAGAAAGAAAGAACGAACGAAAGAACGAAATAAATAAAGAAAGAAAGAACGAAAGAACGAAAGAGATAAGGAAACAAAAAGAAGTTGAAAGAGATCAAGAAACAGTTAGATTTATTGTATTGAGGCTAACCCTCTTATACCTAAAAAGTGATTGCAGTTCAGTTTGACTCATATTCTTGGGGGCGGGAAACTGCTACCTGAAAAGTGGAACACTTGTATGGCAGCCGCAAGGCCGATGATTTCAGCGTCGGCCTTCGAACAAACTTCCGTTATTTGGACAAAATCTTGCTCGGTTTCGCTCGATCACCAGGCGGCACAACATGGATTTTGCCAATCTGGTAAATGGATGTGAAGGTTCTTGAGGGGTGGCAACGAAAGGCTGCCACTGGCTCCGAAATGTATGTTTAGCAAGTCGATGAAGAGACCCTGAAGGCGTGCCACCCAAAACCTGTGGAGTCATCTCTAGATCACATTCCAAAATCTTCCAATCTCTACTCTCCCTGGAACGAACTAACATGGAAGTGGATGACACCACCACCTGTTTGGTTCGTGGATGGCACTTCCTGGTCTTCCGAACGAAAGGGCCCATGGGCCATGGCCATTCTGGTCCCACAGGTCCGGTGCTTCGTCAGACGGCGTCAGCATTTCGCCTCGAGCTGGTTGGAGCCCCGGCAGTAGGACCCGGTGGTACACTGTTGGCACCTGCCATGTGAAGGAGAAAACAGGGCGGGTGCGAGGCCGATTGGCAGGCCGATAGCCAGAAATGGAACCAGCTAAACTCAAAATCAATATGAAAATGAGTTGCATGAGGTTGAGAGGCATGGGCAAACATGGAGTCAGAAGCAAAATTTAGTCGGATTCTTCAGTCCACCTCGCTCCACCTCTTCCACTTGTCAATTCCTGTCATTTTTCGGGATTGATATCCATAGAATTACTGCATAGAAAATCCTTCTTCACCTCGTCTTCAATTCCTGTGAAACTCATGTTCTTTTCGAGATATCGAAGTTTCGACATCCATCAAAATCCAAGGCGAACCCCTCACCCGTCAGTGGCGGATTTCACGAGGTCACAGCCACAGCCCATGAAGAAGCTGGGATTTGGGGATAGTCCATGTGTTCGATGGCGCTTTGCAAGTCCAGCCATTTTTTTGACGTGGGCGACGTGGTGAGATCTGTTTTTGGCTTAGGGGTGGCAAAAACAACATCAAGCCACCGTCTACCAGCTTTATGTACAACCAGCCTCTTGAAGATATGCAACTGGCATCAAAAACACATCCATCTTCTGAATGCTCACAACTCCTATTTGAATGGGCCATGGGCCAGCCACGAACACATGGAGAGAAAGACCTCAGGTTGCAAGTTCGGCGCCATGTTTCACTGGTGACTCCACATCCTATTCACCTCCCGTGACCCAAACCCCCCACACCAAACTCGCGCACGAATGAACCAGCTGTCCAAATGAACCAGCTGGCGAAGTTCGGTTTTGGACGCCGATGTTTCTTCGACCTCAGATCAACCTTTGTCACAGCGGCTACCACCTCTTTGTTTTACAACGGGCGTTTTGAGTCGTTGGTCCCACCTGGATCGCGTTGTTTCCCACTGAACGGGTTTGGGAGTTCGGTCGCTACTTTCCCCGCCACCTTGCTTCTGACCTTGGAGCTGACCCGCCGATCCAACGAACGCACGCGGGCAGCCAGGCCTCCCCTGCCAGAGGAAGCTGCCCTCAACGCAGAAGCAAAACTGCGCTGAGCTGGCCCCTTGAACCTGGCGGGAGACGAAAACCAAAAGGTGGTTTTGATGCGCCACAGTCAGTCATTGGAAAAGGGAGCTTTGTGCAGTCTCCCATGACCCGCTGTGGCCAATCACCCCTCTGTTTTACCCAACTTCACCGTCCCGGCCCAAGGAATAGCAACAGACCGACAGACCACATCGGCCGCCTGAATCCAGGTGGTCTCCTCATACACATCCACCTCGCATGTCACTTCGTTCGCTCGAAAGATGTGCAGCGCGAGCGTTCCGGTTGAAAGACATGCTGTAGCGTCAAGTGGTCGGGCTGTTCTGAGGTTCCAGTGTGTGCGGAACAGCTTTTTTGTTTTTCGTGAGCAACAAGTCTCCCATTCTTGGGACTCCATTGGTGCTATTGAAAGGATGTAGTCCATGTCAAATGCTCCCAGTTCACTGGCCGAAACCGCTGTTGGAGCGCTCCAAAGCTTTCTTCAATTGCCCGGAACTTGCAATTTTGGAGGAGACCGGGGAGGATGTGTCCTCAATGCAGGTCCAACCCTGGATGACTCCAAAGTGAAGAGAATGGACTGACGATTTTTGGGATGCCTTGCTTTAACCCATCCTTTTTTATATGACATCATCAATCCCAAGCCACCTGCATGCTGGTGGTCCAAAGCTCCTCTTGGCTTCCATTCCCACAGCGGTCGCACGCTAACATGCCACTGCGATTGGCAAAGCTGCCTAGGGTCAATGATGGTGAACAAAATCGTTTGGGGGGCGGGATGTAGTTTTGGAGGGGGTCATGGCAAAACTGCGAGGACTGCGAGGACCAGAAACCCTTTTCTCTCTGGCTTTCCAAGTCCTTCGATGCAAAGCGAAGGACTTAGTCGCTGTGAGTCTGGTACATTCGGTCCGGTAGGATGAATCTAAAACAACTATCAACAAGTTACAGGCAACCCACAAAACACTCACTGATGATGATCAATGATCACGTATATAAGTATATATAATGATCTTGTGTAAACAAGAATCAGAAATAGACGTTGTCAAACACACGCTGCTCGGGTTCAGTGCAACCGCTCTGTCCAACAACGCTCCTCTGCAGCAAGGTGACCCAAGCTGCAGGGCGTGCAATGATGCGAGCCCGCTTCGGAGGAGATGGTCCCAGGCTCACAGGGCAAACACTCGGCAGCGCGGAAGGAGTTCCTACGTTCCGGCGCAGAAGGAGTTCCCGGGCCGGGGTGATGGGGCACAAAGCAAAAGTGGGGAGTGGGGTGGAGTAGTGAAGAGAGCATGAGGGGAGATGGATGGGGATCTTTTACCAGAAGAATCTTGCTTTGAAACCAAGAACATCTCTTCCGCATCCATCCTTCATCCCCAGTTCAAATCGCTTGTAAATCACCAAGGCGCTGGTAGAAGCCGGGCTGGCATTTGGAGCACACCCGAGTCGACTGGCTCTTCAAAGAGGCGAAGCCCGGAGGACACACCGCGCAGTTGACCGCCTCGCTCCTCAGTGAGACCTCGGAACCCGGAGAGGTCATCCTTCGGTTCGGTGGAAAATGGCCCAGCATTGATCCATGGGGAAGGGGTTCTCGAAGTTCTCAAAGCTGCCTTTCTGGTCATGTTTTTCTTGTGAAAATGGAGCAAAAGCAAAGCGAAGCCGGTGGTGCTAGTGGGCGCTGAAAAAGCTTGTGGTGGACTTCATATAAGAAACCTTTGCAAGCAATCTACCAATGTAGTGATTTCATCTACATCACGCCCTTAGAAAGTGCTGAAAAGTGGCGGGAGGAGTGCTGAAACCAAAAGCCTACCAGATTGATTCTCTGCCGGCAACTCCAACCACACCCCTTCTTCTGGGCCAAACGGTTGTAGCTACCAACCAGAAACCCTGGGCACGGGACTGTGAACGAAACATTTGAGCCTTCTGGACCACAATCAGCGCAAGATGTTTTGTTTGTGATTGTAAAGATGACTGCATGTCACTTGAGATGCTTGCTTTTGAGGTGAGTCCAGGTTCACAGGTTCGCATACCGCAACCGTTTCCACCTCCAGACGGGTGGGACTTACGTCCGGAAAAGGGTGCGCCGTTTGCCGCTTTCGCGTGGCATCTTTTTCTTCGAGCTGATCGACTTCGGGTGCGATCGTTTGCTTCGCATTGGTAGCGGAGCTACGGCTCCTTGCGACCTTTGTGTCTTCACCTTCGAGGTCCTGCGGAAGACCTACGTCACGAACGCTTTGCCGAGCTCCTGGCCCTCCTCGAACCAGAGCACATCGGTGAAGCCTGCACTTCATGCCACCGACGACTACGACGCAGGCTGCAGAAGCCCAGAGCGCAGATTACCAGAACCTGCGCGACTCCTACGTTCCGCTGTTCAATGGCCAACCATCCGAGTACCGTGAGTACCGCAAGCGGCTCCTCCTCTACCAGAAGAAGATGCTCCTCAGCAAGAGGGGCGGTGAAGCCGTCTTGAACATCCTTGGTTCATTCCAAGGGGTGGTTTGGCGCCTCTTCGAGGATTATCCTGTTGAGGATTGTGAGAAGGAGGGGGCATTCAGCAAGATCTTGGAACGCCTTGATCGCAACTTCGAGTACGACGACAGGGTCCTCCTTCCGAATGACTTTGAAGGCTACTTCACCAACCTCCAGCGAAAGCCTCAGCAGAGCTTGCTCTCCTTTGTCACCGACCATGACGAGGCCTACAGGAAGATCACCGGCCACAAGATCACGCTCCCAAGTCAGGTGCAGGGATGGCATTTGCTCAAACGAGCCAGCCTCACACGTGAACAGAGACAGATGGTGACACTGAAAGCACCGACCTTGGAGAAGCCTTCGGTTGTTGAAGCGTTGTTCCTCCTGTATGGGCAGGACTACAAGGCTGGTGGATGGTCCAACTCCCATGACCGACGGCCTCAACGATGGAAGGGACGCGGCTATGCTGCCTACGATGAAGAGTCTCACGACCCTGCTTGAGAAGAGGCATACTACGAGGAGGATTGGTATGAGAATGAAGAGCCCTATGTCCCCGAGTATGAGGAGACTGCCTTCGATGAAGACGCTGTCTACTTTGGTGGCGATGATGACCCCAATGACGACCTTGAAGGTCTCGAGGATGATCCCTCTCAGATGGCCGAAGCCTATGATTCAGCCTATGCCACCTACGTTGATGCTCGACAGCGCTTCAACCAGCTCAAGCTCGCCCGCGGCTACCTGCCGGTGGTTGCTCTCACAGATGGACAGACTCCAACCTCGCCTACATCATCAACGTCCACTGGAAAAGGGCGAGACAAAGGCCGTGGAAAAGGAAAGGGCAAATCCAAAGGCAAGGGATCAAATGTGATCCGCTATCCACCCTCCACTGGTGGCAAGAGCGATCCCAAGGGCCGAGCGAAAGCCAACATGACCTGCCTTCGCTGTGGACAGGTGGGCCACTGGGCGGCCAACTGCCCTCAGAACCCCAAAGGAAGTTCATCACCGAGCAACAAGCGGCCAGCACCAAGCACCACGACCACCGAAGGAATGGCCCTGCAGGCCGAACAGGCCATGCTGCTCTTCCAGGATGAGAACGGCCTCGACCATCCAGAAGCCACTATGCTGGATCCTGGTGCCTCAGCCTTCTTGAGTGGATTTGGTCCTTTCAAGCGCTACGTGCAGCATCTCAGCGAGATTGGCTATCCGGTCAACACCATCCGCTTCGCTCGCTGCGAACGGCAATTTCAGTTTGGTGGCGATGCATCCTCCAAAGCCAGCTGGACGGTCGACTTGCCCGTTATGATTGATGGCCAGTATGGAACCATCCAGTGCTACTTGGTGCCCGGCAACACGCCTATGCTCATGGGTCGACCAGTGATTGAGGCCTTGCATATGAGCATCGACTTCAGTGGCAAGAGAGTTCGCTTCGGCACCTCACCTTGGCAGTCAGTCCTGATTGGCCGACACGGTGAGTATCTGCTCTCACTCACCGCTGGCATGGATAGCACCGCTGAGCCCACCAAGGTGAACTTCAGCCTGAACATCGCAGAGGAAGTTCCGGGCAGTCATCTCCACCTTCAGGACTTCAACCAGCTCGAGAACATCTTCCTTGCTGATGAACAGCTGCTCAAGGACAACGGCATGGACTATGCCTATCAGACTCTGAAGCGCCATCAACTACACACCATGGAGCTTGGCCTTCTTCAGGCGACCAAGCAGACTGAGGCCTACGTCACTGCTGAACTGCATCGTGAGGAAAGCCCCAAGCGAGTTCTCTGGGAGATCTATTGTGGTCACAGCCGCACCTCACAGCTTGCCGAGACTATGGGAATGGCTGTTGAGCGCTTCAGTCTTGACAATGGCTGGGACTTCAACCTGTTGGAACACCAGAAGCAACTTCTGGCCCGTCAGGCCGAGGAGATGCCTGATGAGATCTTGTTGGCCCCTGCGTGCAAGCTATGGTCAAAGATGCAGACGCTGGCATGTCGCACTGATGCCCAGCGAGAGGCTTTGATCGCCAGTCGAGAACATCACCATCGACGACACCTTCTCTTTTGCAAGAGGGTCTACATGGCTCAGGTTGAAGGCGCTCGACATGTCCATCTGGAACAGCCCAAGCACGCCCTCAGCTGGCAGAACAAGGCTTTGAAGTCTTTGCCTGGCTATGCGGCCGAGTTTGACCAATGCCGCTACGGAGCACAATGCCTTGATGATGATGGTGAGTGGAGACTGACACAGAAACCCACTCGGATCCAGACGACAAAGAAGTCAGTTGCTGAAGCACTTCATCTTCGATGTCAACATGACCATCCTCACTGCCGCTTGGAAGGAAGCGCCCCTGGCTTTGGTTCTCGCACCGCCTACATGGAGGACTATCAGCCTGGCTTTGCTGCGACATTAGCTGCTGCAATCTCTCTTCCTGAACCACCTCACCATTGGGAAGCCGCCCTGGCAGTCAGCTCAGCAAGAGCCACTGGTCATTTGGTCAAACTACATTCAGAACGTCGAGCCGACGCCCTGAGGACGGTGCAGAGATTGCATTGCAACCTGGGACATCCATCAGCTGAAGCCCTCACCGACCTGCTGGTTGCTCGCAATGCCAGCTCGGCGGTCATTGAAGCCGCCCGGCACTACCGCTGTGTGGCCTGCGCCAAGTACAAGAAACCAAATGAGGCTGCTCCTTCATCAATGCCCCAGAGCAGACGCTTCAACGATACTGTCCAAGCTGATGTCTTCTACTTGAAGGTCAACGACCGCAAATGGTCAGTGCTCAGCATGGTGGATGTCGGCACTCGCTTCATGGCTGCCTACTTGCTTGATGATGAGACCACCGACTCCTATGTGCACGCCCTTGAGAAAATGTGGTGCCGTCATTTTGGAGCACCCAAGACCTTGGTCACTGATGAAGGCCGATCCTGGCTTGGAGCCTCCATGGAAGCCTGGACGACGTCTTGGGGCATCGAACATCAAGTTGCACCAGGCGAAGCACATGAACGCCTGGCTCTTGTGGAAAGGAGACATGCAGTCTTGCGCAAGGCCATCGAGATCTACCTCATCGATCGTCACCTCACCAACAAGAAGGGAATTCGTGAAGCCATTGCTCACATAGTGCCACAACAGAACGGCACACCTTCGGTTGCTGGATTTTCACCTTCGCAATGGGTCTTGGGCTACCAGCCGGAACTCTCCACGCTCATGGATTCCAATCTCAATCCAGCTCAACTTGTTGGCACCAATGAGACCTTTGAGGCCAACCTGCAACGCCGAACCGCTGCCAAGATTGCCCTGACAACAGCAGATGCAGACAACAAGCTGCGCCGCGCCCTTGGACGCCGCTATCAAGGGCAAAACAAAGAGTTCCACCTCGGTGAGAAGGTTTGGTTCTGGCGCGATGCAAGACAAGGCTTGCTCAACAAGATTCGCTGGCTCGGACCTGCACACGTGGTCATGCGAGAAGAGCAATCCAATGGAGAAGGCAACAAGCCCACAGTCAAGACCTACTGGCTGGCATACAAAACACAGCTCATTCGAGCAGCACCACATCATGTTCGGGGAGACATCTTGGGTCCTGATCATGTCATCGACGACCTGCAGAAGGCCTTGAATTTGGTGCGCCAGTTGAAATCTCGTGGAGTCACCCGATGGTATGACCTGCAACGAGTGAACAGGCAACGCCTGGATGATGTTGATGACGATGAACAGCTGGATGATCCACATGGTTCGTTGGACGATGACTCACAAGGTCCACCAGCTCATCGACCTCGTCTACAGCCACCTATGGATGATGATTTGCAGGCAGAAGAGTACGAGCCCACCTCTCCGGCACATTCGGGGCATGCTCCAACGTCGCCAACTGGAATCATGGCACCACCTCTGGCCGAGCAGGAGATTCCTGAAGCTCAGGTCCCTGAACCTCAAGCTGCTGCAGTGCCTGTTCCTGATTCATTGCCAGCTTCACCGACTTCAAGGAGGTCACGTTCACCACCTCTGAGTCTTCCAGAGCCTGGGGCTGAGCCGACAGTGCCAACACCACATCATGCACAACCACCTCCACCAGCTCTGGATCCAGCAACTGCTGCCTTGTATGACACCGTTGATGCCGAGACCTTCCAAGAGCGACGAAATCGCTTCAATCGACAGGAGACATTGAGCTTTGGTCCCTGGCGAGGCAGACCACATCCTGCCATTGATCCTTATCCGACAGCACCTCCGTCTTCGACAGCAGAGCCCACGCCACCTACGGCAGATGCAGAGTTGGAAGCCGCCCTTGCTTCGCAAGACTTCATGATCAACGAGCTGGTGGCCAACTGCTTGCCTCGTGGCTGGTCCTTTGAAGAAGGTTACTTCCAATTGGACAAGCATCCCGTTGACTACTGGGAAGTTCGTGCTGGTTGCATGATTCGCCATCATGTCGTACCTCGTCGGCAGAAGATGAGCTTGACACACCTGCCAAAGGATGCACCTTTCCCGGCAGTTCAGCTGGATAATGTCAGGGTCACCGTGGTCTATGCCACCAATGGACACTGTCAGCAGTTCACAGATGATGGTATGTGCGCCTCACCTCCCACGAGCTCTTCCTGGACAGGTGTGACCGTGTTCCAAATCAAAGGTGATGTTCGGAAGGAGCTTGCCATGTATGTGAAAGAACCTCTGGTCGGAGCACGTCAAATGGGAAAGATGACCAAACAGCGCCATGTAAAAGCGTTCAAGAAGGACAAGAACAACTTGACCGAGAGAACGATGACTCCTGATGAGCGAGCTCAATTCAAAGCTGCAAAAGTGAAAGAGCTCAAGTCCTTCTTTGAGAACCAGGTCTGGACCTTCGAGAGCGTGAGAGAAGCTGAACCCGCTCGGACACTGACGAGCCGGATGCTGCTGAAGTGGTCGAAGAACCCGGACGGAACGCCAAGAGCAAAGGCAAGACTCATCGTCCGTGGCTTCCTGGACCCAGATGCTTGGGATGGCACTGTGCCCACTTCATCGCCGACCACGACACGGCTCTCTCGTTCCTGTTTGCTGAGCTTAGCTGCAACTATGAGATGGCCGGTTTGGACATCAGACATTGCCACCGCCTTCCTGCAAGGAAAACCTCAGAGCCGAAAACTATGGGTTCAACTACCTCCTGAATGCCTGGAACTGTTGGGAGCCCCTGCCGACACTCGGATGCTTCTTCTGAAGCCCTGCTACGGCCAGATCGACGCTCCACGTTCCTGGTACATGGCTGCTGTGGACAAGCTGCTGGACATGGGTCTGAAGCAACATCCTCAAGATCCATGCTGTTTCCTGGCATACGAAGCTGACCTCAATCCGAGCTTCGTTGTGGATCAAGAACAGCCACACCTGCTGGGACCTTGCGGCCTTTGTGGTATGATCATCATGCATGTTGATGACATGTTGGGCTGCGGTTCTGAAGATTCTCAGGCCTATGGATCGATGATCTCCAAGCTGAAGACCACCTTCAACTTCAGAGAGTGGAAAACCGGACAAGATGGCACTGATTTGTCGTATTGTGGCTGTGACATCCAACTCACGGACAACAAGGGCTACAAGATACAACAGGACAACTATATGAAAAAGATCAAGCCCATCACAATCGACAAACGCCGTGATGTCAATGAGATCATCTCCGAGCGCGACCTGACACAACTTCGAGCATTGCTTGGTTCGCTCCAATGGCCTGCAGTCCAATCAAGTCCACATCTACAAGGAAGCACCTCGATCCTGAGTGGTCAGGTCTCCAAGGCCACCAACCAGACTTTGATGGATTGCAACAAGCTCCTGAAGTTCAGCAAGGACAACTCCGATGTTGGGTTGGTGTACGAACACCTTGGCGAAGTCCAGGACTTACGCCTCCTTTGCTTCTTTGATGCAGCATTCGCCACGCGGACCGATGGCAGCTCCCAGCTTGGCTACATCATTTTGATGGTCAACAAGTCCCTCCTTCGTCCTGATGGTGTTGAAGGGGCATACCACATCCTCGACTGGAGAAGCCAGAAGACTCCTCGAGTCGCTCGGTCATCGCTTGGCGCTGAAGCCCAAGGAGGTGGTCAGGCATGCGACGCCCTGGAGCATGTCTGTGTTTACTGGAATTGTCTGCTTGACCCTCGTCGGAAGCTCAAGGAGTTGCTCGACTGCAAGTCCACCCTGGAACCAACGATGATCACGGACGCCAAAGCCTTGTATGATTCATTTCATCGAGAAGGCTACAGCAGCTCCGTTGTGGACAAGCGAGTCTCGCTGGAGGTGAAGGTGATGAAAGAAAGACTCCTCGCCCTTGGAGGCAACCTCAGATGGATGTCATCTGAGAGGCAACTGGCTGATGGCCTTACAAAAGAAAGCGCCCGTGGCTTGCTGGCTGAACGCTTGCGCTACGGAAAGCTGAAGCTCATCTGGGACCCAACGTATAAGGCCGCCAAGAAGAAGACCAAAGATGAGCTGAAAGCCAGTCTGCAGGAGAGCACTTTCAGTTCACCGCCTTTGGATGAACCTCATCAAGCACTTCCCACAGCTGGCACTGAGCTCCCTGAGAATGACTCCTTCCCCGATGGCATGCCTGAGTATGAGGACCACATTGAATATGCCCACATGGCAGTCACGAATGCCACAGTCTCTTACCTGCTTGAGGCTTGTGAGTATGCCCTGGTTTCTGAAGAGACCTTTGTGGTACTGAATGACCACCCGGTAGTTCCGAGCCATGGCGTGCGCTGGCCCCTTTTGGCCTATGAGCACCACCTCCGGAACCTCATGGTGTGGACTATGATTCTGCTGCTGCTGCCTGGTGTCGCTGCTGACACCACTGGAGGATCAGCAAATCCAACTGGAGGAGACAGCTTCATGATGATGCTGTGCACTGTGTGTTGCTTGCTCCTTGGCACGTTTTTCATGCTGGGCCGATGCAGTCGTGCCGAAGTTCACGTACCTGCCTTGGCCATGTCCTCCCATGCTGCGACCCAGACTGACGAAACACCAGTCACACGCAGGTTGAGGGCAGAGATTGAGGAGTGGCAGCTGCGCGCTTTGGAGTACCAGTCTGCGGCGATTGAAAGCAAGAAGGCCACCGACCTGGCCATCGCCAATATGAACTATGCTGGAGAGCTGATGTATCGAGCCGCCGCGATCCTGCGCCGGTGCCTGGCTGAGATGGACAGCCATAGGTTGGAGTGCCCACTCCACCGTGGAATCTATGTGGCAAAGCATGGCCGCAAGCTCCACATCGATCCTCGATGCAGCTCCCTCGAAGGCCGTGACCAGAGGAACGTAGATTTGTTTGAACCTTGTGCCTTGTGCAGTGGCCGCATTTTGCCGCCAGATCATGTCCAGATCTCAGGAGGCTCGAGCCTCCGAACTGCGATTTGCACTTGGCTGGAATCACGCAGCCTCAGCGATGAAGGCGCGGTTTCCATGGCAGACTCACCTGCAAGCTCCTTTTCCCCCGTGTAAAGATGACTGCATGTCACTTGAGATGCTTGCTTTTGAGGTGAGTCCAGGTTCACAGGTTCGCATACCGCAACCGTTTCCACCTCCAGACGGGTGGGACTTACGTCCGGAAAAGGGTGCGCCGTTTGCCGCCTTCGCGTGGCATCTTTTTCTTCGAGCTGATCGACTTCGGGTGCGATCGTTTGCTTCGCAGTGATGTTTATAGATTCCAATATAGATTTTGGTGACAGCCTGACTTTACACGTAGAAAGCACAGTCACAACAAGAAAGATAGATGGAGACACTGAAAACAGGCGCGTCTCCGTAGAGAGACTAGCTAACACATCCTAAGGGATCTCTCTCTCTCTCTCTCTCTTTTTTCTCTCTCTTAGGTTGGAGGCCATCCCTTTGAGGTTGGAGGCCATTGCTTCTAGAGGCCATCTCTCTCTCTCTCTCTATTCAGACGCACCGCGATCCAAGAGGCAAAGTTGTTTTGCAGATCCACCAGGCCTCGACGACCCGAGTGTTCCGAGTGTGAAAACACTCGGGTTCGCGAGGACTCGGTTCGCGAGGGATCCCAGTGGCCTTTTTGGGGAGGCGGGTGAAAAACCACAAAGGCGGTTTTTGAGCGGAAAAAAACATGTGGAAATATGTCTGGCAAAGAGAACAAACCAAGTTGATTTGACCTTCTACATAAGATCCTATTTCGGTTGACCCAATGCTACAACCGAATGCGCCAAGAGTGCCTGCCCGATGATTGACTGAAAGGGCAGTGTGCATGGGGCACCTCCTCGCCACCAACAACCCCCAACTAAGTACTGCAATCCAAATCAACTTCAACTACACTGCTACACTCCTGGCGATGTGGTCACAACGCTCCTGAGGAACATGTGGAACCACAGTCCTGTGGTCCAAACACATCCAAACAAATCATCTAGGTCGGGCAAAGTGGGGCCCCCGCGTGATGGGCACTGCCGAGGGCACTGCCGAGCGCGCAGCGTGCAGATTCAAGCATAGTGACGCGACGGTCGAACGGCATTTTTGTTCAAGATGGTTCCCATTGGGATCTGAAGATGAGGCGAGCCAATTGAATCCTAAACGAGCTCCAGCTACCTTCTTTTGGAGCTGTTTTGGGGTGGTCTCGCCACCTCCAAAAGCTGTCGGATGCGTGCAGTCGCTCCCTCCCGCGCCGGATGCGGCGGCCCCGCCTTTACCCACGGCGCAAACCGTTTGATACGGAACCCAACTTTGCCACGCATCTGTGTTCGACAAAATCCACCTGCATGTGCGGCGCAGCCGCGGCTTCGCTGGATATCATGTTACTAGGAACGGCCTCCGCCCTAATAGTAATGGTCTCTAACCTAGTAGCTTCTTGTTACTAGCTGAGCTTGGAGATGATTTCTGAACGCGTTGGTTTTTGGGAGATATTTGTCTTCTGTGGTACGGGATGCCCCAGAAGGTTTTCAACACCTAATCCGGTGGGCATCTCTCGCGTTCTGAAGCAACATGAGTCAAAAAGAAGAACAAAAATAGGCACGCCGTGCATGACCATCAACGATCGATCTGCTTGTTGTCTGGCCAAATACACCCACGACCCACGACAGTGCAATCGTCTTAAAGACTGCATCGATGCTCAACGATTTAGACCCTGAAATCTTCATTCTTCGGCGCTTGGAACCCCAAACACTGGACACGATTGGAAAGCCCTTCGAGTCGAAACTGATCGCTAAAGGATTGCTAAGCCTCCGTGGTCACCAAACGACGATCCGGGCGGATCCGGGTGTCCCGGCCTACAGGCAGTGTCCCAGGTCTCGGGTGCTGTCCCATTGTTGACCGCTTGGCTCTGGGCATGGAGGTACAGCAAGTTCGCCATGTCGCCATCCCCGATGTTCAGATTCCTCGGACAACAGAGAAGATGTGACGGGCGTGGAGGCGTGCCAGAGCGAAGACGGGACGGTGCTGCCGGGGGAGACGGAACGACACGGGACAGGGCGATGTCGGGTTATTGAACGTGCGGCGCCGGGGGTGGAGGCAGATTCTTGAGTCTGCTTGGATGGGAAAGTGCCTAACTCTATGCTTGGTTTCGAGTAGGCTTAGGATGAACTGGAAGATGAACTAGACGCCACCAAAATATAATCATGAATGGATGGATGATTGAAGGATGTGAACCTATGTCCTTCGTAATTATCCTCTGTTTCCGCCCCGACAGCCCTTCAGGACCCCGACAGCCGTGCTACGGACGTTTCTGTCTCCGTCCAAGAGGCTCTGCCAGTCCATAGACTCGATCTGCCACCACATCCAAGCCGGCAGCCGCATACTTCCGCAAGGTCAGTTCCTGGAGCGACCAGATGATGACAGCTGTTTTTCAGCGTCGTAGCTCGTGACCCTGGCATCAGTTTTTTAACGGATTTCTGCGGTGCAACCACCGAAGAACCACTGTTTAACGAAACAAGTTTAGACTACAAAACCAGCTCAACGCAGCTCCAAAACACAGGGTTCCGCAACCGGACACCTTTTAGTTTCGTCCACCCTGTGGGTCGAGGTTCGGGGACTCAAGGACCCGACCCAGTTCACCGACTCACGCGCAGCGTGACGTCGATGCGAGACTTCGGTCTCGCGTCGCGTCGTCACTGGCCACGTCTGGAGCAACAATCCACGTATGCACGATAGCCAGCTGTAAACCGCAAGTTGTAAACATTTGTCTTTTGGCCGGTCAGGAATCACATTCACCAACGGGGATTTTTTCACATATGCGTGATTCGGATGTGCAAAAGCTGCCAGGAACTCACAGCACCACCAAACGATGGCTGCGGGCTGTCCTTTTGGGAAGTCCGGTAGATGCCAGCCTTGTACTCCGACACGCTATGGGATGGGAAGACCACCGCCATCCCGCGTTGGAGCACAAAAGTCTCATCAGGCCTCCACCAGTATAATGCCGACCTCAGCATCGCAGAACAAGCCCCACCCCAAGCTTGAGGGATTTAGACCCTGTTTGGATGGAGAGCCACACCCTGCTCCTAGGGGCGGCGTGCCAGGTTGAGCTGCTCATTTGGGACATTAGCAAATTCGTCCTCTCCACGGGCGTCATGCACCTCTTCGATCACAACTCAAAACAAGGAAGGAAAGCAGCAGAAGGATGTCAATCCCCATCTCCAGTGCATAGAACAATAGATTGTGATTGCCCCAACCCCAATTTGGACATGTGGAACCCAGATGACCTGTCATGCAAAGCTGCAAGAAAAGTGCAAGACTTCCTTCTCCTTCTCAACACCCCCCTTGCCTTCACAGCTCATGGAGAAGGAGGCCCAGTCACCAGTCGCTCAGCCTTCCCGCCACCAGAACCTCCGGGGGGTGTGGCCACCAGTCACTCGCTCAAATCGGTCGCTCAGTGGCTGGAATTCGAGGTTGATATCGATGTACTCCTCCCACTCCGCAGAGGCAAAAGCCAGTGGCATGTTGTGAAAGTAGGCCTGCTGGATCATGAAGTGCAGGCCCCAGCCCGCACCTGCCGCGGTCTTCTTCACACACGCTGCCCCAATGCAGGATCCCATCTCCCACTGTGGGCTTTCCAGTTCGGACGGCGAGCGTATCTCCCGAGACGCTCGCAGGAGGAATCCAACAGCACCGAATACACTCCCTGAAACACTCACGCAAGTGAAACAGTTTGGCCCCTGAATGACCCTTTTTCCTCTATAAGGAGCTCCTCAGCTTCCATGTTGATGTTTGTTGGAGGGGTAATCATTCTCGGGCTGCAGGTAATTCCCCTCCACTCTTCGCACCACCACGAAATCCGATTCACGCGATCGGTCCGATAGGCCCATCATTCACCAGTTAACCTGGAGAGACCTCCCATTCCCTGATCATATGGCTTTAAGATTCTGAATATATATATATATAAGCTAATACGTAATTACTTTAATTTTTCTTGAAGCCCTATGTGGCCGGAAGACCTATCAACACACCTACTAGCTACCCACCTGAAGTCACCACGGCCACGCAGTTGGAGGCGTTGCCACGGCAGCTGGGCGCCACAAACCAGCGTTCCTGGAAGCATTTCAGCACCAACCGGCCATCCACCTGCTGTCCGACAGCGACCGGAAGGTGCAGCGGAAACGGAGGTTTCTTGGAGTGTGATGGATTGAGAGCGCAGAGAGGAAAAATCGGAGCTGGGGGCTCCACATTTTGAGAGAAATCGATGGCCAAATGGGCTAAAGCTCACCAGAAAAATTTAACTACCTAGATCAGAGTAGGATTAGATCAGAGCAGGGTCGCATGAAATTTTATGTGTTTCTAATTTTTTGCATGTTTTCAAATGTTTTGACCAATTTTCCACATGTTTAAACATATTTTCGCATTTTAAAGTATTTTTCACCTTTTTTCACATGGTTTCATTTTATTTTGTGTTTATTTTAAAGTTACTATTTTTGGGGAAAACACCTCAAACACAACATGGTTAATCAAATTGTGTTTCTTGGGGAGAAGTTATCCTAACAGCTGAACACAACTGACTGCAGCAGTCATATCACGCCTCCAGTTTGCATGTGAAATTATGTTTTTGCATCTTTTTGCATGTTTTTGCATATTTTCTCATGTTTCGAGATTTGTCGAGATTTCTTGAGATTTTTTGAGTTGTTAAAATGTTTTTTCCTGTTATTCCCTCGAGATTTTTTGAGATGTTTCGAGATTTTTCGAGATTTTTTGATATTTTTTGAGATGATTGTTGCTAAGATTTTCATTTAAAACATATTGTTGCATGTTTTTGCATTTTAAATCTCTTATCGAGATTTTAAATCTCTTTTGAAAGTCTTCCATTCCAAGACCTCTTCGGTGAAGGTCATTGAATTTTTTTTGGTGAAAAGCTGATTCTGCTGATTGAGGGTGATTACACGCCAAAGTGTGATGATCTCAGCATGTGCCAGGTCATAGGTGACGCGGTCACCTGCTTTGGAAGATGAAGTTCTGTGATTAGCAGCTGGGAAAAATACATGTGATCGATCGAAAACTCGTCTGCATTCTCGAGTGTTATGCCTCGCTCCAGTCGATCACACACTGTGGAGGACGCTGGAACAAAGTGGGTCTCCACAGGGTCGTTTCCAAGGCCTTCAAAAAGACTGTAGTCGACAGTGAAAAGTGCGTTCCCCTAGCACGAACGAAAGGCCACACAAGGTCATACGGTCGCACGAGGACACGGTCTGCCGATGGATTTGGAGATCTCTTCGGTGCCAGATCGCTTCCGGCATCCACCGTGAAACACACGGTGCATGCCGAACCCGTGCCGAGGTGGGTGCCGAGGCAGGTGCGGCAGACTGGGTTCGAGAAAAAGGAGATCGAGACCAAAGGGTTCGAAACCAAATCACCCCCAAACGATTGCGGTTTCACCTTGTTTCCCTTCTTGGCATGCTCGTGGTGATTCCGCTGGTGTTGGTCCGAAGAAAGAGAACCCCCCAGTGGTCGCGTGAAAACGCTGTGGAAGAACGGTCAGCCTCCTCAGTGGCTTGGGTGTCACCCGTCGCCCTCACGTACTCCTGAGGTGGCAGAAGGTCGGGGGTGTCGATTTGCAGTGTCAACACCCCAGTGTCATCACAGGTCTCCTCGTTCGATATGTTTCTTCTTTGGGAGGTCAAACCCAGTGGTGTGATTCGGACCCTGGGGGCTTCCAAGTTAGCAGAACACTAAACCAGTCAAGAAAAGAAATAGTGGTGAGATTCTGCAGATTCTGCTGACCTTGTTTGAGGCCGCACTGCGGCCTTTGCCTGTGCCTAGAGTCGGCTCCCAAGGCAACTGACCTGGAGCCTCAAAAGGACGAATTTGAAGAGGACGATTCAACCCAATGGTGGATCTCTGGAAGTGTGCATTTTGGGAACTGCTAGGAATGGAGCAAAGAACACTGACGAAATACAGCCCCAGAAGTTTGCCATGTTCGAAGAAACTAGCAGTCCCCCAAGCAACTTCCCTTTCGTCTTCCGATTCGTTCATACGTTCCTTTCCCAGGCTGCACCTACGACCCGGTCTCCCATCCTTGGCGTACTCGGGGTGGAAGAAGTTCACTCCCACCGTGCAGTTCATGACCCGGTGAGGAGCAATCATGGCCACGGTGGCTGCGTAGCGGTCAGGGTGGAACCAGCTGGCATTGAAGTTGCTGTAGTAGGAGAGCTGCAAGCCCGTCTCTGCCTAGCAATTCGATCAGGCCGAGCTTCGGATGAAGACCAATAGCAGGGCGCTCATGAGTAGTTACCAAGACATGGGAAAACGCTGGCATGTTTATCTTGTACTTGGAGGTACTTGGCATCTTTGGTTCCTCCCAACTTGACAAAGCCAAAAAAGACCAAAAAATGCACCAAGAAAACGCTAGCGCTCGAGGCCGAACCCCACCTGACATCTCTCCCTGGCATCCTGCAAGATGTAGACCCCGTCGTAGCCGGAGTAGCCTGCAGAGCCCAAGTTCACCGGCGCGAACTCGCCCATCTCGCGAAAGATCATGTCCCATTCCACCGTCACCTGAGCTCAGGTCCCGAAACCCAGCTGACGGACGTCACCGCGCGCCCTGTGGGGGAGGGGCGAAAACTGCGGGGCACCGTGCCGTGCTACGGCACCTGCGATTTGTCTCTGCTCTCTGCTCCGGGTCACGGTGTCTTCCCAGTTCTCCAAGGTGAAATGAGACCTCCTGGGGTCTGTCCGGCACTGGCTGAAGTTCGTCATCGAGGGCGGACAGCCCCCCAAGGTTCGAATCATCTCCTAGGTGTGTCGCGCGGCGGGAGGTTCGACGCCCGTGTCCAAGTCGTTTTGATCCACCTGCCCATCTTCAGGGTCCTGCCAGACAACTCAGGTTGGAGGAAGCTTGTGTGTGTGTGACTTCACAGTGAAGGTGCAGGGGAAAAGCAAGGATGGGCACTGAAACCCCAAGACGAAAATGAAGCACCACTCTCAGTATATAGAGGAAAGCCCTCTTCCTTACCATCCCCGCCAATTTGATGACTCTGTCCAAACCCCAAAGTATCTGAACCACAGGATAGGTCACATCCCAGCTGGGTCTTTGGTCGAGCACAGGTCACACGGCAACAGTCAAAACCAGAAACGACAAGGACCCTGATGTTCTTGAGGGGAAAGCCAGGTAGAACGAAAAGGGAATCTTTGGTGGGAGCAGGATATCTTGGAACCACGGCGAAGGCCTGTTACGCCTATTGTCATTCACCAAGTGTCCGCACTGCCACTTTCGCGGTTATAGACCTCAGGGATGTTTGAACCGTGCGGTGGTCCACGCGGTGAATTATCAGGCAAAGAAAAGGCTCTGCTCTTGTTTCATTAGGTCAGCTTCTTGTTCCTAGTAGTAACAAGTGCCACGGTAGTAGTAACAGGTGCCTTACTAGTAGTAACAAGAAGCTAGTAGAAACAATTCTTCTTGTTACTACTAGTAAGGCACCTGTTACTACTAGCGTGTCATGATCTTCAGCTGGTGAACAAAAGGAGACACCGATCGTGAGTCGACTCTTTTTGAGCAGCATCATGCCATCTCACGTGTTCTTCACCTCATCATCTCCCTTTTCAAACGAGAGTCTCACCTCTACATACACCACCTACCGTCAGCTTACCCGCAGTTGCCATGTGCCGCCGGGCTGCCACGTGGTATCCCGCTACTTCTTCGACGAGAATCCCGAAGACCTTACTCACCAGCTCGTTGGAGTTCCAGGTTCCATAGGCAACGCCCACGGGCATGGACCGTCCATCAACCGTGATGTTCAAGCGCTGCTCGAACGGGATGGCATTCTCCAGGCAAGCGCCCCATGCTACACGAGCAAGGGCGCACCAAAGTATCCTCAACATGTTTTAAACATGGCTGGCCCTGAGCAGGCCCTGAACCGACATGTCGCGTACGCGACGGGTCGTCGACGGTTCCCTAGGTCGCCCCGTGAACTCGCCGGTCAGTTGCACAACATCCTCGTGAGGCAGAAGAAAAGCCGAGTCAGACTTCCACGATTTGTACAATCCTGGATAGTGGCACAACAAATCGAGGATATATCCAGGATTGAAAACTCTATCCAGGATTGTATTTATGGTTCCTGCATTTCTGGTTCGTTTATAGTGTTCAGTGGTACAAAAACTGGATAGAGTGTTCAGTGGCACAAGCAACTGCTGTTTTGACGACTTCACCGAAACAACTCAAAGCTGGAGTGGGCACCCAGGTTATTTAGGAACATCAGCTTGGAACCTCAGCACAGACCGCACCAATAGATGTAGTGAGGGTCCAATACAAAGGAGAAGAAGACGAGGGCTTGCGATAGTTCTAAGGCCATACGAAGTATGAAGAAGTTCGTTCGCAATGCCCCTTTGTGTGGTCCAAAAAACATGTCTCCCGGGTGATAGCATCACCTGGCAAAAGCTGGGGTAGGTACCATAGCTCCAGGTGTTTGGTTTTGACACCAATCAGTTGACCCCAAATCAGCCACCTCCTGGTGCGATTCCGCTCCGAGGAGGGCTGGTGGATGGTGCAGGACGACCGCACCTGGGCCGCGGTTCACGCGCCTGGAGGTTGGGGAACTTGCTGTAACTCCTTGGCTCCTCGTGGAGCCAGGGGACTGTGCATTTATGGATACTCCATGATACCCGCTCCTTTGCTCTCTCCTGGCTCCTGGCTGCACCAGCTAGTTAGAGAACCACCAAGAATACTCGCTAGTTATCGCACATCGGTGAACTAAAGCTCCAAAGTCGATGGCGATGCCAAATGGTTGCTTCTCCAATGGCCCTGAGTCTAACCAGCTCCTGCACTCCACATGATGGTGGAGTCAGTGTCCTTCATTTCTTGAGACTGGGTATACTGGCTGCCCATGCTATCTGCTATCTAATTCCAGTGAGTGGTTGGACACAAATGATTACCCTTATCCTTTAGAGTCCTTAGAGGCTGTTGCTGGCGACGGCGGAATCGATCATCTCTGCAGTGTGGTTTACACGTTGTCGAAGCTCTTGAGATGCCGAGAGGCCTCCGCTCTCTGTCAGATCCTTGACAGCCCGCGTCACCTTTCAAAAGGGCAGGTGGAGGCAGGGCAGGGGCAGGGAACTGGAGGCAAGGGTTTGGACGGATGCTCGTCCTCCACAGGGGTTTCTGACGCAAAACATGGACTAAAAGCAGACTGTCTGTTCCAGAGATAGGTTGGTTCCAGGCATCTTCCGCAAGGTAAATAGACCATCCAAAACACATAGCTGTGGGTCAAAAGCACCTTTGGTTGACCTACCCACGAGACTTGCGGACTCTGTCTGAGTGCTTTCCAAGACCCTTCAGGCTACATGGTGTTGGGGCTCCAGGGTTTGACCCATCCCGTCCCCATACATCCTCATTCTATTTATTACCACAAGCAGGTCGCCGACGGCAGACAGGCTGAGGTTCTCTAGAGCTCTCCATTCAAATCCTCCGCAGAGCCACAACTTTCTCTGAAGAACGCTCTTGAAGACTTGAGACGTTGACCAAAACGCCCCAGTTTCCATCGATTGCATCGAATGTTCTTCGATCTGCCCACCGCAGGAGGTCGGAACCGTCATCGGACATCCGAAGTCGTCACCCCACCCGCTCAGGCGCTTCGAGAGAGGTGACCGGCGCAGTGACGTCCAGATTGGGAGGGTCACCATGCCCAGGCACTTTGCCCCAGGCACCCAAGAGGCTTTCTGAAAAAGGGCGCAGAACTCGCGTTCCCGCCAGCAGCAGCGCAAGGTTCGCAAGGCCGATCTGCGCGGCGCAGAACTGCGCTGGGCGCAGAACTTCACCGCTGAACAGCGCTGATCCCATCGATGTCGGGCTCTTCAAGCGCGGCACAGGTCCGATTCGCTGCCGTCCTCGCTACTCGTCGAAGCCTCACACGGCCACGGCGAACTTGGGTGTCCTGCTGCGTCGAGGACGCCTCGCAGGAGTGTGGAGATCATGGCTTCGAAGAGATAGGCCACCAAGAAGAGGGTGAGCAGGTAGACTGGGATAAAGCATTGACCTCTTCGGCCGAAACCAGAAACTGCGGACTCTGCAAGGACTCTGCAATTAAACCGTTCTTGACAGGTTCCATGGAATGGACCGAGTGATTTAGATCCTTCAACTGCGGAGGGTTCTGCTGTCTTTAAGGTCCACTCCACCCTTTAACCCTTTCTTGACCTGTAGGTCTCCTCGAAACTGAGTGCAAGTCCCAACCAACAGGTGTCCATCTACTTTCGCACCCCAGTGGTTTGGTGTTCAGCCTGCCTAGACGCTCTTCCAAGTGCTCTCTCATGGCACTCAGCAGGTTCGTCTGGATGAGATACTGAGAGTACGAGATCCGCCCCAAGACTAGGCCCATCGGCGACTTGAGGAGAGGCACCAGAGGATCAAGCTCACTGGCACAGGCCAAGAGCAAGAGGCACATGAGGGGCAGAATTCCACCATTGTGGCAGAGATAGAAGATGGGCCCATCGGCAGCAAAGATGTAAAGAAGACACAGGTAGCATCCCAAAGCGATCGGGCTTCCGCATCCCAGGATCAACTTCAACCGGTGAGGTTCCTCACCCTGGCAGCAGATGAAGACCCTTGCCAGCACCACCCCGCTGAAGAAAACATGAAGATAGCCGGCCGGGCCGAACTTCAGGGCGGTCATGGTGAAGACGCTCTGGCCATAGCTAGATCCTGCGGGGTGTGAGAGGCCTTTACTGAGTGGAGTAAGAATGAGATATCCAAGGAGGGTGAAGCCCTGCGACCCCAAATGTGATGTGCCTGGACTGTCGGACTTTCGTGAAAGCTTTCTGAACCCACTTTAGCCTGTGTGGAGAAGGCCGAGCATATTTCATGATCTCCGAAGATGGTATATTGTTAGACTCTTGAGATCTCTTGAGTGTGTGTGTGTGTGTTGGGAGTCCAAGACTGGCCGCCTTGGGGGTGGGGCCAAGATCTTCGAGAAAACCGTTCTGCTACTCATGCTGTCCTAGCTAGCTTTTGAGGAATCTGTTGTATCAAGGTCAGTTTACACATTCTGCTGAACAGAATAGATTACAATGAAGGACTTCTCCACTGGCCTCAAAATCCCCCAAACAAACTAAACAAACTCAGAAGTCCCCAAACTCTACGGCGACTCCCCCCAGAAAAGAAAGAGTGCTTCGTACTTTGAGCCCGCAGTTGCCAAACCGCGTTTTGACCCAAGACGTCAATCATCAGGCCTAGATCCCAACAGAGAAAGACCACCAGCGTCCAAAGCCATAAGCCCAGCAAGCTTAGAAGCGCCATCCTCAGTGAGAACTGCTGAGCCAGGTAGGCAGCTGGACGCACCAACTGCCAGTAGAACAACAAGACGCTGAGAAACCAGGCCACGGGGACCCACCTGGCCAGCCACTCGACTCTGCGGCCGAAATGGAATGCTGAAGCGCTCTTTCAGTAGGGTTAGAAGTGCAGTCTAGACTGAAGGACATTGGGATGTTGCTCCTCTACTCCAACCCCAATGGGGGGCCACTAAGAAATCACTAGTCGTGGCAAACAAACTGTTCTTCACCATTCCCACACATGGAGATCCGTTCACGATGGTATTCTGATACATGAAATCCATCACATCATCAGATGATCAAGTTCTCTGACATCAACTCGGAGGTCGGATCAAACCATGCAGGGAGTCTTGTCCTATCTAGCAGCCCGGTCAGTGTTTACCACCAACAAGGGTCGGTCAACCCACCGACCGACCGGGGTCGGGGGGTGCGTCTCACCAGGACGCAGCTAAGCTGCATGTTTCAGCTGAGCCAACGGTTTGAAAACAAGGTACTGGGTCCAAAAGAATGTTGAGGCCTCAAAAGTCAGACAACCATTTTGGGAGAAACATGACAAAACAATCTCGTCCTCTTGGAGGTAAATTCGTTCTTACTGAAACAAGATGGCATGCCTCGCATGAAGGCTGGGCAGATTCAAACAAACACGAAGAGTAGACTTAAAAAATACCGTATTTGCCCAGCTGAGCTACAGCAAGAAGAGGATTTGAGTTGACAAGTTGACACCATTCCTCTACTAATGTCATTGGGGGTAGCATCACAAGTGTCAGAAGTCTCTTCCAGCTGCTTTTCTTCGCTGGTCTCCCTCCACTCCACCCTCCAGCCATCCGGAAGCACCTACCTCAAAGCAGTGGGTGGCCAAGTCCCATGGAAACCATGATCAAAGATAGGGATCCAAGCTTGCAGCAGAGTCAGGTTCAAGACCAACGTCTGCCAGTCAAACCAACTGTGGCTCCATTGGATCATTGAAATGAGCAGAACCGCCAGGTAGAAAGGGTAGAGGTTCCTCGTCCCCGCTCGCGTGATGTCAACGCATCGACCCATGCGAACGCATCGACCCACCCTCTCTATGTACTGTGACTTTGAGCAATTTTCCAGAGTTTGCTGCCAGTACACTTCCAAATGCGATGCCGACCCTTTTTGGGATTGAAAGTATAGCTCGACCGGCACCATGAACACCGGTCAGGTCCCTCAAAGACCAGCTTCCAACCTCTTCTCTTCAGTCTATGGGAGGGTTACCTGTTTTTTGGTCTTCCAAGCCCAAGCCCGATCGCCTCAATCGCCTCTGGGTGTACTCCCACCGGCTCAGCACCGGAACCGCTCTGGAGCCGGCATCGGCCCGCGTCATCTCGGCATAGGACAGCACGAAGCCGCTCAAGAGGAAGAAAAACCTGGCGTTTTGTGGGAAGCGGGCTTCGGTGCCCGGGACTGAAAAACCTGTCCAGGACTGAAAAACCTCCGAGCCACTGAGTCCAGACCGAGCCCCAGTAGAGGGAGTCCCACCAGTCGCGCAAGTGGCAGAGCACCACCTGAAACGAGGCCAGCCAACGCAAGCCATCCAACGACTCCAGGCGTTGCCCCATAAAAGCGCGGCGCGGCGCAGCGCGGACACCGGAAGAGGGGAGCTTGAGCCTATGTTCACAGGAGCTTCCTATTGAATGGCCGGTCTGCGAAGGACCTTGGTTGATGCTGGACAGCACACAAAGTGTTCTGCGCTTGGAAAGTGCAAGAGCTGTTCTACACTTCCAAATGCAAGTCTGTAAGAAGGAAATAAGAAGGAAGTGTCGTGCAAAACTGGTCTGTGAGACCACCCCACTGGTCTGTCGAACTCGACCTGTGTTTCCTGTGTGTGGGGGGGAGGGGCGCACGTCTGGACTTCATGGGCAAGGTTGGTGAACAGTAGTCGTGTCTCAAATCTTGCACGGAGACATCATCTGGTCATTTCACTGTTTGTGGGTCAGATCAATAGTCAATAGTGGAACATAGGAAGGCTGTCCATGTCTACCACAAAGTCACTTCTATGAAAAGAGTCACATCAAGCAACTCGGACTGTCTCAAACAAGCCGCTCCGGACCCAGACCAAACAAACAAACTGCAAACAAACCAACAAACGAGCCCTCAGCACCAAAGCACAGCTATATAACTGGGGCATCCCTTGACCCACTAACTGTGACCCTCGGCCGCAGGGGCTGTGCCTAAACTGGGTAGCTGCGCATTGATCTGCAAGGCCAAATTCTGTAAGGATCATGCCATCCTGAAGGATGTTGGTCGCTGATTCGCCCCAGCTTCCGTAACGCGAGTAGCCACGCGGGAGGGAGTCCAAAACAAGTGCAGTAGTCAAAATCAGTATCTATCCCTGCAGGGACATCAACCAACGATTCGTTGCCAAATCAATCTCAGCTCTCAACAGTTCGATATCTCCGACGGTTGCTGAGGACAAGTTAACACGTGAGGATCTGAAGAAGTGTTCAGAGACCCTGAGCCCCACTGCCCTGCAATCCCAGCAAGGTGGTGGGATAGCTTTTAAGTCTGCCCCCGTTGCGCAGGCATCCATACACATTGTACCCCACCGGGATTGAAATCATAGACACATGGGTGAACAGGTCTTTTGTAGAAAGGAAAATGAACGCCCATGGGTGAAAGGGCGTCTGTTGGGGATGAAGCTACACAAGCCATCGTGACCCCCCAGTATTACTATAGAGTTCAGTGCCTTGGCAAATGAATTGAAAGAACATGAACTCACTGATCCTTGCTGTGATGGCGGCCATGGCCCGGTACTCAATCGAAGCCCACCCGGTGAAGCAGCTGGCTACCCAACGGTCAAGAAGGGCAAACCAATGCGCTGCTTCCAATCCCAATTCGTTTTGGGAGGCACCCCAAAAGTCGTACTGGTATCAGACACCGATGGTCTAAACGGGTCTGGGATACTGAAACAACCATTTGAGAATAGTAAGCCAGACATCGCATGTTCAATCCCTTGCTTCAGAATCCAAAAGGTTTCTTCCAACTGACACATCGTCTCCATGTTCGCACTCCAAAGGGCAACGCTCCCATAAGGCCGTGCTTCACTGGCCCACAGGGCCTCACCAGGGCTTCTTCGGACATCCTCCTTGTAGCGCGGTGGGCGGTGGAGGATTCAAAGGCCCAAAACATCTGCCACCAAAATGGTTTTTCCCTCCCCACCCGATTGTTGTTTTGGCCCGCAGGTGTTAGTTTTAGATTTTGGGGGGTTTGGAAGAAGAATGATAGCGTAGCCATGTGAGAAAAGGAATACTAACAAGTTGTACACTGTACACTAAATAATAAGACTTCAGCCTGCTGTCCTGGGTCTGCTTACATCCAGTACTTCTGAGGGATACTACACAGCGCCCACCTATGACTTGATCATCTTGGTCCTGATTGGTAGCTCTTGAAGATTGTGTGTAGTCTCTCTGAATGCTCCGTGAAGCTCTTCCTAGAACGACGATTCACCCCAGCGATACATTTCAATTGGTTCACAGAAATGTCAGCGCACTTCCCACAGAAGAGGGAAGTCAAAAACGTTTCCTTGAGAAAACGATTCTCCAAAAAGACAGCTGTGGAGGTACAGCCGAACAACACGGACTGGCCCAGACCCTGTGAAACATCGCAACCAAATCGTATAACCCGTAGCAGCCGTGTCTAAACCACGAAGCTTGCAAATTCCTGGCCTTGGGCGCAGCTGATTTTTTGCCTGGCTCCCATACAAGCAGGGATCAAATAGAACAGACAATTGAGTCCGCAATTTATCTGACTGATCACTACAAGCACCTAGAAAACCCTCTATCTCTCCGTCAACAACATCAACCGTGTGTCACTTCTTCAATATCCTATCGGAGGAATCTTCCAACCCTGCGACGACATAACTGGGATAAGGATAAGGAACTGCACCGATTTTATCGGCGCGCTTGTTGGAAGGGCAATCTCACCGTGCTGCAAACCACGAAATATCCCAACATTCCGAGTGAAGCCACCCATGCTCCCAAGTCGACTGAGTTTTTTAGTCAGTGCCCAAAAAGCAAAGCCAGAGGTTCAAATTGAAGAGAGAAAGGAGCAGGAGACGTCTCAAGATGTCTCAAGTGCATGCGATCGGACATCTACCATCTATCTATCCATTTCTGCCAAAGTTGTGGGTGGTGAAGCATGGAAAACTTGCTCGGACTTGTTACCAACATCGGCAGCTGTTACCAAGAACAAAGAAGACCTTTTTTCCAGAGAGCAGATCTGTGCTTCAACTGGCTGTTCAAAAGTTGTCTTACACAATGGGAGCGACCACAATTTTCAACAGCCGGCATTATCTGCCTCAAGGTCCTGCCAAATTAAAAGTTCCTGTGTGCCCCATCAAGGATGTAATCCATACCTTCCTTCCATACCAATACATATCTTCCGGATCCATGATCTCATGAGCAATCCAACTCGGAACATGATCGCCAATGAACGATCGGAATGTGGGCAGATCGTCATGGTGCCGGTCAAAGTGGTAGTGACTATCGAAGAGGTAATCGTCTTCATGGTCAACAAACTCCTCCATAGTAACTCCTTCTTCACTTGATTAAGGTGACTTGTGCAGAACCTGCACACATAGCGCCTCGACTCGTGGAAAAAAAAGAACTGGGGGGGCAGGAAACTGGGGACAGGGAACTTGGGACAGGGAACTGAAACAGGGAACTGGCGGGCAGGGAACTGGAGGCAGCAAACTGGGGACAGGGAACTTGGGAGAGGGAACTGGAAACAGGGAACTGGGGGCAGGAACTTGAGGACAGGGAACTGGGGGCAGGGAATGTAGAACCTCAAGTCGCTGAGGCTGATCTCCAACTATGTAGAACCTCCATGCACCGTCTTTTGTTTTCAAGGAACTCCAACCTCTTCCATCAGAGTTGCCCATAAAAGTAGCTGACGCACCCTTATGTCTTGATACTGGGGAGGCCCACCTTGGCGACCCTGGAATCCACTGCATTTTTGGCGCTTGGTTTTGGGGCCGTCAATAGGCAAGATTTTCGCACGCGTCGTGATCCGCTTGGCCGCTTCACATTGTTCCTGATCAGTCAGCTGGTCTCTGGAAGCCGGGTGTCCCTGACGCAGGGCCGCGCAGGACCAGCTGGAGTGGAAACTGCAGGGAGAGAGCACGGGTCCTGCAATCACGCTGTGGGAGAATAGAAGCCTTGACTTTATCCGGGCGGAACCAGCAACTACCCAGAGGCCTACGGCTGACGGCCACGGCTGCTTCTTCGAGATCAGTGTGTCCTAAGCCTCGACCGTGGTGGAGGAGCGCTTGAAAGACCCCTGGGAACTCATGTGGCATATACCAGATATTGGGAGCTCTTAGTCGAATGGGGGCTTTGAGAAGGAGAGTGCGGTGTGCTCTCTGTCCGTCTGCCACTCCACCAGGACTCTGTCTGGGGTCCCCCAGTAGTAGTCAAAAGAAGGCACGGCGTGGGACCGCTGGTGCGAAAGCAGATTTCAAATCCATGTCCTGCTGAGCCTCTTCACTGATGAGCAGATCAACATTTTCCATATGAGTGTTGAGCGTGGAATGGGTCTGCCCTTTTTGGTCCCAGACTAGCCCCGTAGTGACGATGACGACTCGACAGCCTGGGATGTAAGGGGCAGCATCGCTGGCACGCAGGTCGTAGCTTGTGCAGGCAGTGTTGGCTTCTGCCTCCTCTCTGCTAACCGGCCGAACGAAATATCTCCGGTGGTCCGGCTTAAGTTCAAAGGCAGTAAGTAGCTTGGTAATGGCCCTACCCGCTGGGTTCTCTTTATGCACTACTGCAATTTTGAGATGGGTGGTGAGGGCTAGCCAGGCGAGCAAGAAAGTGAGGGATCTCGTCTTGCCTGCCCCAAAAACTCCTGCCACTGCTAAGGTGGATCTGCCAGACCGGAGAGCCAGCGCTAGGCTGGAAGCCAATGAGACAATATGTCCATTGTCATGTCTTGCCGCAGTACCCAGTGCCTTAGCGAAATCGGATGCTTGAGGACAGTACATAAGTGTACCGCCCGTTGTCAGCAATTGGAACAAGGCACGCAAACTCTGTAACATAGCTATTGTGCATTCCAGATTGTATGGAATGGGCACGTGGCCAGGGATGCCCAACACAGTGGGCTTATGCTCGGCTGCCAAGGTAGCCATTTGCAACAAGTGGTCGGCAGTGACCGTGTCTCCTGCCTCAGCAAACGCTAGGACTTGAAACTTCGTTGCTCTAGACTCCAAGATGGGTAGACTAGGAGGGAACGCCCATTTGACTGGGCACGCCAGTCCGGTCTCGGCCGTGGCAGGCGGGGGGGCAAAGTCCTCTGGGAAGGGCACCAAAGCGACGTCCCAATGGCGCGGACTGCTCATGCGTCGGAGTTTATCCCTTAGCGACTCCTCGCCTTTTTTCTTGCGTGACGGGGTCACGAATGCCAACAGGAGAGCTAGGACCGAGTAACATGCATCATTTTCCTGCAAAACCAGGCGGTAGGCCTTTCCTACCTGACAGCCCATATGCACTGCATTGGAAGAATTGGTTGCAAGTTGTTCGAAGTCTTGGCTCTGAAGGTGTGCAGGGCAGAAGGTGGCTGCTTGTGACCACGCTGGAAACGCAATGCGATATTCATGCATACCTTGCAGGCCAGCTGCTGTCGGGGTGATTTCGACTACGAGACCGTGTTTCCTGACAGTGGGGCTACTCCATAGATCCTGCCTCGCACTTGCTTCATCCACAAACGAAAGCTGCGGGAGGAACAGGGCCAGGATGACAAACACTTCACGAAACGGAATTGGTGCCAGCAAATCCCTGGCCATATTCGTCAGCCATTGTGCACACTCGCTTGGCTGTTCTTTGCCAACTCGAAAGTTCTTCAGGAGGAGGGCTTGTGCCTCTTCCATGGAGGCTATTTGCTGTCCTGCCACGTAGCGCTGGAGCAATTGGAGAAGGTCTTTGTCTGACCGGTGGAGATTAGACACCAAGAGGCTAATCGCTCCTCCACAGTCTTCGCTTGTCATGGCAGTTTCAAAACGAATCCACGAGGCCAGTCGCATTGGTGCCGCGATTCTATCGCGGCGAGGAATGACATTGGGGCGCGTAAGCTTGAGGTCAGCTAAGCTGACTCTACCTGCAGGGAGCTGACACTGGAGCCAGTGCCAATAGTTGTGTTTATTGCTACCCATCCGACGAGCCGAATCTTCTACATACGTGATGTGCAGGGATTGTTGTAGCATGTCAAGGTCGGTGGCAGTTGGCTTCCAATCGCACAGACAGTCTTCGGCTGCATGGACAAGGTGGTAGTGGTGCCTGTCCGGGTCCGCAGTAGCAACTAAGGCCGCTAAGACTCCTTTTTTTTGGCATGGCTATAGCCCCCGGTCGCGCTGTGATCTGGCTGGTTGGCCACAGACAGCGAAGTGCTAACGCAATTACCGCTCCAGTGTAACTACCTGCACTGAAGCCATTCACTGTGAAGTGAATCGCATCAGCCTGCCCCGATGGGCGAAGGCAACTGAGCATAGGCAAGTAGGCAACTAGTTGCAGCGGCTGCAACGAGAGTAGCTTCCACCAGAGCCCACTGAGGAAAGTCTTCTGTGCGCAGGAAGAAGCCGTGCGGCCTTCAGCACCTGTTGTGTGTGCTGGTACATCTGTGTCGCTTTCCCTAACCCTAGGGATTCCCACTTCTGACAAGGGTCTTGTGTAAGCGAGAACAGGGTAGCAACCTCGTGCACACGTGTAGAGCAGCCTGAGGCTACGGCAAAGCTCTGATCCTGGACTACGTCCGCTGGGGAGAGCGATGGCCCATAGACTTGGCTATCACCTACTGGAGGGCATGTGCAGTGAAAATGCGGTGGGATATCACCCTCCAGCGCCCCGCCCCCGACACCTCCACAATTGATTTGGAAGACTGATGGCAATGGTGGGGCGTCATACCCTATCCAGTATTTGTTTAACTTAGCCACTGTCCACAGAAGGGCAATCCACGAGATTTCTGCTTGTTGCCGTTGATATATGGCTTGAAACACTTGGGTAGCAATGCTTTCCAAAGGCATAACCAAATTCTCGAGTTGGCTCAGCAAGTCATCATTGGCCTCTAGAAAGAAGTCTTTCTCTCCCGGAACGAGGCCCTTGGGATGATCAATAGCTGCTTTCAGTTCATCATAGGGGCACGCCTCATGGTCCTTGTGCACGCCTACTATTCCTCGCAAGTCTGCTACCTGGCTCCAGGACACAAAGAGTGGCGGTGACAAAAGCTGTGGACTGAGGACGGCTTGGCCTAGGCAGGGAGTCTGGCTACCTTTTGTCGAATCGCGTTCGATAGCTTGAGCGAGCTGGTTTGCTCTGTGTGAAGAGGTGTTCGACGACGGCGTGGAAGCTGACTCAAGGTCATCAACATCCTCCCCCCCCTGGACAACAGCTAAGGCTGTCACCCTGCACCTGGCCTGGAAATAGGTCGGAGTTCCCTGGGAGAATCGCTCGCCACTTTAACAATAGGCAAAATCGCAAAGCACTATTGCCGACTGTTCCTGAGGAATCCCGTGAATTTGCACCCACCTATTGGCTTCCAGGTGTCTACGGCCCATGCTGGAGGTAGATTGGGCATGCCTAAGATGGCAATTGGCAGTGTTTCCCAGCCCTGCCTCTCCAGGTCACGCAAAGCATCCTGTGCTCCTACTTTGGCCTTACCGAAGGCATGGAATATGGCTGGTCGCATTCGATTGTGTGGCAATGCACTGGCCTGGAAAAGATGCTCCCCCGGCAGTGATGTGGCAGCGCACGGCCCTTCTAACGTTGGGAGTACGGAGAGGATTCCCTGTTCGAAGGTGGCCCTAGCCCAACTAGTGAGCCACGGGGTTCGCTCTTGCCCAGCCGGGGTGAGTGCCCTTGGATGGGATTGTCGTGGCCATCTGATAGCGCCGCCAGGGCCGAGCTCAACTGTGCTCATGGCCGGGCAAGGCCAAAAATGCTTACACATGTAGAGGCCATAGAGTGACCACACAATGCACAAGTCAAGAGCAGTTCGCATTGGAACTCCAACAAAAGGGGTAAACATAGTCCCGTTGATGGCGGCCTCACTCGGATCAATCGGCGCCTTAGCTCGGGAGACTAATGCGAGGCGGCATGCTTGAAGGTTCTTTGCTAGCACTGCAGCGCTAGTTTCATGCTCCATCGGGCTGCTCTTTTGACGGTTGCCTATCGAAACGACCAACCCTGCGTTGTATTCTAAGTGAGCTTCCGTGAATAGCAGCATGCCGATTCCTGAACTGGAGTGAGACTCTGGCCGCGCACACCCTATGAGGTCGGTCCATTGGTGCTGCTGATGAGCCAGTTGCAGTAGGTCTTGGACTTCAAAGAGTGTGACTGGTACACAACCATTGTCTATGAGTGCAAAGTGCTGAGCAGGGTAGAGGAAACGAGCAGCTTCAAGAACAAAAACCCCTGCCCAATAGTAGGGAATCTTGCGAAGGCCTCCCACTCACTCACATGGACACGGAAAACCCATTGTGCGTAGAGCAAAACAGTCTTCCCTGCACCTTTTTGTTCACTTCCATGTTAGTGGGTCAGAGTGCACCCAAAATATTTGTGTATATACAATATCTATGTATACTCTTTCGGAGCTCCTTTAGGTCATCTTTACTTGCCGGTCCGTTGGCGAGCAGTTCTCGGGTCAGAGACACATCCCACGGCCACCATAACGGTCTGGCCCTGCACTTCGTGCGGAACTTTTGCGGAGATGCTGTCACTTGAGGACTCAAAACATGATTCTGCTCACCCAATGTGACAACCCAATCCAGTTCTGTTTGTTTTTTGCGTTGCCAATCGAGTTTTGCAACTCTTTGGCAAAGATCAGAGCGGGCTTCGGGCGCCCTTAGGTCATCCGATCGCACATCTATTTGCATCCTGAATTGCCCGCTGACAAGATGGTACAGCAGAATTCCTTGCCACAACGTCCTTTGGCAGCTTGAACCGCATGCTTCACTTTGGAGGTTGGAACTGTTTGGCTAGTTCTCATGGTTGCGGGGAAGAAACGACCATGTCGAGGGACATGAACACTCTGAGAGCTGGTAACTGACTTGAAAAAGCACTCTCCTCACGCTCATGCTTTAGAGTGTTTGCATGATGTGTGTGGTGAACCTTTTCCGAGCCTTGAGCTTGAAAGGACTGAGGACCTGTTTGCAAGCCATCCAAGAAAG